CAAAATCACCCCCAGCACCTGAGCCGGAAGGCATGTCGAGTTGGGTCGGGTCGAGGAAATCCATGTTGGCATTGACAAAGGCGGACTCCATCTCGTCGTCCATGATGACGGGGTCTAGGGAAGGGAATGCGGGGGAAGAAGGCGCCTCGATCGATCCCATGCTTCGTAATCCCTCGTTTTCGACGGTTTGAGAGCAATGAGAGGCGAAGACTGCCAACTATCCTCACGCCGTGTATAACGTTGACAGATAGATTGTCGCGTGTGTGATTGTTGGGGTTGGTGGGCGCCGGTGGATTGGTGAATGATCTCGCGAGCGGACACAAGACCAAGGGTTCGAAAGGAGATCGAGGAACAGTTAAACGGATATATACCAGGACCGGCCTGCAACGACCATGACTCCTTGACGAAAGGAAGAATGGGGGGGGGCTAAGTGTGGATGGGGGAAAGTGACTGCCTTAGTGGAGTCTGAGGGAGAAAGGAGGCGGGAAAAGTGTGAGTGCCGATCCAGACCGGCAGAAACTCTCAACCTAAGGCTGTCAGCATGGCCTAGGGAATACATACAGAGTATTTCTGATATTTACATTACTGACTTACCTATGAGTTATCTCTATTTTCTAGTCTATTTTCCATAATTTATTATATTATATTCCGCTCTCCTATCATAATTGTACCCTCTGTACTTCCCCTACTCTGTGTACACATATTCAACACAGCGGTGACTAACAACCAATCCCCGGCCGGTTTTTATTTGGTTCGCCTTTCTGATTCGCTCTCATCCCTCGCCTCCACCAGTCAGGATTCTGTGCTCTTCGATTTCCATTCCATATGGCCCTGCGGTGTAGGACGAAAGATCGACCGTCCCACCCCAGTCCTCGTGTTCAACTAGAGCGCCTCTCAACTCGAGACCCACGATGCCGTTGATACTGGGGAGGATCTTCGCTCCCGGTTTCCCCCATCAACCCCCCTCACCCTCCCGACTAGCATGGTCTCGGTATCGGGCGCATGCAAGCCACGACCGATGACGAACGCGGGTTATCGGTTCTAAGATACGAAATCTCTTGCGTGTGTCACTCCAGTCGCGGCTTGTGCCACTATCGCCTACTCCCAAGATCCCCGATTTGGGAGGGGACATCCCCAGTGCCTTGTTCCAGAGTATATCTAGGCCGTCCGTGTCACAGTCTGCCGTTTGGATTAAGATCTTAACATGATACACACATTCCTACAGTAGTACTCCGTTTGTCGGAGTACATACACCCATACCCACACCCGCACTTGCGCACATCATGACCCCGGCTAGCGGCGACTTTTCCAGCAAAGAGTGAAATGCCTCATGTGTCTTGTTGGTACGCGCCAATTGGTCTGGACGATGACCGCCGATGCCGGATGCCGCCACTCAGCTATGAAGACTAATGGGCAATGCCGTGGAATGTCTCATTCAAGCCCTGGAGACTTGTAGTGGGCATCTCGGCCGGCCAGACGCTCACACACATCCACACATATATATCTCTGCACCCGCCTCGTTGATAGAGACCCCTGGAGGCTTGCCGTGGCTGCAGATTTGACTTCCATACATGCAATAGCCTTTGTAGGACGGTCGTCCTCAACAATCCAGAGCGCGCTAGTCCCTTGTTCGACGCAATCTCGAAGGGTCAGTGCCATGCGGCGCCATCTAGCGTAGGATTTCGTTCTTGAGCTCCAGCATGCCAGTGGCGCTTCAGGGCCCTCCAGGGCTCCCATATAAAGATCCCTCTGGCGATATTAAACTACGATGCCTAGCTTAAGCTGGCCTTTTCATTTCGGAGATATTGACAATTGCATATCGCATAGATTGGAAATTTGAAAAGGATTCGCACCATGCAGGGCTAGTTGCCAGCGAAATCAACGGTCTGGGTCGCGGAGTGGAGATGCTGGGCTCCGCTCTGTACGGCGTGCCGAGCCCCCCGAGCGTTTCAAAACAATTCTCCGGGTACGCGCCGGAACCCTTTCGCCCCTCAGTGTCGGTAGATTAAGTGGTTATCATTCAGGGATGAGCGCTTCAAAGGGTTTCCACCTGGGCATGGCCTCGCGATAACATTCAGGCTAAGCTGGCAAATCCTTCCTGGGGGCGAAATGATCCCAAGTCCAAAGTCCAAGTCCGAGCCCCAGACCAAAAAAAAACCAAAATCAGACTAACGGGATCTTCGTAATGGGGCCTGAGCCAACGCTGATCCTGCGCTCGACATGGCCCTAACAGTTCTGACAGCTGGCGAATTGCATTTGGCTTGTCGTTGCTGACATCTCCGAGACATCTTGTTAGCCCCAGAACATGCAAGTGTCAAAAGCACTGGAATACGATCGAGGCTCCATCACGCCACATGGCTCTAGCCAATGCGTATCCATCATTTCAAGTTTGTTCATCGGTCCGGAGCTCTCTCTCAGTACTCCGTACAACCACCAAGCTTTCGCAGTGCCAATGAGCGAAATTACTCCGAATGAGCAGGAGCTTAGACAATGTCTTGGCAGTGAAAAGGTGGATGAGAGGGGGGTGAAGTCGAAAGTGATGATATATCTCATCGCACGCAGGGACGTGCAGCGAGTGGCCAATCCGAAGGGGCCTTGTTAGAGTTATGAAACTCCAGTCGTCACAGACAGCCGCCGAGAGATCGACAGGCACCGTTTAGTGGTTTGACCAGGCCCCGGACGCCTTCCAAGTGGAATACATAGCTTAATTAATTTTCGCTGCCAGGGAACATGACGGTTCGGAGACCAAGGCTATTCATCTATCTCCTACCTCGGGCCATTACCCTTTCGGTCCCCCGGAGATTCTCCACCTATGGCCAGCCAGGCAAGACCGTGGAACTGGTCTTGGGAACTGGTGACACTGACAGAAACACTCATTGAATTAAGGGGTTCCAACTTATACTAATCTGGCGTAAATGTGGAGTCGGTGGCATGGCTTTCGGTTCCTAATGGAGCTATGATGCCGGCTGAGGATAACTAAACATCGAGAAGAACTTGAATATAAAGATGCAAATCCACGACCCTGCTACTCGTTTCTTCTCTTCAACCAGTCTTTCCACATTCCATTCTTTCCAACCTTTCCGTTCTCTTTCACGGGTTGACTTCATTGACTGAAGTCCCCATTTCCATTCTTTTTTTCCACCTCGCTCTTTTTGCGGCCTTCAAAAACAAAACGCTGTGCGTTTCTATATCAAACCAACTGAACAATGTCTCTTACCAAGTTTGTTGGAGCTGTCCTCGGATCGGCCGCCCTTGTGGCTGGTCACGGTTATGTGACTGGTGCTGTCGTTGATGGCACCTACCACGGTGGATTCCTCGTCGACACATACAACTACCAGACCCCATACCCCGACAACATCGGCTGGTTTGAGGACGCCACTGACAACGGCTTCGTCGACGGCTCCTCCTACTCGAGCAGTGATATTATCTGCCACAAGGATGCCAAAAACGGTGCCCTCTCTGCCTCTGTCAAGGCTGGTGGCAAGGTTGAGCTGCAGTGGACCGAGTGGCCCGAGTCTCACCACGGCCCTGTTATCACATACCTCGCTGACTGCGGCGGTGACTGCACTACCGTGGACAAGACCTCTCTGAAGTTCTTCAAGATCGACGAGGCCGGTCTTATCGACGACAGCAACGTTCCCGGCACCTGGGCTTCCGACAACCTCATCAGCAACAACAACAGCTACACTGTTACCATCCCCAGCAGCATCGCCTCTGGCAGCTACGTTCTCCGTCACGAGATCATTGCTCTGCACTCCGCTGGTGAGACCAACGGTGCCCAGAACTACCCCCAGTGTCTTAACCTGAAGGTCACCGGTGGTGGTAGCGACTCTCCCTCTGGCACCCTGGGTACCGCTCTGTACAAGAACACCGACGCCGGTATCAAGGTCAACATCTACCAGTCCCTGAGCAGCTACGACATCCCCGGTCCTGCTCTGTACACCGGTGCTTCTTCTGGCTCTGGCTCCTCGGCCGCAACCACCACCGCTGCCGCCTCTGCCGCTGCTACTACCACCGCCGGTGCCACCATTGCTCCCATCGCTACCAGCAGCGCTACTCCCGTTAGTGCTTCCCCGTCCAGCACCCCTCTCCGCAGCACCCCGTTGCCCCCGTCCTACAGCGCTACCCTTGTGTCCACCGCTTCCAGCCAGCCCCAGCAGACCCAGCCCGCTGGCGAGCAGAACCCCGCTGGTGGTGCTCCTGCTGGCGCTTCCACTGTCACCGAGACTGCCGCTGCTGCCCAGGTTACTAACCAGGCCTCTTACCAGACTACCACCGTCGAGGCTGACTCCGTGACTGTCACTGCCAGCCCCAGCGGCCAATCTCAGCAGAGCGCCACCCCCAGCTCTGAGTCCTCCAGCTCTGGCTCCTCCGACTCTGGCTCTTCCAGCTCTGGTTCTTCCAGCTCCGGCTCCTCCAGCTCCGGCTCCTCCACCACCACCGCCACCACCAGCTCCGGCTCCAGCTCCTACAACTCCAACGACTGGTCCTCCTACCTGGACTCTCTGTCCGCTGAGCAGTTCGTCAGCATGCTCCGCAAGACTGTCAAGTGGCTCGTCACTGACAAGAAGCACGCCCGCTCCCTGACCAACTAAATTCCAATAAGAAACGTCTAGCGCAGATCGACCATCTACCCTATTGAGGGAGTCGATTTGAGCACGTTGGCCATGTTGGATCTTCTTCTTGGCCTGTGTCGGGTATGCAGGTCCTTTCTTTGGATTGTGGGATTATTTACCGGGGCTGTCTGTAACATTTAGCCTGTTACTTTTCTTTACTTCTTTTCTCTTTCCCTATATATTGGGGATGAGGGACTTAGCCTTTTATCTGAGGCTCCCTCTCTTTTACTCTTTTCATGAATGGAATTGTTAGACTGCTCTCACCATTTCTCCCTCTACTTCTTCGTAGTAGTCCTTTTACAAGCGTAGGCAAAAGAATAGTAGTACCTAATAGGGGTAGTACTAAGACAACCCCAGGTGTAACATGGCTCTTGACTACCTAGCCTAGTATTGCTCATCCATGTTCTTATTGCACAGATTGTCCGCATAAACATTTTCCTCTCGCGGAATCCAGACATACTCAACCCTTCCTTCATCTCTCAGTCTGCCATTAAGATCCCAAGCTTCCTCCATGAGATCTCGATTCACAACATCCCTCTTCGCATAATTCTGCCAACCATTGCGGATCCACTTAGGAATCCACCGAGTCATACATTTGACCGCATATTTTGAATCTGAATAGATTGTCACTCGGAGGCGCGGCTCGTTGTTGAGCCCTTCATTCCGCGCCAAGGCTAGCCGGAGTGCGAGGATGATCGCTTCGAGCTCAGCGCGTTGACTTGTTGGTCGAGGAGATGCGTCTAATGCCTTCACAAGGCGTTTGTTGTAGCGCCCCCATTTGTTCCTAAAAACAGCCGCAGCTGCTCCGATCGCGTCCGCTGTTCCGTTACCTCTGCATCCACCATCGGTGTGGATGTTCATGGTGTACACCATTTTTGCAAATGACGGCGCTGAAGAAGCTAGAGTGATGCACAGAAAAGTGATTGACGGGTGCGAATGTGATATGTCTCGTGTACGTGCACGCGTATGTGCATTTGTGAGGTAGAACTGTGTTTATGGTCAGCTCTCTGGAAGAATACATGCAGGAGATCAGATTAAGATTTGACGCACGGTGGAAGCTTCAGAAGTAGGATACACTAGCAGTGTACAGAATGAATAGACAGCTATCTCTCAGCCCTAGTAGAGCTGAATCCAGGCGTATGGAATGGTAGTCGATACAAAGTAAAGCTTGAAACGTTGGAATTTCACACTCAGTATTGAAAATTCGAAACTTTGTCCCGTTGTAAGACTTCAAAAAAGGGTTTCTGGTTGAAGTAAAATAATAGAAGGAAGGAGAAGGCTCGATAGAGCAAGTTCGCCTGACCTGTCGTAAACTTGAATGGCCGTAAAAGGTACGAAGCAAACAGAGCTAACCGTTAGCGCCAATCAAGATCGTTGATGCTCTCCCGTACACAACCTGAACCCACAGAAGACCTATCTGGTACTTTATTCATGAAGCATCAGATACTAGTACAGTAAAAGAAATCTTTAAAATGGCATCGAAACCCATGAATATCTAGGTATCAATTGGCATAGTACCTAGGTATACTATTGATATAAAGTTAAGCCCTAGTGAAACCTTAATGTATACCTAGGTACTATCCAATCACAAACAGGGGACGTCGAGTATCTATTTCTTCTTCTTGGTTTTATCCACAAGATCAATCCATTGTGATTTCAGTCCACGCCGCACAAGAGCAGTCTGCACAACCTGGCGCTGATCACCTTGTACCAGAACCTCCATGACCCCCTTGGCTGCACCAGTAGCCTGGGTAACACTGGTACTGCTAGCACACTTCTTTTGCAGCTCCTCTGCCAAAAGAGCCGGAATGATGCCAAAAACTTCCAAGTTGGTCACCTTTGTCATGGTCTTGGAGCCTGTTCGCTTCTCAATCGTCACGAGAGCCTTGGGCGTTGCGCCGGATTTAGGTTTGACCTCTGCGAGGGTTTGGCCCGGCTTGAGAATCGCGTAGTGTGGCTGGAGAAGGGTGCGGTCATCTTGGATGCGCTTCAGGAGACCGTCGCGAGTAGTCATGCCTCGCTTCAAGGTTCCTTTATCTTCGGGGGAAGATGAGGTGAAGATGGTCTCTGCGAGGAAGGGATTGAGAGTAATGATGCGTCGGTTGTCTTTAGAGATGATAGGCGGGTTTTGTGATTGGAGGTATTGATCCAGGTGGCTGGATACCTCGGCGAATTTGTAGAAGTTCTTCGGGTCGCTTGTAGAGAGAGCTGGGAAGATCGTCGGTGCTAGCTTCCCGGTTGGGCGATAAAGAGTTTGAACGAGGAGAGTTTGTCCAACAGATGGGTCAGAATCGCCAGTTGCGGCAGTCTTCTTGCCATCCGCGGCGGCTGGTTTGTTGGCGCTTTCTAGAGCATTGCGCGAAGGCAGTCTATAAGGCACAAATCGCTCCACACGATGGTCGTTGAAATCAACATCGAGAATGACGGTTTCTTGCCCATTGCGGTCTTTCGACTTCACAAATTTTTGCTTGTCCAATTGCTTGATAAATTTTTTGACGTTCTTCCAGCTTGTCTTTTTGATGTTGTAGAATTGAGCTTCTTGGGGGTTATGTATCGGGAGGTAAGGGGTGATCATGTTTGCTATGAGCATAGATGGGGAGACTGGTAGTGCCAACCCGTGATTATTTGCCGATGGATTGTCCTGCTTGAGCTTGTAGAGAGAATAGATGAATGCATTGATAAACGCATCATCGATTTCTGGGTCTTGTTAGCAAGCTATAAGATCAATTGTGGAGTCTGTATTTTCATACCGTTAGTTGTAGGCTCTTTGAGTGCCACAGCAGGCTCTGTCTCGAGAGCCGGTGATTCATCCACAAAATCATTGCGATTATCATCAACAGTTTTACCTGCGCTCTCATCAAGGGTCAATTCAGCGACACCTTCCTCCAGTTCATCCTCCTCTTCTTCATCCCATCCTTCCAGATATTCGGGAGCTAGACGACCGGGTCTCGATGAAGAGCTCCAGGCCCATAATTCGTCTCCTTGCCAGTGCAGACCTCGGATTGCTTGGCCTTTAGTGCCTTGGACCTCCCCGAGTGCCGAGACATCGATCTCACAGATACCAACAAAGAGAGGAACCGAATGGCTGTCCAGGCTCGCAACCGCAACAGGGGAGCCCTTGACTGCCCGGGGATCGAAGGGCGGGTCATTGGCCAGACCGGGAGTCATGAGATCCGCACCACCCTGCAGTTTCTGCATCACCATTCCCGGGGTGTGTAGCAAAGGCATGATATCGGGGTTATTCCATAGTGTGTAGACGGTCGGATATAGCTTTTTATCGGAGCCAGGGCCATGTTCCACCTTGAACCAGAGCACGCGCTCGTCCTCTCCCGGGTGTGCGCCAACGTAAACGATACCCTGAACCTCGCGCAGGTCTGGGCCGGCTGTCGTCGTGAAGCGCGCGGTTAGCGAGTTTTCTGGGAGGATCGCATTTCGGATGGAGGAGAGAGTCGGGGCCGAAGTAGTGGCTTTATCGGCTGAATCCGAGCTTGTTTCCGCGGGACTTGAAGGGATGGAGATCTTGTAATCGCTAATGATTTGGTCGGCGATTTTCCTGCGATCAGAAGACCGCAAGGGGGAAAGGTTCTTGATCTGCTCAGACGAATAGCAATTCTTGTTTAGCTTTCACTTCATTGGCGGGTTTGCGCTGTCATGAGAAATTGAAGGTGGGATAGCTTCAAGGGAGGGGCAGTGCGGGGAGGTGTTGATCACCCACCGTCGGCTTCTTCTTGAACATTTTTGTTGGTATTTGAGTGGTGTGATTCAGTCGTAGAGCAAGGAAATGGAAAACTTTCTACTCATTCCAAGCCACCGATAGAGGAGCGAATGTTGGCTGGTGGGAAGCAACCTTTGAATGCGAAGAGGTTGTTAGAAGGGACAAAAAGATGCCCGCCTTTCAAAGGTTCCCGAAGGTCTCCACCTCCCGCGACGCATCCTCGACACGCGATGACTGACCATGACTCGAGGTGTGAGTCAGACATGGTCACCACGCTTTTTACCTATATGGGACACCTAGATATAAACTTATATTAAAGAAGATTGTCCGTCAGGTGAGCTACATACACAGTATAATTATTGATAATATTTGGCAGGGCTTTATTCCGAGATTAATGTACCGGGTAGTATGGATACTATCCATAGTGCTAGTACTCTGTAACTGTGAAGATATAGATATAGACTTCCCGGGTGAGATCAGAACCTCTATAGTTCCAAGTTGATATGAATGGCCAAAAGAACTCGAACTTGAAAGTAGATATCCCCTTCAAGTTCCAGCATCGGACCCATCGGACATTTCCCGACCCCCGCTCTCCGCTGATCAGATACTCCGACACCTAACGTATTTCAAGCTGCCGGATTTGTCTTTCTCCTTTTATCTTCTCTCATTTGAAAGAATACTCTCCTACTAGCCATGCCTGTCTATCACATTGGTGAGTGTATCATTGCCCCGTTGATATCCTGGTCTCCAAACCCCACGCAGAGAACCGGCTCTCTATATCGTTTAAAACCTCGGAGAACTGACCGACGTAACAGTCCTCTTCCGCCTCAAGGCCGGAGTCACCCAAGCCCAATTGGCGATCTGGTCGCAGAAATGCAAGGGGATGGTTGGCCAAATTCCTGGTTAGTCATTTCCAAGCATCAGTTTACACAATTGGCAACCTAGGACAGTCTACTGATGTCCACGGAAACTGAATGCAGGCCTCCTATCGATGGAAACTAACCAGCCGCTGCCAATCTCGGTTCCTCGCGCGAAGGGATTCGATATGGGCCTTGTGGCTGTCCTGGAGAAAGCCGATGATGTCGCTACCTATGCCACACACCCGGCACACCTGGAGTAAGAACCTTCGATCTCTCAGTTGCGGTTTTTTGCTAACGTATTATGCACTACAGGGTTCATAAGATGAGAGAAGAGCTTTGCGAAGATACCCTTGCCTATGATCTGGAGTTCTAAGTGGGGGACTTTACTTTCTACTAGTAGTACTAGATATTGATCCATAGACTCAGTGAAAGAAGAATGCCGGCCAGCATTTTATCTAGTAATCAAAGAATTTACATACTTATTTACTGGAAAAGACTTGAATAGTAGTATACAAGCGATTTGTTGAAGAACGAGCTGAACACAAGTATATCGTGATTAATCATTTGTCATAACGCCAGTAGAGCCGTTGGGATCTCCCCTATGTAAAATTGTAGACAGGCACCGTGTCCGTTCCAAGACTTTTGATATTCTGATGGCCAATGAAAATAGAAACGCGAAACAAGGAGTTTAGTAGCTGGCTAGCGGCCTACTCCTTGGAATCAACCTTCTTAGCGGGGTGATCGCCATTGGCTTCATCGCTGCGAGTGCGCTTCTGACCAGCAGAGTCAGAGGAGCTCTTGACAACGGGAACGCCACTAGTTATACTTGTTAGCTGCGATTGTCTCTCAATCGTTATCAGGCAAGTGATTTCTTACCGAGAATCCTTCTGAGCTGCCTCCTTGAATCCACTCTTCTGGTCCTCATCCCGGCGCTCGCGCCAGTCACGGTCATTGCGGGGAGCACCTCCGCGTCCGCCGCGTCCGCGACCACCGCGATCACCACGGCCACCACGGCCGCCACGACCACCACGACCACGGCCGCCACGGCCAGCACGGTGGCGATCCTCGTTGGGGCGAACAGTGCCGTTGTTAATCTCCTCCACCTTCTCGTCGCAGTATTCTTTCTTAGACTTGATGAGTAGCTCACGGTCGTTGAACTTGGGCTTGGGGTCCAGAGCCAGGAACTCCTTCTGCTTGTCCTCAGACTTGAATTCGACGAAAACACTGCCCTTGAAAACCTTCTCAGGGTTGGTGCGGCGCAGACGGACAGAGTTGATAGGACCGTAGGCCTCGAAGAAAGCCTCAATATCGGTCTGGGTGGTAGGACCCTCCTCGCCAAATCGGCAGAAGCCCTTGGCGTAGACGCTGCGGGCCATGGATTCGTCGGCGAAGACCTTGGCGTATTGTTCGCTGTGAACCTTCACATCATCGGGCAGGGCGACCTTGCGCTTGACGGCGGTGTTGTCTTCGACCAGGTCAAGAGTCTCAGAGGTCTTCATGGCCTCAACAATGGCTTCGAAGGGCTGAAAACGGCGCATACGCTTGAAGGAGTGGAGCAGCTCCAGGGGAACGGAGTTGTTCTCGCTGCCGCCGACCTTGGAGAAGAGGAACTTGTCCATGGGGAGGTTAGAGTCGGAGAAATAGAACTCGACCTAAAACCAGCCATATTAGATTAATTGTGAACTTGTAGCTTCCAACGCCCTTCCTGGCGCAACTGTCTTACCTGCTTACGGATCTCGACGGGGTCGTCGGTCTGCTTCTGCTGCGAGGGGTCAAACTTGACGTTGTTGGCGAAGCGGCCACCGCGACCACCACGACCACCCCGGTTGTCGCGCTGCTGTGACTCCTCGGACTGCTCCGACTTCTCTCCCAGCTTGGCGGCCTCAGCGACGATGCGCGCCTCTTCGGCGTCTTCCTTGCTCGCCTCGGCGGGGGCGGCGTTGTCACCCTTCAGCTCGGCGAGGACATCCTGGACATCCTGCTCGGCCTGAGCGTTATTGGTAGGCTTCTGTTCCTCAGACATTGTGGTAGATTGAGTATGCGACAAGGTTTGGGATTCTGATCGCGAGGGCGAAGATTAAGGTGCCAAGATGACTCGGCGGGATGACTCAACGGTCGGCAAAAGAATTGAGTCACAGGTTTGAGACGGAAAGATAATTTATGGAGTGATAGATTGGTTGTGAGATAAAAAATCCAAGGTAAATGGTCGTGGATGATCTATCTTAAGAAGGCAAAGAGCTCGGCGGGGAGTGAATTTTTTTTGGAGCGCGGGAGCTCCACTGACACCTGAGGCTGCAACCACTAAACCGGATTCGGTTACCTCGCCAGGATTCCCATAGTATTGATACTATATCTTTTGAAGATACTATATGTATAGTGTATTCTATCTAAATTTATGCACTACTAGTAGTTTCTGCCGTGGTGCTCAATTTTAAAATAGGTATATCATTGCTGTCTAACATTAAATACCGAGCGGCGGTTGGAATTCCAGAAAGTCAGCATGCCATGTCTCATAGCCAATCATTCCAATGCTCTTCAGGTGATCAATAAAAGTGTTCAGAAGTAGTTTTGGCTTGCGGGTTTTGCCTTCCTCCTCCCACCCCCATTGTGCACTTGTCTTGTAGAGCTCTTCAGCCTCCTTTGATCTCCACTCCATAACCCACGCGAGGCTAGAAACCTCTCCTCCACAACCACCACAACTACCGTTGGTCAATAAAAAAGCTTGGATATTATGATACTATATTTAACCCTCCTATGATCAGTCTCACAATAGAAGCTTTATCATACTACTATTTCAAAAATGAAGCTTTATTTAGCCGGGCGCAAACATAAACCGAAACTTTTGTCAATAATTAGTAGTTATTGAAGGCGGTCGAAGTATGTTTTTGACTACTAGTACTACCTAGGTATACCCAGCTTGGCCTTACTAGTACCTTCAAGTTGGAGAGAAGTAGAGAAACCTTGGAAGAAACCTTGGAATCCGTGTAATCAGCCCTGGAGTACTATTAGTACTAGAAGCAGTACGAGTAACCGTTCAGGGTCGCTCCTGCCCTGAGACATGATCGTGTTCTGGAAATGTTCTTCCCTCGGGTGTTCACAGATAGATGCCTTTGAACCTCCCCGTCATTCGGTTCATCGCATTTCTCTACCAGATCGACTCCCATTTTCTATTCATTCCTCATTGCTTACTCGGTTTGCACACTCGGACACCAACATTCATCCATGCACACAGGCGCAAAAGGCCTTCAAACTTGGCTGATTTCACCTTTCGAAACAACTCAAGAGTCTCTATCCTGCGAAAAGAATCACTTAGAAACGCGCTCCGATCTGTCTCCGAAAAGGCTGGCGCAAACCCTCGTTCTTCAACATTCTAATTCCTATCTCATATTCTGGAGTATGCGACCCTTCAAACACTGGGCTTAGATCGACCCGAACCTATATTTCAACAGCTTTACCCTCAACATGGCAGTCACCAACGATCCCGTGTCTTACTCTACTGAGTGGCCGACTATAGATGTAAGGCTCTACCTCGTCTCTCTCAAGACTCACAGGTTAACTCGGTGAATAGATTGTCTACCTATCCATCGTTGGGCCAGTGGTGCTGGCGGCTGCCTTTGAATGGGTGCTTTGGCTTGCAGCATTTCTTTACTGTCTCGTGAAGGTCTATCAAAAAGCAGATCATTGGAGCATCAAAGTGCTAGCAGTGGTGATGTGCTTTCTCTTCTCTGTGCTGCGGTAAGTCCAAACAGGTGAAGTTTGGAAATACCGGAGAATCACATAGCTAACCGTGAAGATTGTGATTTCAGATTGGCTTTCCTCCCTGTCATGATTGTGACACTGCCTCTGCCACCTCAACTAAGCCACCATATTCCAGAGTACCTGGCCCAAGATCTCCAATGGTTCGCCTTCTGGTCTTTCACAACTCTCCTCGTCGGGCCATGGCTTGCCTGTATCTACCAACTCGTCACAAGCTCCCTGGGACGCAAAAAGAAGATAAAAGAGGCATTGGATGATCGTACTGCACCGAAGACAGTGGTCGTCATGCCTGTCTACAAAGAAGATTCCGATACTTTGATCAAGGCAATTGACTCGGTCGTCGATTGTGACTATCCAGCAGCCTGCATCCACGTATTTCTCTCGTGGGATGGAAATCTAATCGACGAGTCCTATCTCCGTGTCATTCAAAACTTGGGTATTCCGATTTCCCTGAGAAGCTACCCTCAGAGCATTGATGTTATCTACAAGAATGCTCGGATCACTGTTTCTCGTTTCTCGCATGGTGGCAAACGGTATTGTCAGAAGCAGACATTCAAATTGATCGACAAAGTCTATGCAGAGTACCTGAAACGACATGATGATTTGTTTGTGCTTTTCATTGATTCCGATTGCATCCTTGATCGCGTGTGTCTGCAAAACTTCATGTATGACATGGAACTGAAACCGGGAAGCAAGCACAACATGCTGGCCATGACAGGTATCATTACCTCCACCACAGTGAAAAACTCATTCCTCACGGTCCTACAGGATATGGAATACGTCCATGGTCAACTTTTTGAACGTTCAGTGGAGTCTGCATGCGGGGCCGTGACATGTCTCCCCGGTGCATTAACCATCCTTCGTTTCTCGGCATTTCGCAAGATGGCCAAATATTATTTTTCCGACAAGGCTGAGCAATGTGACGACATATTTGACTTCGGGAAATGTCACCTTGGTGAAGACCGATGGCTCACCCACCTCTTCATGATCGGAGCCAAATGCCCCTACCAGATCCAGATGTGCAGCGGTGCCTTCTGCAAAACCGAAGCTGTTCAAACCTTTAGCAGCTTGCTCAAACAGCGGCGCCGCTGGTTTTTGGGCTTTATCACCAACGAGGTGTGCATGATCACTGATGTCAGGCTATGGAAACGGTATCCACTGCTCTGTATTGTTCGATTCTTGCAGAACACTATTCGGACCACCGCCCTGTTGTTTTTTATCATGGCTATTGCCCTTATCACAACTTCTAAAAAGATCAATGATGTCCCCGTGGGCTTTATCGGGGTTTCCCTTGGTCTGAATTATTTACTCATGATTTATTTTGGTCTTCGACTCGGTCGGTACAAAGCATGGCTCTATCCACTGATGTTCATTGTCAATCCGTTCTTCAACTGGGTTTACATGGTATATGGGATTTTTACCGCTGGACAGCGCACTTGGGGTGGGCCACGAGCCGATGCAGCCACTGCGGATGACCATATGACTCCTGAGGAGGCTGCCGAGCTGGCTAAAGCACTGGGCAATGAACTGAACATTGACGTTGATACTTTTCGTGCGAACAGCGTCCGCCGACGATCAGTTCCCGTCCGCCCCTCTGACCACATTGACGGTCGTTTTGCACCTGCGGAACAGCTTCTGGATGGATTTTATATCAGCACCAACGAGATCGATCCTGCTCAAGCACGCATGTCAGCCCCTCTCCCTGGTGTCCCCCGGTTCCATATACCGGGTCACCTTCACGACTCTATGGAGTCCTTCTTTACCGAGTCTTCTGATAGCGGATCCAATTCGGTTTTGTTGCCGCACACGGTGGAAAGCCTCATGAGTGAAGAAGATCAACGCAAGTTGTACTATGCCCGTCAGGCTCGGTCGTCCATCGGCATATATGGAGCCTCAGATAAGGCTACAGTACGGCCGCAGGTCCTCCAACCCATTCCTGACCATGCAGAGGCCTCTCCTTTTCATATTATGTCACCCTTTGCTGAACCACATGATCCAATGCAAGAGGGTCAAATTCTACTAGAAGAGATGACGATGACAGGGCAACGAGAGCCACCGCGGACCGCCGTTGACCACCGTTGGAAATGATTAGTGCCCGGAGGTCCAATGTTTGGGGACGTAGGGAGATAGTCTGAATGACGTCGTGTTTCTCAAGTCAACTGGGCTTGTTCCACTTTTCTCTTGCTTGTGGTGTTTATAGATTTAATGACCAGTATTTTTAGTATTGTTGCATGTGTCCAGAGGAGTAAAATTCGATAAAAGTAGCGCTGTCTGAGTAACCATAACAACAATAACATTGCCCTCAGGGTAAGAGGAAGAATAACATGATACATCATACATCATCGGGTGCGCTGTGATTGGTCATGACTAAACAAATGGAGTCGCCTTCACCGCCGTGGGGCGACGAAAATTCTGCCCCATAGCGGTGAATTCCGGCAGAACCCGGAAAAGCCTGGCAACCACTGGAAGGTTCGATGAGTCCACACAGTCAGTTTGCCAACTCTTGGACTGAAGTCTTTTTACGTTATTATATCATAGGCCAAATTTTCAGTAGTTCAAGTAAATCAAATTCTCTCTTTTTCACCGTATCCTTTCTACTCCTCCTTTTTTTTGTGGCCCAACTTCAAGTCAAAGATCCGTTATACCGTTGTCACTCCCCGCCAATCGCATAGTGGAGTGGCGTGCAAATTGTTCTCCCCTCCAAACTTCTTTTCTCTTTTGACTCTCCCTCCACCCACCCTCCCCCCTTCTCTTCAATATACCCCCATTTCATCCCGCCTACAATGTCTGTTGTCGGTATTGATCTCGGTGCGCAGAGCACCAAGATTGGTGTTGCCCGTAACAAGGGTATTGATATTGTGCGTATTCATTGCCCCGCCACTCCAGCCTCACCCCATTCGGATGTTGCGCATATCTTTCCTGTCGCCCTTTTGAAAAACTTCTCCCCAAAGAAGAGCATTGAGACTGACCAGGATTATTCCTCACCATTTAGATCGCCAATGAAGTTTCCAACCGTCAGACTCCGTAAGTTCCGATCGCTCACTGCGGCCCGACGTCATCCCAATCAGATTTTTGAAAGACTAACTTGAAATTTCCTGCCCGATAGGTCTCTCGTCGCTTTCAACGCCCGCAGCAGACACATCGGTGAAGCCGCCAAGACACAAGAGACTTCCAACCTCAAGAACACTATCGGTTCCCTCAAGCGCTTGATCGGCCGCTCTTTCAACGACCCCGATGTTGAGCTCGAGCAGCGCTACACCACAGCCCCCATCTGCGATGTCAATGGCCAAGCCGGTGTTGAGGTCAACTACCTCGGCAAGAAGGAGAAGTTCACTGCGACTCAGTTGGTCGCTATGTTCCTGACCAAGATCAAGGACACCGCCTCCAAGGAACTCAACCTGCCCGTCTCCGACGTCACTATCAGCGTTCCCGCCTGGTTCACCGATGTTCAGCGTCGTGCCATGATCGATGCGGCTGACATTGCCGGTCTCAATGCCCTCCGCCTCGTCAACGACACCACTGCCACCGCTCTGGGTTACGGTATCACCAAGCTCGACCTGCCCGGCCCCGAGGAGAAGCCCCGCCGCGTCGCTTTCGTCGACATCGGTTACTCCGATTACACTGCCACCATTGTTGAGTTCCGCAAGGGTGAGCTGAACGTCAAGTCCACCGCTTACGACCGTCACTTCGGTGGTCGTGACTTCGACTATGCCCTCACCGAGCACTTCGCCGATGAGTTCAAGGAGAAGTACAAGATCGATATCCGCACTCACCCCAAGGCCTGGTCTCGTACCCTGGCTGCCGCCGAGAAGCTCAAGAAGGTTCTGTCCGCCAACCCCCAGGCTCCCATGAGCATCGAGTCCCTGATGGAGGACACCGATGTTCGCGCTATGGTCAAGCGTGAGGAGATGGAGGATATGGTTCGCCCTCTGCTGAACCGTATCACCGTCCCCATCGAGCAGGCTCTCGCTGAGGCCAAGCTCACGGTTGATGATATTGACCACATTGAGATGGTTGGTGGCTGCACTCGTGTCCCCGCTCTTAAGGAGACCATCAGCAAATTCTTCGGCAAGAACCTGTCCTTCACCCTGAACCAGGATGAGGCCATTGCCCGTGGTTGTGCCTTCTGCTGCGCTACCCTGTCCCCCGTTTTCCGTGTCCGTGACTTCGCTATCCACGATATTGTCAGCTACCCCATCGACTTTACCTGGGAGCAGTCTCCCGATATCCCCGATGAGGACACCAGCCTCACCGTCTTCAGCCGTGGCAACGTTATGCCCTCAACCAAGATCCTTACCTTTTACCGCAAGCAGCCCTTCGACCTGGAGGCCCGCTACTCCAAGCCCGAGATGCTGCCCGGCAAGATCAACCCCTGGATCGGTCGCTTCTCCGTCAAGGGCGTTCAGGCTGACGCCAACGACGACTTCATGATCTGCAAGCTCAAGGCCCGTCTTAACCTGCACGGTATCCTGAACGTCGAGTCTGGTTACTACGTTGAGGATATGGAGGTTGAGGAGCCCGTTCCCGAGGAGGGTGAGAAGGAGGGTGATGTAAGTTTTAATTTTTCCTCCCGAAATTTTTCACTGGTTTCTATTTACTAACAACATTGACAGGCTATGGACACCAACGGTGATGAGCAGCCTAAGAAGACCCGCAAGGTCAAGAAGCAGGTTCGCAAGGGCGACCTGCCCATCAACGCCGGTACCGGTGGTATCGACGAGGCCACCAAGGCCACTCTCCAGGAGCGCGAGAACTCCATGTACATGGAGGACAAGCTGGTCGCCGAGACCGACGAGAAGAAGAACGAGCTCGAGGCCTCCATCTACGAGCTCCGTGACAAGATCGACGGTGCCTACTCCGAGTTCGCCAGCGAGGAGGAGAAGGACAAGCTCCGCTCCAAGCTGACCGATATCGAGGACTGGCTGTACGAGGAGGGCGAGGACACCACCAAGTCCGTCTATGTCTCCAAGCAAGAGGAGATCCGCTCCATCATCGGCCCCATCATCCAGCGCTACCAGGAGAAGCTCGAGGAGGAGCGTGCCGCTGTCCGCAAGGCCGAGGAGGAGGCTGCCGCCAAGAAGGCCGCGGAGCTCGAGGCTATGAAGAAGGCCGCCGAGGACCTGCGCAAGGCCGAGGAGGAGCACAAGAAGAAGCTCGCTGCCGAGGCTGGCGATGCCGAGATGGCCGATGCCCCCGCCGAGGGCCAGGCCGAGGACAAGCAGTAGATTGACAAACGATCTTCGCGTCTTTAAAGGTGTTTAGTCCAGGTGGCGGGAATCCAGAACCGTGCACTACGATTGGAACGGGCGGAGCCCGTGTTATGACGAAAAGGATTAAGAGATGTTTATGCGACTAGACCCGATCAACTTGGTTGGTCATTTTTTGTTCTTAATGCAAACAGTTATGATGTAGACCGCTTTCTATGAATAGATGAATTCAATCATGCTATATATGAGATTGAATTCACTTGCCGTGTCAAAGCACGTTGAGGTTCCCTTTCATGGGTCGTAGTTATTCCATGGGGACCATACTATGTAGTAGCTAGGAGTAGTTCTCATCAACTCCAGGGCTTGAATTTGAAGTAGTTACTATCTGTGGCCAAGGTTGGAGATCACCTGGGCACGCAGCAGGGCGGGGACTTGAAAGAATACAGAGGGTCTTGTGAAATGAACAACAGTAAGAAATTCAACTTGCAAGGTTCTTAAGTATTCTTTGTTGCCTTTGGTGTTGGAGGGGCAATGGTAAAGAGTGAGTTTGGCCTCGAGCTCATGGAATAATGGGCGAAGGAAAATGGTTCATACGTTATTTAGAGGAAGGAAAATTTGGAGGTGGCTTTGTAGAAGAAGCAGTCTTTCACGTACATTGCTCTTGATAGAGGAAGGAACAATGATGAAATCAATACTAGCTGTGTATAACAAAAAGGCTACAAAAACTTAGCTAGCGCAGACCAATCCATATCATCTTAAAGACAATGTCACACTCGAGCTTCTGAGTATACAATTCCAGTGAAAACAATTGAAGCTACTGTCCCTGAAAATAATGGTACCCTTCTCGGGCATGTAATTTATCATGTTTTCCCCAATCTCGCGACATCTGAGCAGCATTGGATACTTGAAGCGTAGCTTTTCCATGTTTCTCTTTTTGTTCGCGGAGGATGGTTCGGCTTCTGCTTTTCCTTGTAACCGGGTTGATGGTTTTCTCCGATTGAAACGTTGTTCTCGCCACCAGAGGGCGAGGGCGAGGAGAAATCGTGGCCATAATCATGCTCATCATCTGGATAATTGTACCAATTGCCTTTGCCACGGTCTGCTCGAAAGCAGTACTCTTTCAGTCCAGATTGACTGGCACAGATGATCATAAGGCCGTCCGCTTCCCCAAGGTAGAACGAAGCTTTGAACCCCCCAGGTGTGAGCGTTTCTTCAATGTCGATTTTCAAGTTTCGTTTCGGCCAGTGAGGTTGCTCGCAATAGACATCATAGCTGCCAACGAGTAAAGGTTGAGTCGACGAGAAGGTGTTGCCTGTCACTCGCATGAACTAATCCAGATGATCGGCATATATCTGCTCTTGCTGGCGATCTTGTCTCCTTTGATTCTCCACCTGCACAAACATCCTTATGTTCTGCTGCAATGTCTGGATGGCTATCGTCTTTCCATCAACGTGGCTCTTGGCGCTTTGTTGCACACTCAAGACATTCCAACCCAAAAAGATCACCTGAGTCATGAGGCCGACGGCTTTTTCGCAGTGCAGGCCTGGGACTTTCCCGGCGGCCTCGACAATTCCATCAGTGCCACAGTCCCCGTAAAGCTCAGAAATGGGGGGCCTTCACGGGATCAGTGGTTCTTTGGGGGTCAGGTCAACCGTGTACCAAGAAATACCGGTTCATCAGCCAGATTGGATGGTTGATCATGACTGACGGATGGCACTGGCCCACCCATCTTCTGTGCACCCTTTCTTCTCGCTGGATGATAGCGGGAGGCACTTGATCGCATTTTCCTTCCTTGAGGAACTTCTGCAGCAGTTGAGTTCCGTTGCCCGAGTATTCTTCCTCTGAAAACTAAATCCCGTAGTGTTTCAACTGGCAACGACAAAATTGTCGATTTTCTTGGAGCGCTCTTTTCACTTCGCGGGATAGCCTTGGTAGAAACATTCTTCGAAGACGGGATCCCTTGATTCGTTCCATGCCACCAGGCCATGTCTTGAAGTGTCCATGGCCAGAGCTGAAACCCTCATCGTGGACGATATCCTCGTGATATTCAAACATGGTGAAGTTGGTTGATTAGCTGTTGAGAGTATTGAATATAGATAGGAATGATAAAGGCTTGGGGACTCGGAAATCGAGAGATATCTTGAAATTGCGAGACGGGAAAAGAAACGTTGGAACGGAGATGACTTACGCCGAGGATAACTATAGAGAAGATAAAATAGTGGGAATTAGAGCTGGCGACAGAAAACATCGTGTTTGTTTGTACACGTTTTCGAAGCATCAGTATGGTGTACTAGTAGTAAGTAACTATGCACTGGCCCGGCATACTTGAAGTTGCATAGTGTACTATGTTTCAAGTAGTACATCGGGAATATGCTTGAGATTCGGAGATCCGCAGTGACACGTTTGCTAGCCTGCTTTAGCTCAATAGTATTTTCTGATGAGTCAAAGAGCAAATGGAGTAGAATGACGCGATGGAAAAAGCAATGAGCCCTGAAGAGCAAAACCGACGTGGTTCACATTTACATGCGTAGGGGGTGTAATCGTCTTACTAGTACGAGTTCTTACTAGTAGTACGACTCGGGGTTCACAGTCGCACAGGCGATCGTGTCTCCTCCCACAACCTTAATTGATCGTGCAAAGATTGATATTGAATGAAAAGTGCAAGCTGATAGGTCATGCCGGAAGATTGACAAACGGTGGGTCGAATGTGCTCGATCAACCTGGGAGATTACCGGATTGGGCGATACGATCGTATTCGTTTGCTATTGTATTTTCTGCGAAAACCTGGCGGGTCTCGTTTACTCGTTTACATATGTACTTGGGCACTATACTTGCAGTGGGTAATCTCGTTTTTAATTTACTTCGTACATTTTACTTTGCAGCCTAAACGAACACTATACGGACGTGGTACCCCGTACTCTGTAGAATCACATCACTGAACTGCCCGGAAATTGACCGGGAGATCTCACTAGCTAGGGACTCTTAGTACGAGAGTACGAGTCCACCTATCTCCCACTATTCCCTTCCCTTTCTCCATCCTCGCCAACCGGTTCTCAACGGCAAGGCGTCCTGAATCCACCGTGGGGCGTCCCAAGTCTTGGCAGCGCTTGCCAAGCTGCGCATTCGCTTCCAAAAGGGCCCTGTATTCCTCCTCCAGGCTGGGGCAAAGAGACGAGATGGGGGAGATCTCTCTCCTGAGCTTTGAGTCCCCCCCCTTTATTTGCTACTACTACTCCACTCCACTTCAACCTTCGAAAATACAACATCAGGAGTCAGAAGTGAAAGATGAGAGACGCGATGGCTGACATCACTACTTCCCCAACTCCGATCAGGAAAGTGGGCACGCGGACATTCGGTGGCTGCAGGATTTCTTGGTCACTTCGTTCATTGTCCATTTGCAGGATGCCACCCTCGCCAAGTTGCATTCTCCTTTGAGCCTTGTAAATCTGTCCAATTGGCGGGCTTGACATACCTCGCCCGATTACTCCGTACATCCTCCCTCCCCCTTGGTCCTCCAAGTCCAGGGGACTCCTTTTCAATGGGGGTGTGCTCCATTCCCCTTCGGTGGGGGTGAAAAGGCCCCGGGGCCACACTATCCGGTCTAATCCGCCCCGCTGATGTCCATAAACGCCGGCGTATCCATTCGGATTGGCCCATTCTCTGCTGGTTCTGTTAGCTCTGTTGGTTCTACCGGCTCTGCCGAGTCAGAAAGGGCCTTTTTTCTTTACCGGCTTCCCCTCTCCCCAGTCTCACTAAGACATCTTTGAGCTGACTTATCCTTTCCTTTCCTCTCCTCTCCTCTCCGCCGCATTCGCATTCTCTCTTCGTATTCCTACTATTCTTCTCCCGATCTTCAACTTGAAGTTGACTCGACCATCTCCCTCCCTCTCCTCCCAACCCTGTATATATTCCCGCCACGCTCCTCGTCGCGCCACTCAATCGGCATCAAGCTGAACTTTATAAACGATATACCTTCCGGACTGCAATCCATCCCTGGGCACTTGGATCTTGAACAAATTCCAGCATGAGAACTGGGTCGATTTCCCGTATAAAGTTTGTCTCCTAAGCAAATCGACCCTCAAGATGCGGCGGGTGCTCGCAGCTGGCTTCGCCTTGTGGTCCGCCGCCACAGCTCTGCCCAATCCAGTTGAGAGCCCGGCCCCAGCCATCATCGACTCCAATACCTTGAGGGCTGAGCCCGAACCCGAGCCCAAGCCCGATCCTACCCTCACCGATCCCCTCTGGCTGAACTACGGTCTCAATGCTTCTGCCGAATACAAATACTTCCATGAACCGGGCCGCGACGATATCCTTGGCCATTATGACTCGCGCTTCTTCAAGGAGCCCGTGGGCGACTCTGAACGCGCGGAGACCCTCACCCATATGATTCGCGCCTATCTCAATTTCTTCAACGAGAATAAACTCGACACTTGGATTGCGCACGGAACGTTGCTTGGCTGGTGGTGGAATGGAAAGGTGCGTTCCCATTGTATCACTCTGGAGGCCAGAATACTGGACTATCCTTTCGTATTATGGCCTAGTCAAGAAACTAATCTGGCCACATAGATTCTCCCTTGGGATTGGGATATGGATACCCAAGTCGCGGATACCACTCTCGCATATCTTGGAGACCACTTCAATCAGACCATCGTCGCATATACCGTTCCCGAAAGCCCTATCATCCGCGAATACCTCCTCGACATTAATCCCTGGTCGCGCCAGCGCGAGCGCGGGAAGGGCCACAACATTATTGACGCTCGCTGGATCGACATTCATACTGGCCTGTACATCGACATCACTGGTCTCAGCAGGCTGGAGCTGGAGCACCACCCAGATATCTGGCAGTGTAAAAACTTCCACAAATACCGCTTAATCGATTTATATCCGATGCGCCATACTTTCTTTGAGGGTGTTCCTGCCAAGGTCCCGTTTGCATATGATCAGGTGCTGAGGGAGGAGTACTCCGAAAAGGCGATGATTACGACCGAATTTCACAAGTAAGTCTCTTATGTACCACGGCATAAGCATAATTACCGAATACTAACTATACGCAGTCACACTTGGTTCCCCGAAATAGGCGAGTGGGTGTCGGACAAGAACGTGGCCGACTTGACCGTCAAGTTGGAGGTGGATTACGAGTGATTGAGGTCCCTCTCCATCGACATGCATTTCACTGTGCATATTTATTTCTGGCCCTTGGGTCTACTATCTATTCTTTTATCACCGGGTTGAGCGTGGTTCTCCCTCGGCCTTGATATTTTGAATATTGGTTATCTCCTGTTTATATCTCATGCATTTTCAAAGGGGCTAGGTGTCTTGGATCATGACTTTTCTGTTGGAAAATTTGCATATATCATTTGGAAATAGGCGTTTGGATGTGTACTTACCTTTTGGGGCGTCTGTTTTCTTTGGTTCGAATGGAAATCATCGTATTCATTCTTGACAAGTCATGGATCCTAGCTGTAGAATACATCGCCACTGACCTCGGTCTTCAATGTTTCAAGGCTGTTAGTTGCCACCGTTTGCTTTTTCTTCCAAGGTTATTATTATTCAAGCATTCCAAGGTTTGCCACGATTCCTTTTGTCATCTTTGTCCGCGCTGACAAATCAAATGCTGTCATCCAGCGGTCTTGCACGTCCAGTCTGATGTAAATCTTAGCTTATGGCGGAAGGGTCTAAACATAGATAGAGACTACAAATAGCTATGTTACCAGATTCCTCTATTCCAGTTCCCGTGCCCTAACTGATCTCGTGAGTAATACGGAGTATACAGTACCCTACCTTAGGGTAGCTTAAGGGTATACTTTTGTTATCTCCGTGCTGACAAAGCTATCGCCGTGGAACCCGTTCGAATTCGCACCTCGGCGCCTGCCTATTTGGGTTCCTCTGCTTTGCTCTACAACTCTACTTTGCTATCTCTGCTATCTCACTCACCATTTGATTCCCCCGATACCACCTCCTCCACCATGGCTTCCCCCATGGAGCTCACCGTGCATCACCAAGGCACCGCGCACAACTTTTCCCTCTCCGCCTCCGCAACCCTCCAAGACCTCTCAGCAACAATAGAAGCATCTCTGAACATCCCCACAGCAAACCAGAAGCTCCTCATTGCCCCAAAGCCAGGAATGCAAAAGGCGCCATTCCCACCAACACGCCTAGACACAATTCTCCAACTCTCCTCCCCAAAGTTCAAAATCACCCTCCTCGGCACCCCAGCCCAAGCCATCGCCGACCTAAACACCCAAGCCGAGACAAATCGCCGCCACGAAGAAGCCCGAGCCTCCGCCCTCGCATCCGCACGCCGGAACAAAAAAACACCCACGCGATCAAACAACACCATCGCCACACTCTCCTCCTCCAGCAAATCCTACACCTTCCACAAACTCCTCCCACTATCCTACCTCCCCCGCCCAGAGCGCTCCCTCGATTTCCTCAAACGTCTCCGCGACGACCCCGGCATCCGCGCTGCAATGGCAAACACGAGTTCTCCGTCCCACTGCTCACGGAAATGAACCCGGCCGAACACACCTCGGGCGATCACCAGGGTGTATCGCGCACGCCGGGCCTAAATCGTAATCGCGGCGAGGTAATCGAGCTCCGTCTCCGCACAGATGCATACGACGGATACCGCGATTACCGAACGATTCGCAAAACGCTCTGCCACGAGCTGGCGCATAACGTTTTTGGGGATCATGATCGCGATTTCTGGAATTTAACGGCTCAGATTGAGCGGGAGGTTGAGGCCGCTGATACCAGTGCTGGTGGGAGGAGATTGACGCAGCAGGAGTTTTATAATCCGGGGGATTGGGAGCAGGCGCAGGGTGAGGAGGAGGTTGATGAGTGTGGGTGGACGGGTGGGGAGTTTGTTCTTGGTGGCTCGTCGGGCTCTTCTGCTTCTGCTTCTGGGGAGTCGAGGAGGGAGGCTATTGCGCGTGCGGCGGAAGAGAGGTTGAAGAAGGAGAGGCGGGATGAGGAGGCTTCTTGATTTCAAGTTGTTGGATGATTTTTGTTACGACCTGTATACACCCATAATCTACTAAATAATGAGTTACGATTGCATCGCGCTGAATTGCATTTACTTTGAATGAGATGCCTACTTTTTGGAACAAATGTTGATAGAGCTGCTACTGAAAACAACTCCACTTTACGTAGATTTTATAGAAATAGTTGTAATATGCATTCAATTTGGTTGTTTTATCAAATAGACATGTCGTAGTCATTTACAGTTGCTCGTTAACAAACAGACCAGCCATTCCTTGGCCGGTACCAATGCACATGCTCGTAACGAGGACCTTCTTCTTAGTCCGGCGAGCCTCACTCAGAACAGTAGCAATTTGGCGGGCACCAGTAGCACCCAGAGGGTGACCAATGGCAATAGCACCACCACGAGGGTTTACCTTGGCGTGGTCCAGACCAAGGGTGTTGACACAGTAAACCGCCATGGAGGCAAATGCCTCATTAATCTCAAAGATGTCAACATCGTTCTTATCAAGTTGGAACTTGGTCAGCAGCTTGGGGATAGCAGCAGTAGGGCCAATGCCCATGACACGGGGTGGGACACCAGCCACGGTGGCACCGCAGAACTTGGCCAGAATAGGCTGGTTCAGCTCAATAGCCTTGGAGCGGCGCATGAGTAGGACGGAAGCAGCTGTGTTTGATTAGAAACCGGCCGAAATTGTCTTAATAAAAGAGGGGTGGGAATCGTGCTTACCGCCATCAGTAACCTGGCTGGAGTTACCACCAGTCGACTTATCACCGAATTGAGGGAAAGCAGGGCGGATTTTAGCCAGCGACTCATAGGTAGTTCCGTAACGAACACCGTCATCCTTGTTCAGAGTTACTTGGTGGACCTCGCCAGTCTTGGGATCCTTAACCTTAACCGAGATGGGAGCAATCTCATCATCGAACCAGCCTGACTTCTGCGCAGTCTCGGCACGACGGAAAGACTCCGCCGCATAACGATCTTGCTGCTCACGCGAGATTCCAAAGTCATTACCCACGTTCTCAGAGGTCTGACCCATGGGCTGCATGCAGTCCGCAGCCTCCTGGTTGCTCAGGACCTCTTCGTTGAAGGGCTTCTCCAGACGGTCGCCAGCGGCGGACATCAGCTCCGCACCAAGGGCGATACCGACATCAATGGCACCAAGGGAGATCTGGTTGGCAATGTCTTGCACAGCCTTCAGGCCGGAAGAGCAGAAGCGGTTGACCGAGGAGGCACCTGCAGTGTGCGGGATACCAGCGGCCAGGGCGGCAGCGCGGACCATATAAGCGGCTTTACCTTCACCAACCTGTGAATCTTGTTAGACATATTATTTCACCCATGGCAAACGCAGTAAGCACAAGGTGTACTTACATTTCCCAGGCAAACATCCTCGACCAGGGCGGGATCAATCTTAGATCGAGCCAGAGTTTCCTTCAGCAGAGCGTAGACCATGTAGTCCAGCTCGGTATCCTTGAACCCACCCTTGCGGGCCTTAGTCAGGGGTGTGCGCAGAGACAGGGTGATGACCACATCGTCGGGGTTCTTCTGGGTGCTTTTTGACCGTTTGTCAGCTTGGTCGAAATGTAGGAGCCGACTGCCGCGGAACTTACATGGCATTGAGTCCACTGCCGCCACCGGGCTTCAAGTGGTTCAGAAGTGAGCTGAGACGGTCTGCGGCCATTGTGAAATGTGAGGTATGAGGGCTAATAATTTTTTATTGTCAGCATGACAATATTTGTGTTCAATCCGTTTAATATTCCTGGGGTTGGGGGGTTTCGGAGTTATTGCGGGGAAGCTCCATAGTGGCGGGCAAGGGAGGGAAGATGGTTCCAAAGAGTGTTTCGGAGGATGAACATAATGGAACAGAGATTCACTTACTGAATGATAAAATTACAGCTGTATTTCTGGAGAGAAGAAGGGAAGGATGGAGGAAGAAGGGAGGAGAGAGAAGAGGAAAGAAGTAGGGACTCCGCTTTAAGCTTCCCCGAGACTGCCGAGGCTCTTTTGTCTGCTCAACACCCGCCAGCCGGAGAAGTAACCAAGAAGTATCTGGTACTTCTCCAACACATAATGTAACCTGCCACGGAAAAGTACCCACTACTTGTGTCGGGTGTTTCATACGTATTCGGGGTATACTCCCAAGTAAATAAACCTAGGTTTAATCTGGTGCAACATGCTTATTTCGGGTAATCATACTATTGGACACGTTGATTAAATCAATCCGAAATCTTGTTTATTGATTACTATCTGCTTTACAATCCCCTCCAGAGCTTCAGCGCGCCTACCAAGGAACAGCACCATTCTCATCACTGTACGTCCCCGTGTCCCCATCACTTGACAGAGTAGCCAGCCTGACAATATTGACCGCTGACTCAGAAGCAGGGCGTCCATTGCCACGCGAGAAGTTGGTCGCGGTCAAATTTGGAGATGCAGCATTCACCTTCCACCCCTTCTCGTTGAATTTTGCTGCAAAGTGGAGGGTAAGAAAGTTCAACGCCGCTTTGCTACTCCGGTAAATAGGAAAAGAGGGCTGTGACCACTTTTCCCATTCAGGACCATTTTTGTCTACTCGAAGACCCATTGAGCCTGTGTGAGAGGAGACAAATACAATCCGGGCAGGGCTGGCAACTGCTTTTTCAAGTAGAGGCGTGCAAGCCTCAGTGACGATGGCAGCACCGAATAGGTTAACCTCGTAGGCATCGCGATAAAGTTGACGTAGTGTGGCCAGTTTTGGTTTGATCTGTGTTAGCTTCTGAGCCTGTGCACGAAGGGTAGCAAGATCTGGCTTTTTCTCCTCATCTTTTCCCTTGGTCGCTTCTTCAGCCTGTTTGAAAAATAGCTCTAACTCGTTGTTGATGCCTGCGTTGTTGACCAGCACGTCCAGCCGGCCATGTCTCGAGGTAATCTGTCGAACTGCTTCCTCAATAGAGTCATCATCGGTCACATCGATGGTGATAGCCTCCGCGCGTTGGCCGGTAGGGTCGAGTTCAGCTGCTGCCTTAGACCCGCGCTCCGCATCGCGAGACCCGAGAAGAATGTGATAATTCTCATATTCAAGGAGCTGTTTGGCAGTGGCAAATCCAATGCCTTGGTTGGCACCGGTGATCAACACAATTGTTTGAGGTACGTTGGATGCCATCGTCAATTGTTCAAATCGGCTGAAGATTGGAAGCGGGCGAAGCGAACAAAGACCGTAGAAGAACTTGAAGCGAAAGTGTTGGAAAGAAACAGATAGATAGTTTTATCTTGCCTGGGAATACTAGATCTTCCATGGCGACCGATCTATGTATTTGTAGTAAAAATGTCAAGTGTAAGGTTGCGCCGGGGATAGTAGTTAAGTCCGGCTCAAATTTCCTTGAATGGAGCTGGCGATCCCATGGAGGAAATTTTGCTGGAGATAAAGGATGAATAAAATCCAGGGATAAAACACTTGCGCATTTAGTACAGCACGGCTGATCGAAGGGTCGGACTTACACTAAGTATGCTGCATCACCATTACCCTTGGCTAGATTGTCTGCTATTTGTTGGACCCATTACACATAACACTCGCTCTATCGGGGAGCTGGAGTCGGAATTGGCAGCGTCCCTTTTAAGAAATACCAAATTCTTTCGGTTCTATTTGATTTGAATCTCGGGCCAAGGATTATTGAGATACAATTTCGTCTGCTTCGATTCTTCACCAAGGTCCCGGTCAACTCGTCTCAAGCTCGCTTTCGTTTCAACCTCGAACTGGAGGCATCTAATATGGAAAGAAGGGTCAAGTTTCCGTTCGATATCGCGTTATCGCGTATACTCCCATCGATGCTAGCACCCTTGTCCAATTGTATTTTGACCAGCTCCTCGCATGAGTGGATATGGGGGTCATTTGGCGGTCCTGGATCCACACCTACAGTATGCCACAGTGCAGTCCGTCCGTCCTCATCTCGAATGCTCATGTTGATTTCCTCGCTCCTCAAGAGCTCTCTTGCGAAGACGTAATAGTCACAGATCACCGAATACATCAGGATCGTCCTGCCTTTTCGGAAGAGTTGACTGTCAAGGGTGCGATTGCATCTTTCTAAAATCATCTTCACGATACGCAATTGGCGTATTTCTTGCTCGACCGAGCGTTCTTGATCAAAAAAAACACGGCCTACTATCGCATCCTGAATAGCATCTTGAATCCTATCAGGATTTGTCTGTGGGCTCCATTCCAAAGACTCCAATAAAGTCTTCACGGTCTCTTCGCTACCATTTGCACACGCATAATTGAGAGGCCTCTTCTTTCCCTGACGATCAAAAACATCATAATTGGGATGAAACTCTTTGACGAGTTCCGACAGATTATACCAAGCGCAGAGATGAAGTCCATTGTCAACATTGGAAAGCCAGGAGGAGGGAGCAGGGTATTCTGAATACCGCTCGCTGGCCTGTCGCCCTATTTCACGGGCTTTCTCGGGTTTCTTCAAGAACTTGATAGCACTGTATTTGATTTCCCTTTCAAAGCAAGCTTCTTCGGAGACCTCACGAACGTGGTCTGCCCAATGATCCAGGACATAAGACAGGAACGGATATTTCACGAGATCCATGGAATGTTGTGAATAGTCTTTGTGTTCGAGGTATTTTAAACAGAGACGGGCCATCTTTTCATGCAGATTTTGAAAGGATGTATACGGATTAGTATTGACTTTGATGGCCCTTATGGAGTCGTGGGTCAAGTATACAAAGGAATTTGCATCGTCGGCTTTCTCAATTCTTAGTAACCCACTTGTTGCCATCGAGATGACTTCTCTGTCGGTCAAATCTTCCTCGAGTATTATATCGTGACTATCGAGGGCCAAAGCATGCTGTAGAGCCAAGACATTTATTGGACGGAAAGCTGAAATTATCATCGAGATTGTCTCCAAGGCTAGGGAAAAATCATCAGGCGACTTGTAATGCTTCATGTTCTCAACTTTTTCCATGAAGTAGTGACTGAGCCTTGTTTGGGGTACTTGATCAAGCTCATGGATCAGATCGTCGAGTTTGTCTGGCACTGTTCTTTTGCGCACAAAATTTTCGAGCCAGATATTTGCGATTTGAAAGTTTTTTTGCGCATGCTGCGCTATTCTTTTGGCAATTGGGGCTATCGAGGCTTGGTTTCTCCGGAGATAACGAACAAAGGCTGAATCATGATATTGTTGACCATGTTGGCGGTCATCTGATTGACGAGGCTTGATCGAGAACTGCTTTAGCTTCTCGAGGCAAAAGTTTTCAATGTCACCCTCTCGGGGGAACGCCTCTATGTAGACTGTCTCGTAGGTCTCATTGCTGTCATGTTCATTTGAACAAGAAAAATTGTTGAACTTGCATTCATAACAGATGTCAAAGTCATCGCCGTTACAACTGCAATTGAAGTGGAAAAACATGCTGAGATTTTCCTCTGGACACCTCAAGTTATCGCAATTGATTTCTTTGTGTACCTTGAGATAATTATGTGATGTGGTCAAAAGGCTTAGGGAAAAATCCCCTCCTGATAAGATCAAGAGGGTAGTCCTCCAGAAAATTACGAACATCGCTTTTGAACTGAGAAATTCCGTCAATGATAAGATATGTTCGGGCGTGCCTTCTCAACAATTCTTCAAACGCTGCCTTTATCGTAGATTCACGGGGAGGGTTCCCCTCCGATGCATTCTCGAGTGCAGTCGGTATAGTGTGGCCTTCATCGAGCAGAACCAGCTGTTTCACAAGGCTTTTTAACAAATTTTCTCTAGTTTGCTCCTGTAGTTGATCCTTTTCTTCACTTAAATAGATATGAATAACAGCCGGTGGTCGTAGCTGTGAATCTTGGGAAGTACCGGAGTATCGGTCTTTGAGATACTTCCCCACAAAAGCGCAAAGAAAGGTCTAATAACGTCATTTAAATTAGTACATTCATCTCAAAGTATGCTTTTGTAATGCTACTTTTCGGGACTTTGAATATCTCACTTTTCCAATACCTGCTTCTCCATAAAGCCGAAGATCCCATTTAACACCATCAATCCATCTTTTGAATACATCATGTTCCGCAAGCCAGGTTCCCGTGACCAGGCGGCTTTCTAAGAGCTTTTCCTGCTTGGACGCGAAATCAAGATTGCCAAGTAATTGCAAAATTTCATTACGTTGCCTATCATCCATCTTTTTGTTTATCTCTCGTACGCCTGGGCCAGGTCAGCAGCATTCTGCATATCATGACTCTGATTGTCCAAGAGCAGTTGTTGAGGCCGATTATCCAGCATATTGCCATCTTGAACATGGAAATCCAACGTACCTACCTCTACAATGGACCCAGCTGCCATAGCCCTATCAATGCTTCTTGCCGGAATGATATCTAAAAGATTCTTCGCATAAGCCGCTGCGGACAGCGCAGCGTAGTCCTGCCAGTGATCGTTCTTGTGGCTGTCGGCGTAATCGGAAATTCCCCTGATGACAATACATGGAAAATTATCCATCAAGGATGCTGCCTCCATTTCAAAGCACAGCACATTCTGGTTCTGGCGCATGAAATCTCGCTTCTCTGCGTTTTTCATGACTGTATTGGCAGATCCGATTAAGCCAGAGTAGATATGAGGGCGATCTGAAGTACGCCTCTCTCGCGACACCACAAACGTCTCTGAGCAGTTACTGCAGACGCCACTCTCTTCGGTTTCACAAGCATAATCCGGCTTAAAGAGTCGATCTGCCTCACGGCCAGGGAATCTAAACCTAGAAACGGTGTCGGTCGCTTTTCGCATGAATTTTTGCATTTTATTTTTCCCAGCTTCGTGCTCTGTCCAAAGCGTGTGTACCGCATCGGTAAGGAGGCCATAAGGCTTGTTCAAGTGACACTTGATCATTTCAAATCCTTCATCAGTCTGTTTTCCCATGTCATACTGCAATACACCACCTATTCACAGTACTATGTTAGTAATCTTGTCTATCGGTATAACACCAGCGCTTCAAGCTGTAAATTGATATCTGTCCACTTACCGTCAGTGCTGCCTGACATACTGACGACTACGTCCCCTAGCAATATATCATCCAATTTACCCCCGCCAGACTCCGCTGGAGCATTTGTGGCACCGCCGCCAGTTCCGACCATCAAGACGAAGCGGATATTTTTGAAATTGGCCACCATTTTTGTGGCAGCAGAAACGGCAGCAGATTGCCCCATTCTGCTCGACTTGGCGATGACAATCTTATGCTTGTATTTTCCCATCCGACCAACCACATACAGATTGTCAAACGAGGGGACAATTGGATGTTCATACTCTTCATCGAGAAGAACCTTGGAAGCCAGATATTCTGAGCGTGTGACGCATACCCACCCAACTGTGTACGCATCACAAGGGTATTCCTCCTTGAAATCCGTGTCCGACATTTTAGTTGCTTAGCACACACTGCAAGATTGAGTACTGGTACCTTAAGGTGGTAGGAATTGCCAAACTTCAAGATATGCAATGGGTGGGAAAGGCCGGCATATTTGGAATTTCAGCCGGGCTCGGTTTAACCCGGGTTAAGAGGCTCAACTAGGCTACTATTACTCTTTTCATGAATTGGCGTCGGGCTAGGTCTCGTGTATGCGCGTGTATGCACGCATGGTATGCAGGGGTGAAGGGGAAAAAAGCAAAGATAGGATTTGGGCATTCGTCTCAGGCTCGAAATCAGTGAACACCGAGCGGGGGATAACATGGTAGCGGTCAGCCTTGTCCACCATTTCAGGTGATTGGTGGGTAGTTTCTAGGATCGGCAGCATGTTTGAGTGTTAATGAGATGCTGTATGGGCGAGCGGTGCATCAAAAAAGGTGGGTATATGCGCCAAGAGAATGGGTTGCATCCATGTATGAAGACAAACATCCGCAAAGGGAAGCAGTATCTTGGTCTCCTGTACATCCATCACTAAATTCATGACTCCCAATACATGGGTCAAGTAAACGAGCCACATGTTTCGAGGATTTTATGACGCTAAAGTTTCGGCAAATGATGCATCAAATCATGCATCCCAGGCCCCCTACCTCAGTACTCCGTATGTACTCCGCCCTGCTGGCTTTAATGTAGCCCTACTATTCAAATCAAATGATAAGAGCGGAATTTTCGTTTCAAAGTTATCCGTACTCCATACTCATCAATTTCAACAAGGGACTTTGATTGCCCGGGCACGCCGAGGGGCGTAAAACCCTGTCACCTGCTCAGGGGAAATTTGGCCAAAGCAACGTGCCGATCACGCCGCCGCATTATTAAATGTATGTATGGGGTACGGAGTATTTTGGCATTTATACAGGAACCAGATCGTTGGGCTCTTACGCTCGCATTTTGTCCCGCTTTCATACATTTCTTCGCCTGAAAAGGGCCTAAAAAGCATGCGGACGAATACAACTGGAACCAATTGGGCAGGCAAAACCCTAATCCTGGCCCTTTCCTCGCTCCTGGCACCAAATTTCACCAAAGCGCCATCGGAGTTATCCTATGTCTCCACACCATCGCTGTCATCCTCGAATGCTCTGGCAATCAGCGCCTCTGTCAATTCAACTCTCTGCGGTAGTCTTATCAGGGAATGTTAGTATTGCACATTTTTATTCTAAAGATATTCGCTAACTTAGCTTTGTTGTACAGCACACAATGTTGTCAAGGCTACGGAAGCCTACGATTGCTTGAGAACTGTTCCTTTTCATGCGGGTGTCGCTCGGGAACTTATTCACTACCTCAACGAGACGATTCAATTCCAAAGCACCCTTGCCTACCTAGCGAGTCCTCCTCCTGAATACCAGCAACCAGCAGTAGATCTGGTGGCTGGACTTGCTAGTATTGCGCGCCGGATTGACGGGGGTAACTTCACCAGCGAGTACGATTTCGAGACGACTCTACAGAGACTGCTTAATGACGCCCATGATGATCATCTCACACTCGAGGGCGGAATACTCTCTTCGTTCATTTATGGAGCACCCTATGATATTGTGTCTTTGTCTTTGGACGGAGTTGAACTTCCAAAGCTCTATCTCGCTAGTGAGTCAGCCGGCATTCCGATAATTTATGATACAATATTCATGGATTGGGGTACTGATGCTGAAATCTTTCATTTCACAGATGAGCTACGTACTGCCAAACCGAAGGAACTTTCTGAAATGCCATCGCCTATTGCGACAATAAATGGCGAGGACGCTGTGTCATACATAACTCGGTTTGCCGCTGTGAATTCTCTTGGTAAACTTGAGCCACATGCAGATTGGAACATGTTGATGCGGAGTGGGGCCTTGGATAGCCAGGGGTTGATGGAAGTCTTTTTCGGGGGTACAACCACATATCCAGGGGATACCATCACTATAGGCTTCGAAGATGGACATCAGCTAGGCCCGGAAAAGTGGTTGGCACTTTACCTCGGTCCTCCGAACACTGGGCCCCTGCAGACTGCTGGAGACTTTTACAATTTCTTTACGTTAGGCCTTAGCCCTGCATCATACAACGACACAGCGGATCCTGCATCGACTACGTCTGCCAGTGCCACGTCCGACTCGTCGCCAACTGCAACTTCATCCTCGAAACCGTGGTGGGACGAAGCTTATCCTACCCCCGAAGCTCTACCGGCAAGCAACTCAGACGAGCAAGGGCTGCCACGAATATTTTTTCTGAATAAGTCATCAGTGGCGGTTCTTAGTATCCCCGAGTTCACGATGAGTTATGATCTCCCTGACCTGTTCATCAGTACTGTCAAGGCTTTCCTTCGGCATAGTAAGAGCGCAGGCCTCAAGAAAATCGTGATTGATGTACAACAGAATCACGGTGGATCACCTCTTCTGGCGATCGAGGTTTTCAAGCTTGTACGTTCCTCAACGATACCCTCTAAATTTTCTTTTCTTGACTTTCCCACTGACTCAATTTGAAAGTTTTTTCCTCGCAACGATGTATTTGCAGGGAGCCGTAGGCGCATGCACCCAATGGCAGATGTTCTGGGCTATACCCTAACAAATTACTGGAATAATCTGACTAGAGACGAGGAAGCATACCTGCGATACTTTCCAAATGAGTGGGTGATCTCTACGAGAATGAATCCGGATACCGAGGCGGATTATACCTCGTGGGATGAGTACTCCGAATCTCCTTATTCGTATAACAAGGACCATTTCACGAATGTGGAGCGCTACGATCTTGCAAACACAACCTTCACTGAGGAAGCAGCCGCTATTGAAATAGACAATGTTCATGGGTCCCAGGCGGCACCCTATGCCGCTGCTGATATCATCATCCTCAGCGATGGGCTTTGCTCATCGGCATGTGCATTGTTCATGGAACTGATGCGCCACGAGGCCAACGTCAAGACCGTTGTGGTGGGCGGAAGACCCGACTATACCCCAATGCAAGCTCCTAGTGGAACTCGCGGTGCAGCGAGCTACGACATTGAACGAATGGATTATGACATCACGGCCGCCTTGTCAATTGGTGATTCCGTGGCTGAGCAATTTCCAACAGAACGGGAGCATGCTTTCTTCATCGCTGGAGCCAGTGTTAATCTTCGAGACCAGATACTGCGGAACGACAACTCAAAAACACCGCTCCAGTTCAAATTTGAAAGGGCCGATTGCAGAATATTCTATACCCCTGATACCTGGTACAATTTCACCAACCTCTGGAATTATGCTGCAAAAGCGGCTTGGAAAAACTCAACTCTCTGTATTGAGAAGTCACCAGATCATCCAACTCAACCAAGTGCCTCATCAACAATCTACGAAGTTGAGGCTACTGAGAGCACTTTTGTCACTTCTGACCTGCTGGATGATAAGGGTGAATTCTCGGCATCGATTCATCTCGACGATCCCTCCAATGATATTTCCGATTCTGGAAAAGACATAGAAAATCTTAAGGATTTAGGTAAGCGTTGCAAAGGAAACCATAATTGTGGTGGTCGTCTTCAATGCATATCAGTCCCGGTTTGGGATTCTGAGCTGAAGCCGACGATGCAACGCCAATGTGTTCGTTCGTGCGGCCAAACAAGCAACACAAACCGCAACCCTTGCCCTTTTGGCTTTTATTGCCCGGAAAATCACGTTTCTCAAGACTCGACTAAAAGCAACCGTCCGACTCGGTTTAGGTCTGGATTCTGTTTTCCCAAGAAGCAGCAGGGGTGCCCCAACGGCGAAGATACGAATACAAGGTCTTGTCTTCAAGACCTAGACGGGGCCGATCTTCACTGCTTTCCTCATTCGAACTGTTACACTAAGTGTCATGTTGTTCATTACAACAACGAGTACCCTCACCTTTCAACTCTTGCAAGTAAAATTCGTTGGTGTCTGATTTCACAGCTTGAATTTTGGCAAAAAAATTATGCAAAGGAACCGTTGCAGTACGCTGGCTCTCAGGTGTACCTGAATGATCAATGGGAAGAGAATCCAAATCCATATTTCATTGCCCATCATAGTTCAAGTTACTCCACAGAGTATGATTTCGCGAGAAGTGAAGGCAAAGTTTATGGCGATGATGATTGGTCCTCGTTCTTTCCATAGTCTGGAGCAATCAGGGTCCATGGCTTAACCCCGGAAGGGCGCATGGCAGATCAGCCTTCTAGTTATGAATCCCCATGTTAAAAGCAGAAAATTAATTCCCTACTTTATTTCCTTTCGAACAGACCAAATAGTAGGTTCTGATCAGAGAGCAAAGGTGGTAGCTCTTCCGTTTGTTGTCTTAATATGTTTGCCCTATATTACCCTTGAAATTGAACAACCTCCAGGGCACAAGGAAGATCTTCAATGATCTACGAAGGTCATTATCAGTCACTGTAAACCTAATCTAGCCGACCAAAAACAAAGTACTAGATAGCAGAAAGATCAGGCACTGGACTCTACATCGAGCTCGTTTACGTAGAGCCATTTAATAGCAAGGATTAAATTGTCAATGCCTTCCATGAAGAGCGTGAAGAAAATCAAAAAGCTTGAATTCAGATCGCTGAACGCCCGTGTCTCCAGTCAAAAAGATCCTCCTATCCATGCCCAATCCTAATACTTGCGCCTTGTTGTCCTTCCAGTGAGCAAATCCCACAAACAAGATGGTTGGCATCGATTGAATTACAGCTGCTGATGATGAGCAGCATCGTCATTGCTGATTACACTACCCACTTCAGACCAGCTGGCTGGGGTATCGATCCCTCCCACAGAATGTGCGCCCAAATCACTTAGCGTTCCATCAGAAGAGTCATCAAAATCACCAACATGGCTGTAGCTTCCAGCAATAGATGGCGTAGACGAGACGGGGTGTTGAAACTGGTTACCTTGTCGAATTTCTTCCAGTTCTGTGAGGAGGTCTTGCTGATGGCTAGAGTTGGATGGTGAGCTAGGATGAGCATAGTAAACTTGTTGATGATCTTCCGTGTGGCTTGAAGCTGTGGCAGACACGGGAGTCTGCACTCTCGACGGAGAGTCAGTGAATGGGTCAAATAGAATCTCTCCCGGCGTCTCGGAGGTCGGTGTAAATTGCACATTCTGTTCCGAAGGATGGTTCGATATGGCATCTGAGAAGACATCGAGATGCAATCGATCCTTGTCCAAGGCCGAGGTCCCGCCGGACTTGTCTCCACGGTGAAGAGGCTGTGCAGATCCCATATCAATACCCGTCGAAGCACCGACTGGGTTAACGTCAAGATTGGCCTGTTTCTCATCGACCGCACGCAAGTTCCCATCATTGTCTACAAGAGTATCGAAGCTGTCGTGTGGTTTAATAGAATCCTTTGACTTTCGACGTGATTCCAGCAAGGCCGCTCGTTGCATGATTTCGGCACGAGCAATTCGCCTGCGTTCCTCGGCGGCCAATCCTACCTCCTCAGACATAGAGATGTCCTCTTCGAGCGCAACCAAATCGCGTGGTTGGATTTCATCTCCGAGATTATGAAGCGCCAATGCGATCTTTCGTCGAGAAGTGGCGATCCATTCCTGAAACTGTGGTGACTGGTATACTGCAAGGCCAGCAGCAACCAGAACCGAAAAGGTTACGATGAGGCCTGGTAAATCGTCAGATGCCATTCGAGTGGACTTAGGCGGGTGACTGATAAGATCCAGACCGCCCGGATGATCGGAGAGCTGCATTCCAAGATCTTTGCATGGGAAGTGGACTGACCTTTGGCAAGCGGGGCAGGCATGATAGTGACAACAACAAGCCTAGTACTGGTTCTCTGTCTCCCCCGATAAGTTTGAGCTGGAACGCTTTTCTCTAGGCAGAACAAGAACAAGAACAAGAACAAGAAGAGCTGATAGTTGGAAACCGGGAAACGCGTTGGATGATGCCTAGTTAATCTTACATAACCCCCCCCACGCACCTGACTGCGGTCAGCCCTTATCCCCGGCCCTAAAAACAGCTTACACCGCTTTGGGGCGCGTTCCTCCCCCGCGCGTCTTCAAGTTTGAGTTGAAGCCCAACCTGTTGAAGTGACAATCATAGCAACCCTTTCAACTAGTGCTAGCGGACTGAGGCCTTGTCATGTCTCGCCAATCGACCCAGCCCCAGCGGCCGCTATCCCTCACGGAGGAGCTGGAGAAGCTGGAGCAATCCATCACATTGACCCTCCAAGGTATGTCCATGTCTATGGGTAAACAGATTGCCGGATATGATACTGACCTCCGTCTGCCTGTAGAGATTGACCACAATTTTAGCCAAGCCCATCGAATTGTGACGACAAGTATCCTGCCGCTGGTCGAACAGTATACGGAGCATTCCCAGGATGTTTGGCAGGGCGCTAAGGTGAGACCAATCGATTGGGGAAATTATAGATATACACTAACCAAACATTCACATCCAGTTTTGGAAACAATTCTTTGAGGCCAGCGCCAATGTATCTCTCTCTGGCTATGAGGAACGACCCAACGAGGATGAGACCCTACAAGAGACCACCGCCACGGAAGAAGATATCTCTGCCGATATCACCGAGACCACTAGCATGGACGAGCCAGATCAATCCTACGCAACGCCTTCATCACGTCGCCCGGACGCGCAACATGGCCAGGGAGATGATATCGACCTGACAGCGCTTAACATTTCTTCCCACAGCACGCCGCGTGCACCAACTCACCAAGGAGATGATGATTTCACCATCTCTTCCCTTGACCATTCATCTTCGTACGAGAACCTGAGAAAGCAGATCAACCAGGATGAGGCACCGTTTGATATGCCCGACTCGTCGACTTTACCCTCTACGCCCGGTCGGCAACCTTTCTTCCCACCAGATGTTGGTTCCGTGACCCCGATGTCTTCTCCATTCATTCCGCCAGCCTCATCAGTACGGTACCCATCTTCCTCGCGAGACAATCGCTATCAGAAACCCTCCGACCCTGTCATGCACCAAGTTCTCGACAAGACCTATCGGGTCCAAGCGACACCGCTGGGCAAGGGATTCCGCAATGCAGGCGCAGGCGCAGGTGCCAATGCCCGCTCCAAGTTCACCGTCACGCCAAATGCCGCTTCTTCGCGTAATGCCCGTGATGATTCACCTATGTCTAGCCCCGAACCTGAAGCCCCGCAACTACACGCCGAGCTCTTTGACTCGCCTGTCAAGGGTGTGAACGCAACCCCTGGCACGAACCGCAAGCGTCGAACCAGCAGCAATCGCCTTCGTGGCACCCCGAAGCCAGGTACCAGTGTTTTGACACCTGCGAAGAACCAAGGTCGCCATACTCCGGTGTGGGATAGTGAAGATGACTTGGACGATGAGGACTTCGGTCCTAGTCCACCTAAGACAATGCAATTCCATATCCCTCAGAGCCGGTTAATGAAAACACCAGGTGAGTTAGGTTTTATGTTTCTCTGCAATCATGTGCTAATGTTCTTTTCTTCACAGCCAAGGAAGCGTCAAAACGCATTGTCACTGATCTCCTGGCTACTGCAGGTGCGGATGATTTTACCGATGACATCGACGACGGCCCTAGCCCCAGTATAATCCGGCGATCTGGGCGAATGGAAGATGACACTTTCTGAAAATACAATTCCTTGTGATATCCCTTTGACAATATTTTTGACGTCATGCCATTGGTGCATCCTCTTGTATGTCATCGCCTTGCATATAGAACAATCAAGTACCACTATCTCGCAAATATAGTGCAAATCCTGTTTTTTTTTTTTAATTCGGGAGGCATTTCAATTTACTCCGTATAAGCTCTCCTGAGTACCTAAAGTGCATTATTTTCTCAGCCTGGACATCATCAAATATGCTACCACTAGTACTAGTACCCAATAGTACTGCCCGAACTAGAGAGCCCTTGACAATATGATCTGCTGCGTCAGAGATCAGTCAAGCTTGGTAGACTATTGGCAGTTGAAGCGGAAATTTATCTCACGATATTGAGCACATTTTGCTGGTTTTTGATCTGGTAAAGCCTGTGACATAACGTCCACACAGGCGTCTCGGTCACGAAAGCATACTTCGGTCCCGAGTCTCGTTGGTCGGTCCCGAAGATCGGCTTTGATCGGGCCCCCAAGCCTGCACTTAGGGTAGTATATAACGTCAACATGCCTCGACAAGTTTCCATCATCAATTCTTATATTCCAAGGTTCTCAATATCGCAATAGCAAAAATATATTGCGGGCTTCTTATCTATACTCTACCGAAACGCGGCGATCCCAGGGTCTTTATGTATGAGTGGCATTAATAGTGTGCATACTATAGGAGGAGAAAAGGCCTGATTAGACCGCTCGTTTCTTCGAACTTACTTTGCTCTTCGAACTGCGGCGCTACTTGTTGTTCGACAATACTGAACTTGAGTGTATTGGTTGGCTTGCAACACTATCTTTTTATCCCACCGAATATGTCACTTCCAGTTCTGATCAACGGTGCTGGCTTGGGCGGAGTATGCCTTGCTCAGGCCCTCAAGAAAAACAACATCCCTTTCAAATTATTCGAGCGAAACGGCCAAAGCAATGTTCGCGCTCAAGGCTATCGTCTAAGAATTACCTCTTCCGGCGTCGAAGCTTTGGACAAAGCTCTCACGCCCGAAGTTTTCACGCTATTTGAGAAGACATGTGCCGACGCGCCAAAGCTCGGCGTGAGGGTCAAGCCCGATGGATCGACTGCACCATTCGCGGCTCCACCAGGAGGACCTGGAGGGAGAGCTTATACGGTTGATCGCAGTGTATTTCGCGACACACTACTCACAGGGCTCGAAGGAAATGTCTTTTTCGACAAGAACCTTGAGCAATACACTGTCCACGAGGACAAAGTCACAGTCTCGTTTTCCGACGGAACTACAGAAGACGGCGCACTCTTGGTTGGTGCAGACGGTGTCAGATCGAGTGTACGCAGACAACATATCCCCAATTTCAGGGGCCTTGACACCGGCATGCGCATAATATTCGGAAAGACGCCCCTTACTCCAGAGTTCTTAGCGAAGTTGCCAGAGGAATATCGCGATGGAATGAGTCTGGTCACAAACGAAGATGACAATTCTCAGCCCGTTCTGATGTTCGAATCGATCCAATTTCCCCACGCCGAGGAAGTTTCAACCGTTAATATCCCGGCTCCATATATGTATTGGGTTCTGGTCGTGCATCGCTCAAAGATCTCATCCTCCGACCAAGATTCGTGGCATCTCTCTGCTTCCGAAGCAGCCAATCTTGTCGACCAGCTGACAAGCTCTTGGAATCCACATATTCGCACTATATTCGGAATGTCAGATATAAATCAAACATCCATTCACTCTATTTTGTCTGCAGGACCGGAAATTGACGGATGGAGACCATCTGCCCGAGTTACCCTACTGGGTGACGCGGCTCATGTGATGCCACCCACCGGAGCGATGGGTGCTAATACGGCATTGCGAGATGCGGCAGATCTAGCGCAGCGGATAGTTGCGGTTGGAGGTGTGCAGAGCGTGGATGAGGCAATGATCGGATCTTATGAAGCGGACTTGAGAGACTTTGCCAAAACGGCTATAGAATTGAGTTGGAGAGGCGGTTTGAAGAGCTTTGGCCTGAAACCTGTGGAGGAATGTGAACCAATTTCTATGTGACCATCTCCTTTATCCTCGATACAAACATCCCTAGGAGGGCAAAAATCAAAGACTATATATCACTCATTAGTATAGGCAGCTTAGACGCAGGCGAACTACCAAATTCCTTTTGCAATCCATCGCCATGTAAGGCTGAACAAACGCACACTTCCTACAACTATTAGCATAGATCATATAAGAAAACCGCAGGGCACTAGTAGACATCGAAACATTACAAATAGTAAATCATTCATTAGAGTAAAGAGAGTAGAGAGAGTTTCCAACCCACCTCAAAGTATCATACACGAACGACCCTGTAGACCAGACTTTTGAATGGCACCAATTCTTTCAACAAAAGAGAAACAGAAAAAAAGATAAAAAAAATAAACGCCATGCAGTATGTACGAGGAATGGACGATGTGAAAGAAACCAAATGGTCCGGCCCCTTGGAAAGAAACCCCTGTCCCGTCTCGCGGGCTATGGTGACTGTGAGCTTCCCAGCCCAGGGGAAATAACAAGTCGAGAATTGGCGTGAGTATGGCAGAGGTGATGGAATAAGTCGAGATAAATTTGATCGGATGGAGGGTCGCAAGCAGCATCATGAGAATGCGACTTAAGTGTGCTTCTTAGTGCCCTTGGCCTTGGACTCCGGGGCCTTTTCTTGCTCCTTGCTTTCCTCCTCAGGCTTGGATTCAGAATCGGACTCAGGCTCAGACTCAGACTCTTTCTTTTCGCCGGCTTCCTTGCTGGCCTTAGCATGGGCCTCTTCGTGCTTCTGGTACAAGGATTGGTGCTTCGACTGCAGGCGTTGCTCCTCGGCAGCAACCATTTCCTTCCACAGGTCACCCTCTTCCTGGTTCTTGTTGTGCACGGGTTGAGGCTCAGCAGCATCACTCTTTGCCTGCTCCTTGTTCTTCTTAGCAGCCTCAATCAGGCCCTGACCACGACGGCGATCGGACATCTCAAAGGCAGCCGATGCGCAGAAGACACCGAGTGTCAGACCCTGCGCATACACACGGGCCTGAACAATCTTCTGCTGACCAGAGAGATAAGGATTGCGACCGACGAGGGCGAATGAGCCAACCATGGAGGCAATCCAGGTAGCAGTGACGATCTTGTACTTTTCGCGACGGGCGAAGGCGACGATGCGGTCGGTCATGCTCAGGGTGCGAGATTCCTCAGCGCGCAGGCGCTCTTCGCGGTTCTCATACCATTGCTTCGTGGCGTTGTGCTGGGCTTCGAAGTCGCGCGAGGCGTGGTCGGCCGCGATGATTCCGATGAAGGTTCCGGATGATGTAACCAAGAAGGCCTTCATCGGAACTGTCAGATTGCGGATGGTGTGGAATCGTCGGGCAGCGAGGAGGACACCAGCTGCACCACCTACTAGACCGACCAGGCAGCCGAAAGTGCCGCCGCGGACGACAGAGCTGTATCGTGGAATTTTGTTAGCATGGCATGATGCAATACTGGGGCGAAGCTCTGGACAGCTCTTCGGGGGGTGTTGGAGGGGCAGTGTCTAGCATACCTGTAGTGAGCAGCCTCTTCTTCCTTAGTCAGAAGCTTCATTGTGAATTTGGGGAATTCTGGTATGAATTTTGGAGGGTGGTAAGTGAGTTGGAGTGGTATGAGAGGATGGGATGGCGCGGTTTTATCTAAAGCAAAGGCCGAGAAGCCGAAAGCATGACGTGCACTGCGGGATCTGCTCGGTTTTCAAGGCGGGCGAAACTCGGCAGCCACTCGGGAGATCTCGCAGAAAGGCACGAAATCCCGGGGAAATACGACAATCACTGTCTTAAAATAGCTGGAAAATTAATGCAAGCCCGCTGACTGGCTTCTACATTTTTTTCAAACGGTTTGGTCAATGCTTATTCACTTTCTGCGGCCAGAATCTACCGAATGCGACTGATGTTACACGCCCAAGCCCAATATCAATGATCCCGATCAATCCCGAACGCCAGACGCATCATGTAAGAAAAAAAATGACTCAAGAAGAAAATGACTGGGGGGGCTTCTCCGAGGAGAAAAAAATAAAACAAAAGAAGGAACTGGATCAGCCAGGAAAAAAAAACCCTGCTGCATCACTGACGGGATGCCTTCCGTGCGGCATTTTGTCTGGCTTGCATCTTGCGGAAACGATCCTCACCACTCGCTCCCAGGGGTCGCGCGAATCGGCTTTCCTGGACACCGATCTGTCGAGGAACAACCTCGTAACTAACTTGGGTACGATCAACACGCGCACGGTTGGCCAGACGCGGTGGAAGCATTTCGCGAGCGCGCGCTTCCGCAGCAACAGCCGCGGCGCTGGGCTGGACAGCCTTGGTCATTTTTCTATACCAGGGTCAGTAAGAATCCATATATATGCCCTTCTAAGAAGAGTAAAACATACGTGGGGTCGAAAACGGCTTCCCGGAAGACACGCTTCGAGTAATCATCGCTGCGCTGCAAGATGGGACGAGTCCATTCGGCAAGCAGCTTCTCTGCCATATCTTTGATCGGTCGCTCAACACGCTTGCTCTTGGTGTAGAAAACCACCACCTTTCCTATCCCGCTGGCAATCAAAGCATCTTTTTGAATGGGGAGCTTTGCCATGGCGGTAAGCAAATCACGCTGGATGTTGTAGGCAGGCATCGAGCCATCATCGAGAGGTTCGAGGAAGAATCGGACGGCCTCGAGCAGGTTGATTTCAGGGTCGACCAAGCTGTTAGTATATTGGTTGCGGTTGAGAAGCAAAATGACTTCGGGGAGAAGCTTCAGCTTGTGCATGGCGGGCTTGCCCTCTTGGCGGTCGATGGCATCCATCTGTGCAGCGTGGGTCATGCGCTTCCGCATGTGTTCGATCTCGGCATCAGCCATGGCTTCCAAATCCTATGAATCCGTATTAGTAACTGTATATAGCCCCGTGGCGACCCAATATCGACATACAATTCCATCCTGCTTGCGAGCTCTTCGCTTAGTGGGTTTCTTCATGGCCTCGTCCATAGCCCGATCAAGAGCCCTGCGACGACGGGTTTCAGGATCCAGTGTCTCTTCATCGGTATCCGGCTCTGCTGGCTTCTTCTCCTTCTTCTTCTTTTCCTTGCGACGAGATGAGGCTTCGTCGCCATCCTCATCATCTTGTCCGCGACGCTTCTTCTCTCGACGACCTTCCTTGCGACGTGGGCGACTCTCACCCTCCTCGCGCTTGCGCTTGTGGCGACCAATTAGTTTCAGGTTGTCCTCGTCGATCGCGAGCTGTGGGCGGTCCTCGACGTCGACATTTTCTGGATCGAAGTTCTCGAATTGGGCCTCGTCGACTTCCGACAGAATCGATTCATCATCTGAAATGCCACCCTCATCATCGTCATCATCCCCACTAGCTTCGGCTTTCTCTTGGTTGTCATCACCGGCATTTGGGGTCGCGACATTTTCCTCGGCGCGGTCGGGGGATGCGGCTGGGGAGCCAAGGGCGTGTTCTGGGGAGGCAGACATTTTGGTGATAAAAAAAAACTGGCCGGGGGGTATCAAAAGGGTGTCGAAGATCAGATATTAAGTGATAGGGTAGTGATCAAAGAAATCGTAAGGCGCGCGAGTTGAACGGTGGCTGGTGCAGGTCGTCGTCCGAGACCTATCGGCAGGATTCAATGGCGCGCAAGGCCAGTGGTGAAAAGTAAGTAAAGCACCTGCACTAGCTGTGCTCTAGGAAGTTAAGACAGAAATGAGCCTTCGGGACGGGAAGAAAGAAACAATGGAGGGAGGTCAAGGTAAAGACGAGAGGCAGAACCCAGAGAAGGAGAGAGCGGTGGTCTGTGCTCCCGTGATTTCTTCCCCGTCGTCCGCTCTCGACGCCTTCCTTTTAATACAACCATCCTTCAACTCATTCACATCTCTCAATCCACCTACTACACATCAACATGTTCGCTCCAGGTATGTGTAATTTGAAGTGCTTTTGATATTGCCTTTCAAATGATCCGCAGGCTAACCCATGACTCTCAACAGGCCAAGAACAGCTTTCGAAGGAGGAGATCAAGGTATTATCCGCCACCACACTCGCCCTGGCTCCGGATGGTTATTAATTTGATTTTTAACAGGCTGGTGAGGTTGAGGCCTGCCAGACCATCAAGATGACCGTTCTCGGCGGCATCGCCCTCTACCTTTGTAAGTCGGCTCCCTGGTGATGACGTCTGTCGGCCGGTCAGCAAACACGACACGACGAGGCAGGACCAAGCATCAATTGTACCCTGTGTTCAAGCTAACAAGACGACTGATTAGCCCCCTTCGCCATCGACTTCGCCCGCAAGTTCCTTTAAATCAAGCGGATATTCCCGGTCTTTCCTTGGGCGTTATGATAATCTGTTCAAACTGGATAATGGGATAAATCGACTTTTCACATTCAGTTATGGGACTGGACAGTCCCTATTTCTCAACTGGATGGTGTATTATTACTGTACATGTTTGCTTTTCTACGATCTTATTCGAATATAGAGAGGTCAATGAGAAACAAGATAGTGGCTGGAGCCACTTGAATCATTTAAAAAGAATTACAGGTTTTGCTTTGGATGTAGATGGAGAGAATTAGATCGTATTCCAATATGCATTGCAAGCAAGTCTACTCCCCGGAAACGCCAATGCTCCCATGCCCTTGGACACTAGTCCCCAGAATTGATCAGATACAAAGCCCCCAGAGGCACGCATAAGGAAACCTTAGTTTCCGTTCAGCTTCTGAGCGTCGTCGAATTCCTTCTTCACAGACTCGAGCTCCTTCTGCAAATGCTGGATCTGGGTGTGGTAGTCGTCGAGGATCTAGTAGGGATGTTAGTATGTATACAAAACAGAGAACGGAGTATCGATGGCGACGAACCTTCTTAGCCGTCTTCATAGTGTGTTCATCAATCTCATCTTCGCCGTTCGAGCCCACAGTTGCCCCAACGCGCTCCATCTCACCTTGCAGGCGCTTGCCGTGCTCATGAATGGCCAGCATGCGAGCCCAGATTTCCTCGGCCCGGCCACTCAGGGATGGGTCGAAAACGGAGCGCTCTAGTTGGGCCAACTTCTTCTTCAGTTCCTCCTCAGCATCATCCATGGCATAACCCCGGTTGCGCAGGATCTGCGTCTTGGCTGCAAGAGCAAGGCAGCGCTTGCTCAGAACCATGTGCTTGCGACGGCAGTCGGCGATTTTCACCGAGATCTTCAGGTCGTGTCGTGATAGCATATCCGTGAGGCAATTGTTGATTTCGTGGAGGCGTGTTTGCATCATGGAAAGGAAGTCCTTCTGACGCTGAGCTCGCTTTCCCAGCTCCCAGAAGCCTTTCACGAGGACGGGTACGTTTCCAGGGCTAGTTCGCTTGCGCAAAGCCTCTTCCCATTTCGTTTCGTCGTCTTCGGGGGTAGGTTGGTAGAAAGGCGCGTTTTCTTCGCCGACATTATTGTAAAGATAGGCCCGGAATGGAGATGTACGACTCGAGGCGTTCCACTTTTCGGTGACAATTTCAAGTTGCATAGGGACAGTTCGGTGTACTGCAAATTTAGTAAGTTAAATGTTCGGAAGGAATCCATTCGGCCGGATCTGCAGGGCTACTTACCTCCGGTGATAGCGCGGCCTGGTGACCAAAGACTCGAGGACAGAGATTGCTGTTGTTGATTTTGTGGCGTGGCCATGGTTGTTTGGCCGAATTGCGACTGCTGGGGCTGTTGTGCCTGCTGAGATTGCTGGGGCTGTTGGCCCAGCCCACCGAAAAGTCCACCAGTCTGCTGCTGCTGAGGCTGTTGCTGTTGGGTGGATTGTCCTAGACCAAAGAGGCCTCCTGCTGCGGGCTTCTGTGCAGTACTCGATCCGAAAAGCCCTCCAGTTTGTTGTTGCTGGGGTTGTTGCTGTTGTGTGGATTGCCCTAAACCGAACAAGCCTCCACCCGCAGGCTTTTGCGCGGTGCTTGATCCGAATAGTCCACCTGATTGCTGGGGCTGTTGAGTCTGGTTTGCTGTAGAGGACCCGAAGAGGCCACCGCCAGCTGCGGGAGTGCTCTGTTGCTGGTTCGGTGTCGCGCCAAACAATCCTCCGCCGGTTTGGGTGCCTGTTCCTGCGCTGGCACCGAACAAGCCGCCTGCTGGCTTCTGCGCCGTATTGTTTGCTGCACCACCAAACAGACCGCCACCTGTCTGGGCAGGCTGGGGTGTACCGAAAAGAGACATTTTGGATGTCGCGTATGCCGTGAAAAAGTAGGTTCAGCTCCGATTTAGGAGTGTGCCGGCGGAATTGATAGAAGGGGTTGTGGAAGGTGTTGATATTCGAATCCTAGTGGTGTTCAAATTATCGTCGCATCGTTCGCAAGCTAAAGGGATGGTGGTTGGGAGTGGGTGACCTGGGAGGTGGGAGCTCGCGAGCAGAGCAGTCCGGGAGCTGTGATTTGTTTAGGTCACGTGATGGAGATTTACTGTAGATTGCCAGAATACGTCCATTATACACCATTGTAGCCCAATAAAGGCGCTGAAAACAATCAATTTACTGATAATAAATCTTAAAGTCCTTTCTAGCTAAAATAACCACTTTGTTATACTTCTTTCTATAATTTTCGACTATATATCGACGTTGCAACCTATTTCGCCCGATACTGTACAGATTGGCTTACCTCATCAGGATCACTTTAGCCAATCAGCGTGAGGCCAAAGAAACCGACCTTTCCATCCACCGCAACCCGCAGCTCCAAGTCCCTCTCGTTCCCCAATTGACAACCTAACCCTCCGTCTTTCCGCTCATCAACCGTCACAATGGCCGCCAGAGAACCTCGGTATGCACTGAATACTCCCTCAGATACGAACCCGACGAAGGAACCGTTCCGCCGCAGAGAGAACCTCACTAACCCATCCCTCGGCGCACAGTTTCAACCAAGAAGTCCTCGTGGACACCACGCCCATGCCGGACCACATCCCTAAGGTCCAAGAGCTCGGCGCCACATCTGCACCCCTTTTCAGTGCGGCCTACTTCATCGGCGAGCGCTGCAAGGCCTACAACGATGACTTCATGAAGTGCAAGGACGAGGGCAACGGCCGCGGGGAGCTCGATTGCTTGAAGGAAGGTCGCAAGGTCACACGTTGTGCTGCTAGCGTGTACGTTGTTTCTCCCATACTTGTGGTGCCTAGTGTTTTGGAGACAAGGGACATCATTGAAGATAAAGCGCCGGGCTGACTCTATCACAGGATCAAGGATATCAACACCCACTGCCTGTCGCAGTTCAAGGCTCACTGGGAGTGCCTCGAGAACAACAACCACTACCTTTTCGAGTGCCGTCGGCCTGAGATGGACTTGAACAAGTGTGTCTTTGACAAGCTGGTAGGTCGCCAAACGCCCATCCGTATCTCAGCCGAGGCAGACGTGAATTCGACATACGCAGTTGATAACCTGGCTATTTCTGGAATGAATTTCGATCTAACACATGTCTTCTTAACAGGGCTTGAAGAAGGAGATCCCCGGCTCCCCCGAGGGCCAGGTCCCCGTCCACCTGCGTCCCAAGCAGAAGTACGCCATCTACCCGGGCCCCCAGTACTAAAAGGAAGAAGCGCAGTACCATGCGCCTTTTTCACTCTCGTCAACTCAATTTTCTCAAATCGCGCTCCCCTTATTTTTATGTGCCGTCCAGGGCCGCGGCTTTTTACTCCCCTCCCGTTTTTGGATGCGCAACTGGGCCCTGTGTCTCATCTATCTCTTGTGTCTGTCTGGTGTATGTTTTGTGTAAATATCTATTGGCATCAGGAATGGTTACATGATTTCTGCTTAATTCGGTCTTTTCTTTCCAATTGTTTGTTTTCTCTTACTTAGGCAGTTGGCATGTTCTCTGGCTGCTCTGGACTTGACCTGCCTTGAATAACCTAAAGATGGAAACTACTGGGCGAATAGGGCTGCAAGAAGACGCTCTTCATTGTAAATGTGCGATAATATTGATAGCACCGTGGAGCAACACGTACATGGTTTACCAAACACATGAGGTTGCCATCGAAGGTGATTTAAACATGGAATTAGTTACACCTCGAGCAATGGAACATACTAGTATTACATGGATGATGTAGATATCATCAATAACTCTAGAAACAAAATCTACCGCACTCATCTCCGCACATTGGTACCTACCTAGGTATTTAGTCACCAAGTCGCCCGAATCCACCGTCTAGCACAGTCCGAGTCATATCATACACCCCATTAAGAAAGAAGAAAACCAAAGAAAAATCCAAGGAAAGAACTCCCGAAACCTCAATTGTGAAACCCATATGTACTTCAAGTTGACAAAAGAAAAATATGTAATAAAAAAGAAGCTCCAATATAGACATGAGGAGCAGAGTCAATAAGAAAAGATAGAGATGCGGCCGGCCAAAACAAAAGAGAAAGTATCAAAAATGCAATATCAAACGATGGCTGATGTATACATCCAAAGGTCAAAACGTCAAGTCAAGGCAAAGATACCTCTACCTCTACGGAAGAAGGGGAGCCTTGCTAAACCGGCTAAGAAGCTTAAATCGGCCCAGCCGCGTCTTAAGCTCCAACCAGCCAGTCCGTAATCGATCCTCGACACGACGATCACCACGAATACGCATCCAGATCAGGAGCGCAGCTAACAAAGCAAGATCCCAGATGATCTGGCGCGTGACGGTCCACAGGATCCATTTCAGCCATGCCCAGAGACCCGAGCGTCGGCGATTAGCCAGCGTCCGCGTCTCCATCTGTTCGCGGACGGCGGCGATCTCAGCGGTCATTTTGGTCAAGGCTTGTTCGACGCGGCGGCGCCAACGGCTATTTTTTGGATTCGAGGGGTCGTGTGAGTCTCTGCGGTGACCGGGGGAATTGCTTTCTAGGTCCACCGTACCACTGGCTGCCATGGAGTCTCGGTGGCGGTGATGTCGATGCTGCGAGCGGTCGTCGCCGTGGGAAGCGGTGGCCTCCGTGCCGGTATTTGTGTCGGCGGTTGTGTCGGCAGTTGTGCTGGCATTATCTTGGTGTTCGTACAGACTGTCGCGAGCTTCTTCGTATTCTTCGTCTTCGTCGTCCTCGTCATCATCGTCTATTGCTCGCTCGTCCATGTCGTCTGTTAAGCGTCGCCTTCGGCGGCGGTAATATTCGTCTTCTTCCGGTTGGCTGACGGGACTGAGTACGCGAAGTCGAGAATCATGGCCATCGTTGGCTCTTATATTTGGTCGATCGTAATGCTCTGGTGATTGTGAGAGTAGTCGGCCATTAATGCTGCCGTATGAACTGCCCTGGTGTCGTGATAAGGGCGGGACGCCGACGGCATTCAACGGACCTGACCCGGAGGATGAAGAGGCATTGTATTTAATTTGATCCCAAACAAACTCCAGTTCGGAGACTAGTTCGCGCGCTTCGGGTGTTTGTGAGGCGTAAGTGTGCATTGTATCAATTAGAGTGCCGATGTAGCGGCGTTTGGCTTCGGTGCGCGAAATGCCGCGCTGCTCGTACCAGGCATCCCTGTATCATTCATAAGAAGTATGACATTAGCCCTTGTTGACATGTCTCGGATTGCGGCGCTTCGAAAGGCATGCGTGCCTTGCGATTGGGATGGGGGAGAGTTACCACTTCTCGCACTCCGCGTGCACCTCCGGGGTATTCCCAATCGGCCGATCCATAACACCTTCAACATCTCCCTCTAATAATGCCGTATAAGCCGACTATTCTCTCCGGATGTACTTTGTACAGTCGATGGGATTCACTCACCCATGCTCTGTTTATATAAGCCATATAGCTTCAACCGCTCAGCTGCCGGAGGGCGCGCGGTCCCCGTCCGGGGAATCCTCTTGACGGTATTCAGGGCATGGACGAAGACACGATCTGTGCAAGATAATAATCAATACTTGAGATAAAAAGGTTTAAGATCGGTATAATGAGGGCGAGACCCGTCGAGTACACGCACCTACAGAGTCCGCCATGTTGACGCGAGAGGAAGCAGTGCGATAGTCTGCCCTGTCTTCATGGAAGCGGGGTTGGGCATCGGCTGCGGTGGATGAACCGCATGGAGAGCGAAAGGGAGACCGGTCTGGATAGTCGAATCGAAAGGGGGCGATCACGATGAAAGGGGGGAAATTCGGGAGGAGGGAGGTCGTTTGGCGTGAAGTCCGAGATTAGTCTCTTGTCTCCCCTTTGGTGCCTTCGGGAAAGGAATGGTTTCCGATCTCGCACGCGACAACTCTTCCCAGCGTCGGAGGGAGTAGATAAGGGTCGGAAGAGGGCGATAATGAATCAGTCCAAACGCGGAGAAAGAATTAATGCCCTTGAAATTCCGGGGGAGCGAGAAGGTGTGATTGAGTTGTAGTAGTTGACCGAGTCCGATAGCCGCGGTCCAGCGAGCAGAGGAGATCGTCAGGGCACTTGTGATTCCGCCCGTTGCTGCCGCTTTGGTTACCTTGAAGTTTACTTTTACTTGACCATAACTTATATACAAGGATACTGTTGAATATATGGAGAAATAAATTGTACATTAGATGGTTATTTACAACAGACACCAATCATTTACATCAGAGAGGCGCCTTCTTCACCTCCGTCTCCGACAGCTTGCGCTCCGGATCCACTTCAGCGCCCGTCATGATTCCGGTAGCTGCAGCTGCTTCCTCCTTGCTGACGGGGGGTCCCGTGAAGTGCTTCCGAGCATAGGCAAAGTACCAGATAATACTGATCAACGCAAATCCGGCAAACACCACGCTGGCGTAGTTCATGGACGTAGGAGTCACAGGTAAAGTGTAAGGCATACAGAACAATGCAACCGCCAGCACAATCCAGCAAATGGTAATCGCGTTGATGATCCAGCCGAAGGGTCCCAGCGAGAAACCGGACCGCTTGACGTCCTGACGACCCCGAATGAGGGAGATAAAGATGGGCAGACCGTACGATGTGGAAAGGCAAATGGTAGCCACACCTGTGAAGGAATTGAAGGCCGCTGTGGAACCAAAGTAAATCAGTCCCAGCAGCGCATCAACACCAGCGGACAGAATAATGGCCCATACGGGGACATCTAGCTTCTTGTTGACTTTGCGCCACAGCTTGAATCCGGGGATGGCGCCATCGCGTGCGAAGGCGTAAGTGCAGCGACTAGCCGCAGTCAACGATCCGATACCTGCGAACATCATAATACCCAGGATCAAAAAGAGCAAAGCAAAGCCACCGCCTGCGGAGCCTGTTGCCATCTTGAAGACTGTTCCAATGGGCTGTCCGTTCGCAACATTGCGCAGGATGTCGATCTTGTCTGGCATCACGAACAGGACGGGGATCAGGTAGAGCAGACCTGTGATACCAGCCGCAACAACGGACAACACAATAGCCTTGGGAACCTCGCGATGCGGGTTTTGAACTTCCTCGCACATGGCAGCCACCATCCCGTATCCGGTGAGCGTGTATGCTGCCTGCAGCAAACCCACGAAGAACGCCCAACCATCGGGCCATCCGCTATGCGAGGCATCATACTCCGCGAAGACAAACTCGCCGCTCTGGAGGTTATCGGCCATGGTCAACAGAGTGACGAGAATAATGATGACACTCGCGGCGGTCCAGAAGATGCAGACTTTGTTGATCAGGTCGAGGTAGCGCGAGAAGAAAATATTGACCAGGACGCAGACCAAAAGGACGGCCCAGAACATGAGGACAGTCTGCCATGCATTGGCGACGAAATCCTCGTTCCAAAGACTAATTGCACTGAGGATCAACTGGCCGCCACCGAAGATGATGCTAAGGGTGACAGTCCAATTGCCAACGAGGGTCAACCACCCATCGATAAAAGACATCAACGGCGCCCAGCGACGAGTCGACAACATGGCGCTCCAATAATAGACACCGCCGGCGGTGGGATAGACAGCGCAGATCTCGGCCAGGGAGGCAGCAATGGCGATGGAGATAAGGGTGACAAAGACCCAGCCCCAGATTATGGTGACGGAGAGGCCGTCATTGAGAGTGATGTATAGGGTGGTACTGAGACCATATGGCGCAGCCATAATGGCAAAGGATAGGCCAAGAATACTGAGCATGCTGAGGTTTCGAGGCAGCTCGCTCTTGTAGCCCATGGCCGCCAGCGCCTCGTCGGCGTTGGCGTCGACGGAATTGCGCATGATGGGGAGAGTGAGTTGTTGGAGACGAGGAGTAGGAGGAGAGGCGAGAGATCAAGTTGATCTGGGGTCGAGAAGCAACATGGAAGCTCTGGGGTTATTTAAGATAAGAAGAACAAGGGGAGAAGGAGAAGAAGAGTTAAACCCCGCATGATAAACGTGGACGCATCGCGGTCCGAGACCGCGGAAACTTTCACGTCTCCAATCGGGGGCAAAGACGGCCGACTTGAGACATAGGCTTATCAGCTGCGCGCCAGGTTGCTTTGGGAACCCTTGAAAGGTCTTTTCCAAGGTTCCATCGGTTCCATCGGTTCCATTATCCAGTAAGCCTTTGGCCACTTTGGCTTAACCGGCGCTTTAGCTGGGTGCCTGGGCTAGTGGGCGAGTGCTAACTCCATCTTGGCTCCATCTTGGATCCATTTGAGGGCTGTGACTAACACCCATGGGTGATAAGCTATGAGCCAGGGTCTGATAGTTCGATGGGGCCCGGAGGCTTGGTGATTGAATGGATGAAACAGGAAAAGGCTCGTGTGGTTGTGGACCCTTTTCGGAAGAGTTGTTATTTGGACCACACCATTTTGCTATTTGCACGATGGATGTTGAAATTACCATACAAGGTTGAATATCTGCTACAAGTACTTTAAGTATTACTATCCAAGTTATCTGTATCTTTGAGGCTTAGAAAATTGGAAGGTAAAGCATGTCCAGTTTCAAATTGTTTACTACGATTCAATACTAGCTAGGTACCTGGGTAGAATACTAGTACGATATACAACTTGAATCTTGAACAATTTTCTGCCATGGAAGATATTCTACCTACTAGTAGCTACGAGTACTACCAGAAGGACTCTGTTTACAACATACCTAGGTAGCTGATAACTACCTAGGTACTAGTACTAGGTGTTGTGGGTGTAAGCATTCTAGTAGTTCTAGTACTAATCTGGGATTGGAAAGTGCCAGGGTCCAAATAACAAAAACGGGTAGTCCTTCTAACAATTTCCCCTTTCGGGCCCGGATTTCCGTTGGCTCCATTTATGCAGTCCACAGAAAAACTCGTGCAAGGCTGACCACAATACTGTTACTAATTTAAAGTAAATAGAGGGTCATTTCATGTTGTGTTGTTGTGTTTTATTTTTTTTTAAATTGCTCCATAATAGTAAGTGTAAATTCACATCGAGTCACTCGGTGGTGACGGCTGCCACGCCGTTTCTGTCATAAGGACAGATCGGTGAGCGCCAGGGGGAGCAGTCGGAAAGAAAAGAGTGAGAAAAAAAAGGAAAAAGGGGGCGCCGGGCGACGAGCTCGGACCAAAATGGAAATCAAGCGACACTCGCGCCCGTGCGGGAGATGAGGGGGTATCAAAAATTCGAGGCAAGGGGAAGAAGGGGCAAACATCCAGTCTTTGAGAAGAATTTTTTTCTTGTTTGGAGTATCTAGTCGGACATGGGGAAAGGGGAGGACAATGGGGGAAGAGAAGTGGAGAAAGGGCGAAAGTAGGCCCTGGTGGAAGGGAGGGGGAGAAAGACGGGGATGGATGGAGAAATGGGGAGACGGGTGAAAAGGTCAAGGTCGGACTTTTGGAGGGAGATGCACAAAAATCAGTCGAACGCCTGTCTATACGGCCAGTCCGGTAGGGAAAGCGTTCTGATCGAGATTCGCAAAGAGGAGGACCAAGGGGGAAGGGAGTTTTGAAGAGAGGTCAAGGTAGTAGGGGGAGCGAAAACAAAAAAAGAATAACAAAAAAGAAAACGCTGAGTCGTAACCAGCCAGCTAGCGTGAACTCCAAAAATCATAACACAATGAGAAACATGACCCGTGATGGAAGAACGATCGTGAATCGAGGTCGGAAAAAGGGGAACAGGAAAAACGCCCATTCATGCAGTCGTCAGGCCGGTGAAGTCGTTACATGAGAGAGATGCAGTACAGTCGGAAGCCAAATCGCGGAAGGGATACAGAGAACGGTCGAGAAAAGAGGAGATGGAGATCAGTTCAAGACCGTTATGGACTCAGGCCAGCACAAAGGTCCTCGGCGGCATCGAATCCAAAGCCGGCCATGTCGACGGAATGCAAGGACCCGGGTCCTCCTTTACCGAGGGAAATATCGGAGGAGGCATAGTCATGCTTCAAACGTTCATGCGGGCCAAAAAACGGTCGATTCTCGTCGTTGGGCGTATTGCCGTCGCCGGCGGTCCACGGCCCATTTTGCCAGAAGCGGGTATTAGCTTGCTGATCGCCAAACAGATCGTGGTGATCAGGGTGGGGATCGGGGCCATGTATGGGGAAATCTCCCGGAGACTGCAAGCGCAAATGTGATCGGCCAAAGCTGGAACATGGAGAGTCGGCGTGCAAAGGAAGATCGAGGCCTGATATGGGTTGATCTTCAACGGTGGTGATATCGATGGTCGGATTTTCCGTCTGTTGGGCCAACGCCGAGGAGAGTCGAAGATTAGATGCCGTAGAGCTATGTCGGCTATGACTGGCCGACCGCTCAATGGCACGTTGCACGAAGCTACCACACGTCTTCATGATTTTCTCCTTGTCGGTCTGGGAGAGACTGGCGAAAAAGTCATTGGCCAAGGACGCCTTGGGCGGCTCGTCTGGAGCTGGAACCAGTTCATACGTCGTCTTGGCGTACTCGGAGAGACCAGATGGCATGTTGTATGGAGACTGATACACATTGGGTGCCATGGCCCGTTGCTGATCGAGAAAGGCATATTTGCCCGGCATCTTTGCCGCAGCAATGCTCCCTCGGTCGACAGTCTCCATCTTAATACCCTCTGATTCCTTCTTCTGGATCACATCCAGGCGCTCGCGGTGACTCACCAGTGAGAACCGGAGCATCTGGAGCAAACGGGTCACCTCCTCCGACCTCATGTTGAGGGTCTGGGGTGGTAATAAAGTACCATCGGCAGCCCGGGGCTGCACCCGCTGCTGGGCCATCGCGAGCTCGAGCTTTTCCAGACCATTGGCCGGAGGGATCGAGCCCATGGGACCCAGCAGGGTCTCTACCACCAATTCCGGACTAACGATCGTGTACCCGGCAAAGACATTGGCATGATCGGTGATCTGAGCCAGGCGGCGCCGGGCAATAAGTTCACGGACGTTGGCAAAGGTATTGGTGGAAGGGAGGTGGTGCTGCTGCTGAACATGCGATTTGATGACCGATGGATAAGGGGTATGGCGGGCGGATGTATTCGGCAGAGTTCGAAAGGCCGACGGCATCGCAGGACCAGCAGCAGCAGCACCGGCAGCAAGGACAGGGGGAGGGGGAGGGGCAAGATGCGTCAAAGAGGCGGAAGAGGAGGGCGGTCGGGATGGCAGGTGAGGGGTGTTGGCGTTCACAAAGGCGTGTTTATGTTGTAGCAGCGCTGGGTGTTGGGCGTAAAGAATTTGCTGGTAAGGAGGGGCAGGGGCGGTGGGAGCATGTTGGAAGAGATGGTGGGGTGAGATCTTCGATGCACGAGCAGCACCGGCACCGGCACCAGCCACGCCAAGCGACTTAACGCTGTCCAGGAAATTGGCCCGCGGGTTGTGGATAGGCACGGTAGGGTTGTGCGTATACTGTGCCCTACTCTCGGTGGACTGCACGCCCAAGTAATACCACAGATGCTCCGGTCTGTCGATGGTAACCGTAACCGGTGGGGCAAATTGGTTTCTAGCTGCATCCACCGTCTCGAATTCGGCCCACTGATAGGGAGATCGGCCGTCGCCAAACGCACTACCTGCAAGTGGTACGGCGGCTTCGAAGTCCTTTCGCTGTTCAGGCTTTCGCACCAAGTGGGCCGGGAGGGGTTGGATTCCCGGCGCAAGGGGCGCGAAATTGCTCTTGCGGACGACCAGCATCCAGCGGTATGGCATCTCAATCACATCTCTGTTGACATTTATCAGTATTCGGTTATCACGGGAACGGCTTTTCTCTCCATGGCGTTCCAGAGTTGAGGATAATTTGGGTCGGGAGGCTCGGGGAGGAGGAATGGGCAAAAAGGCAAAAATAAGAATTTAACGGAAACCCCCGCGGCGGGGCGGGGATCACAATTCAGAACGGTTCACTTACCCTCGTGGAAGAACCTTCAGCAGAAGCGCCCGCTCTTGGGGTCGGTTTTGGAGCACAATAGCGCCATTGATCTCCTTGTCGACTTGGAATTGAATCAGATCACCCTGTGTCAGGCGGCGAGCGGCCTCAATCACACGACGGTCCAAATCGGAGGACTCGCCCAACAATCCAGCCGGTCGTTTCTGACGGTGGAATTTACACTTCAAATCCACGCTCGGTAGTGTATAATGCACACCATCATCGGCGATCACGGCAATGGCACCATGCTCGACCTGGACGCCAGCTAGAAGGGCACAAGTGGCATGGTAGGCCCGAGTACACTTGCCAAAGTTGCATTGGAAGCAGGCACCGCGAACTTCTCGGCAGAATAGGCATTTCAGACCCAGGCGCGCTTTAGGGATCAGCTCAATATCACAAACCACCTCGTTGCCCGACTCATCCCGCAAGATGCTGGTTTCTTCGATAAACAAGGCACATCGACGATGGACATGACCTTTTCCATTCTCAGTCGGCAGCAGGTCCTCATAGTCAAGATTGTTGGGACACAACAAGCACGGAAGCTTACGAGGGCCTTCCATCTGAAGCTTCGATCGTTTGGTGCTCGGGCCGTCACCCGTGATCTTCCGCTTTCGACCACGGGTGGAGGTCTTTTCAGGTACACTGCGTGGTGGCGTGAGGAGATCTGAAGCACCCTCGAATCCGTCAAACTCGCTTTCGAAATCACCATAGTATTCGGGTGTGGTTTCCCCGCGGAGCTTGCGCTCAATCTCGTCAACATCGATCCAGACACTGTCAGCCTCGCAGTGGCATTTTTTAGCAATTCGGCCATAATCCAGCCATCTCTCAGTTGCAAAATTCACTGATTCGGCACAGTTATATCCGATATTGTACCCAGAGTGGTATCCGTAGGGGAATGTAATCACAAACTCCCCTTCGTAGTGAACCAAGCGATTCACAGTGATTCCATACTGGGATTTCAGCAAGCTGGGAGATACCAGATATGTCTTGTGGCGGAGGAATTGATCGCAGTTTTTGGCATCGCTAGACCAAATGCTGCGCATCGCAGCTTCAAATTTTGGCGCGTCCTCTTGCGAGATGCTATACCATTGCTTGGGGGCTCCAAAGTGAATGTAGTTGATGCTATAGAGATCCACATCCTCGAGATGCCAGGCAAAAGTAGCCTTCCACATTCCCAAGTAGAGATATGCCGTGTTGACTCCCGGTACTTTCTGACCAAGAACATCAAGCAGATTGGGCAATTTCGCAACATTCCAAGACTCGACAGAATCGTCAAAGAGCGACCCCGGCATGTCTGCGCCATACATGGGATTGTTGAACATGAGAGATTTCCAATATGCAGTCTCCAGTTCCTCGCATCGCTCAGCGGTGTAATCTTCATGGTCGTGGATGCGGTAATCGAATTGTTTGAATGCTTCTTCATCGAAGTTTTCCACTGTGTCACCACGGTTGTTCTTGCGTCGAGACGTAACAGATTTGGGTTGTCTACCCTTGGGCTTAGCAGCAGGGAGCGATTCGCCCTCGCTCAGATCCTCGCTTTTCGGCTCAATGGGGTTCGATTCTGGTGACACTGGAGTCGGGGGACCCTCGGATTTGGATTTCTCGACGTCGTCCGCAGGTGGTTCTTCTTTCACTTTCACTTGGTTTCCGCGCTTGGCAGGTCGTCCAGGGCGGCGCTTTTGACTCTCCGGGCGACTGGACTGGGCCGGGGGGTAGGAGCAGCGCGGTTCACTCGTTCCTGGTTTCGACGCCTCTCGCCCCGACGAGCAGGAGGCTGGTGGCTGCTTTCATCGCATAGGCCCTTCCATTGAGGAAGGTTATAACTTCGTTGGCGTTCAATGTTGGCCTGTGTGTAGGTGCCGTGCGATCCGTGGAACTCTTGCATGATTGGATTCTTCACGCGGATAGACTTAATAGTTTCATCCAGAGGCGACAGTGATTCAGTCCTTTATGATAATAAGCATGGCTGTCACTATCATCTCGCAATATTCTTGCACTCACCATTCCTTGGGTGGAACCACTTTGACAATTCCTGCTTTCATTCCGTACTTATCGATCTTGTTGATAAATTTCTGGAAGTCTCGGAACTGGTCCATTGTCTTTGCTCACAACGTCAGCCTTCTTGCTAATGAAGGGGAGACACATCGACTTCGCCGAATTGATACACTAGCAGTGCATGCTTCGGAAAAGTGACAATCTTATAGTTCAAGGGGCATATTGTGACCTACCGGTTTGAATACTGGAATTTTTCCACCACCATAGTAATGGTCAGGTTCAATGTCCTCCTCTTCCACAACCGGTTCCTCTTGTTCTTCTTGTTTAATCACCGGCTCTTCGGGCGCAACTGCAGATCTAGCGTCCAACTCGAGGTCCGATAGCTCAGAGGGTACTCCTTCGGGTGCATCCTTCTTTCCGTTGGCGCTGTGAGGGGGAGTTATCGAAGCCGAGTCAACAACGGGGCCGCCCCCGAGTGGATCAAGGTGCGGCTGGTCCAGTGTTGCTGCCATCTTGAGTGACAGGGGGAGTAGGTTGTTGCGGAATGCGGTTTGATACTCGGGTGCCGTCGTCGGATGGAGCGACCGCTGATCGACGGCGAAGAGTGATTCCCAGCGGTCGGGGAAAGAATAAAGGTTTCGGCAGTCGGAGCAAAGGGTTCCGATCTAGGTGAGAGGACGAAGGAGGGTGTTGATCAGGTGTCGGGATGTAGATGTGGTAGTGTGTTGGGGGTAGGTACACTCGGCGAGATGTAGAATGAAGGATGGCGCGATAAGATCTTTGATCGGAAATAGTTTGTCACCCCTGGAAACGGAGAAACAAGCACGAGTTTTAGCAAATGAACCGATGGGAAGTGACGTAGGAAACGTTTTGATAGAAGGTCGTAAGTATCAAGGGGAGAAGGGAGTCGTAGGAAGTTGCAAGGAACGAGTCAAGCAACGCAATCGTACGCTAAACCAAGTTCGCCCCATGGAAAAAGGATGAGGAAGAAGGAGGGTGGGCCAATCATGCAGGTGACGTTCCGGAAAGCTAGTGGAGCGAGCGCGGACGATGGCCTGACTTTGGGACCTCTGGAAGGGCAGGATATGGGTAGGGGGCAGGTGGGATCAGGACTCAGGGCAACGCCTGGAATCTGTTTGGGCTAATCACAGTGTCTGCTGGGCAGCACTGAGTGGGAATGCGTCCGATCAGAGCGGGAAAAGGTGGACTGGCCGTCGTAGCGCCTTGGGGGAGCCGCGAAGTGGACTTGGCCGTAAGATACTTGTAAACTCATCCGGTGTCGGACGAAGTAATGATTTTGCAGTTCACCCAGCAAGTCCAAGAAAGGGCAGCATTGGATCGGATCAAAGGAATTCAGGGAAATTTCATCAAAACAAAAGCTACTCACCGGTTTCACGAGAGTTGCGGCTCGTCACAAAGCTTTGCGACCATCAAAAGGCCCAAAAGTCACGGAGCTCGCCAAGGCCGTCGTTGGCCCAGGCTTGATCACGTGGTGCACGTGACTGGGTCCTGTACCGTAATAATATTACCTGTAATTACTGTAATTATCAGTCACTCTTGGTAATTTTGTCAAGAATGGTGCCCTCGTGAAGAGTTTGCATTGGCCAGATGTTTCATTCTTCTGTAAACAATACAAGGGGGCTGTGCACGAGCTTTCGGATAGCGCCGGACCCGGGCGTATCTTAATACAGTACGGAGTACGGAGAACATGGCACTCTCGCCTTATCCATGCTTAGATACTGTAACTAGATTGGAGTTCACATCAGGGGATGATCTCGCCCACGCACGGACTCTCTTAATCAGTAGGGTGATGTCAAGAGCATACTTCAAGTTCCTAGTACTGTGTACTTATATTTCCTATCTACAGAGTACTAGCAGCATTTATAACTTCAAGTTGTGGTAATGCAATAATGCCCATGGTAATATTCCAAGGTTAACATTTACCCGGCTCCGCGGAGGTTCTACTGAAACAGGACCGTCAAGATGATTTGCTGGTAAAGTTAAGTGGTTTCAAGGGGGGGTCCCGAAGTCGCACGCCGCCTAAATTTTGTCGATCTCGTCGGTGGGGAGGGCCCCCCGGCGATCTATAGATCAATCCCATGCACGAGGGTCTCGGCGCTAACTGCATATGTACATGTAATAAATCACGGCTCTCTGCATGTATCTGCTTCATTTTTGATGCCTTCTATACGAGCCTCGCGCAATGACGAGGCTTGACTCTACTAGTATTGTCTATATGAAAATCAAACTTATTACATCCACTCCTGGTGTAATTGATCATCCAGGTTAATATACCCGTCCACAACACCCAGTCCCCGCAGTCTCTCTTGTTCGATGCGTTCCCAGGGCCATTCTTCGGGGCTCCATGTGTCGGAGTTGGCATTTTTCTGCTCATCAAGGTCCTTGCGGTCGGGAATCTGATCATCGTTCATCTTCAGCACCTCACGCACCAGGGTTCCATCGACACCTCCGGTGGCTGTAATACCCTCGCCGCTGGCAGGCGTCCCGATTGCTGAAACATCCGCGGATGAGACGGTCGGAGCATCCTTTGTCTCACTCTCTATCGGCGGCGTGGGAAGGAATCCTCCGAGGCGGAGAATCCGCTCCGGCGCAATGGTCAGCCGGCCCTTCTTCACGACATACTTGCTCAGGGCAGTTGCCAATAGTGTCTTCTCGCCACCTGTACGGCTGGCAGGACGCATGAAACACGTGAGGATATACATCCACTTCTTATCCCAGGAAATCACCTTGGAGTGCATTTCGTACAGCTCAAAAGGCTTGATTTCGCGTTTGAAGCTGCAGTAGACAGAGCCGAGCACAATAATGATAGGCTTCTTCTTGGGAGCACGCTTCCCTTCTTTCTGCGCTGCAGCAAGAAATTCCTTGTCCAGCTCTTTACTGACAAGGCCAACGCCAGGGCTATAAAGGCGGCTCACCAGTGCCGTACGAGACACATCCAGGTCGGTGAAGTATGTGCTATTGGACTTGTGCATATTATAGTCTGTCTCTAGCAAAGGTGTTCGTGAGGTAACCCGCACCGGCACGAAGACCGGATGTGTCGGCTTGCCTTGAGCATCCACAATGGCCTTCCCCTTCGGAAAAAAAGGGGCACTTGGCTTCAACCGAAGGTTGGTCGCAAAGTGGTACAGCAGACGGAACTGAAACACTAGTCAGCACAGATACACAACGTCCAACGGTTAATAGACCCTACATGCTCGCCAAAGTCAAATTTGACGAGCAGTTTGAGGGTGGGATGCGAAAAATACATACGTGCCAAACGAATGGGAGGTTTTTCAGATTAATGAATGCGAGTATTAAGGCCAACGTTCTCCACGATGCTAGCGAGCCCATCGCTGATAATAAGTCGCGCATGTTTTCGACGCGAAGCGCTGCCGAGATGGCGAGCATGGTGCTGTCGAGGCGTTTATATGAGATGAACAGTGGGCTTGGCGGTCAGGGTTGATTGAGGACAGCGACGGGGAAGCTAGGTCCAATGTGGTTCAAAGTGTCTTGCAGGGGCGAAACAGATAGATAGAAGGAAAGATAGTATAGTCCCGCTCAGTCACGAGTCTTCCAGGGGAATTGACAGAAAAGCCGCGCTTGGTATGTACTCCCTAGTAAGGTCTGGCTGATATTATGTGAAATAAAGAGTGAAGTGGCAGGCGATGAGGTCAGGATAGATCTCAAGGGAACTTCTTCAGCCGTGCCGATCACGAATAGTAATCTCAGCGTCACGATCTGTTTCTGTTGGGATGCGTGCGGACCGAGGTTACCAATACCTTGCATATGATGTTTAGTCATGTGACCACTTATTCAGACTCCAGTAGTTCAAACAAGTTCGGGAGCCATATCATGACGTACTAGGTATACTTATATACTCTGTGAATCAAAGGGCGCTCATTGTGAAAAGTGTAGAAAGGTTGAATACCAAGGTTAACTCAGAAATACAGTAGTCAACTTTCTTCTGTTGATACCGGGACTCAACATAGTGGTGTTATCACGTGACTCGATCCAGGATATAGTTGACCAGGAGTAACCTAGTTAATATGGTTTGTATACCTACCAGATAGATACTACTAATGGTACGGATCTTGGTTAATTAAGTGTTAAATCGAGGGTTAGTCCATGGATGCTTCAAGTTTACTTGGGTGGGTGACTACTACTAGTATCTAGGACAAATTACCAGAGTATCTCTGGCTCGACACTGAGGTTACCTAAGTATGCTTATCATCGATATGAAAAGTTGGTCAATACTAGTTACCACCTGGACTAGCGCATTCTGGGAAGAACGCAAGTTTCTCGAATGTTACCAAATTTCCCGATAAAGTTAGTCTCATCCAAACGCTCCATCGATTGATCTATACACGACCACGGACCATTCCGAGGATCTTGCACCCCGAGCGATCGATTGCCTTGAGATAGCCTCTCAATAATCTATGAAATAACAAATAAGATACCAAATAGAGAAATAATGAAGCGATTGGACCATTTCTCACTAAATCACCTGACTGCGTTTTGGCCCCATTTTGGGGGCCTGGAGGCGCGGCTTCGCCTCGCCGGTGCAATCTGTCTTTTCACATACACAGCAAACGAATCTCAAATTGCAAGTCATTATTACGATTCAGGGGATTCGGTTTCGATATATCCGACCAAGTACTTCTTGTCGAACACGCGACTGTGCATATTGGTTTTAATTTTCCGAAACCTCTCAGCCGCAAAGCGTGGGGGCTGAAATCAATTGAGAAGATCGCGCCCAATTTTCCGTCCCATTTTGATTTCCCGCACTTGAATTCATTATGGCTGTCCAACCCGGTGGCAAAGATACGCTCATTTTGCCTTCAGGGCGCACGCTTGCATGGACCGTATATGGCGGTGATCTTCAAGCAAATGAAGATCAAGAGCCTCCTGCTGTTGTCTTCTACTTCCACGGATTCCCTGGCTGTTCGAGTGAAGCCAGCCAAATTGAACCCGAAATTCTTGAGCAGCGCAATACTCGCATAATCAGTGTTGACCGGCCTGGTTTTGGCAACTCGACACACTATGCTGAGCGTCGCATACTGGACTGGCCAAATGACGTCTTAGCCATCGCCGATCATCTGCATATCCCGCATTTCTACGTTTTGGGCTTATCGGGCGGAGGCCCCTACGCTCTTGCATGCGCGCACGCTATTCCTCGCATAACCGGTGATGATTTCGATGAAACGTCAAATGGACGTCTCCTTGGTGTTTCAATCGTGTGCGGCGCCTACCCTTCCACACTTAATGCAAATGGGATGATGACTGAATTGCGGATGCTACTTGCTGCCGGCGCATGGCTACCGAGATTTGCTACAGGGAGTCTGTTTGATTGGGTTATTGGTCGTGCTGCGCGAGACCCCGACCCGAAAGTTCTTGAGAAGGCAATGGATGCCGCAATTATGAAGAGGCCCGGGACAGAAAAGACCGCTTGGACGAAGCCGAGAATCAAGGCCGCGGGTTTGGATTCCACGCGCGGTGCCTTTCAGAATGGGGGAGCCGGATCGGCGACGGAGCTCATGCTTTTGAACGATTGGGGATTTGAGCTTGATGATGTCGACGGAAGAGGTATTCGCTTATGGCATGGCAAGCTTGACCGGAATGTTCCAATTGGAATGGCGGAGCAGGCTGCAGAATTATTACCCGGCGCCGAAACACACTTCTGTGATGAAACTGGTCATCTAGATATGATTTTCCATGCAGAGGAAATTTTGGATAACCTCTTAGGCAGGGAAAGCCATGATGATGAGTGAGCAGCAGCAAATATGTGCTACCTTTTGTGTATTAATGAATATATTCCCGCATAATGACTTATTTGAAGCATTTCATCTATATGATCCATGGATATCACTTCAGATTCAAGTTCAAGCACAACTTCCAACTTGAAGGTTGTTGACCTGGTGTGACATACTCACACTTAAGCGCACCTTTCGTTTGATCCATTGATGCTTCGGCTACTTCCGTGTATTCCTCGAGCGGGCTTCAATGGTCTCAAGCTAAAGCTCGATTATTTGCGCTACCAAGAGAAAGCGAACTTTAGTACCGATCGCGCCTGATGTGGGTAAATTTCGAGGATCTCCACCACCCGTTTGCGCAGATCGTCCCTTTGACATTTCCAACAGCCGAAGAGTGGAACATCGATGTCCATTTCTAGGACTGAGAAGGGACGAAACTCATTGACCAAAATTTGCAATATACTGCGACAGCTACTAGTAGGTAGCTATTTCACGTTGAGCCGCCGAGGTCAGCTAGCCTTCCTGGGTCTCGAGAATGCATGAGTAAATCAGTATCACTCATCCTACTACTTATAGTATCCGAGAAGTTCTCGAATTCAGCTCTTGGGATATTCATGGCTCCCGTGACTCGTTTGGTGGATTGAATCCCACGTTTTGCCTGACAGCTCATCGGCTCACCTAGCGTGCTTTAGCTCGGCAACGGCTTGAGCGTCGCGTCAAATTGGTCCACTTAATTAGAATTGGCCACTTTTAGATTGGTTACTGATACTCGCATGATTCAGGTAGTTAGACTGCTTTCATGGGCTTTCGAGCCTCACTGGCCGACCCCTTTCTTTAGAAATGTGATCTGACATTGACTTGCTTCTGGGAATAACCATCCGAAACATTCTCCTCCACGACAACGCCCATTATGGCTGCTAACTTTCCAACCGCAGTAGTTGTTGCCATAGGCATTTTGACACTGTTATACATCAGCACGAGGCGTGTAAGAAAGGCTAGCAAAGACGTCAAATCTCGACCCCTCCTCAAACTTCCCCTCATCGGAGACCTGCATCGCTCCCCCATAGAAAAGCCACTACTTGAATGGGACTCATGGGCGAAAGAAAATGGTCCGATTGCGGTTCCCAAGCTATTTGGTATAATTCCCATTGTTGTTCTCAACTCGTTCGAGGCCGTGACGGAATTGTTCAGTCGTCGCAGCCAGTGGTATAGTAACCGCCCAGCTTCGGTGAGCATGGAGATGATTACAGGGGCATCACCAGGACAGTCAAAATTCACTTTGATGCATGACTACGATGATCACCTCAAATTACACCACCGCGTCCTCGCGCCTAGTCTCGGTGCCCCTGCTGCCCCAAATTACCAGCCATTGATTGAACTGGAATCAAAGCAGCTGTTGTTTGACATTTGCAATCATTTATCAGAAGGCACTAGCTTGACCAGTACAGACAAGATATACCCGATGTTAGAGCGAGCGCAGTCCAGCATTATCCTAGCGCTTCATTATGGCCTTCGGATCCCACGCTTCGAGGAGGACATTCTCCATGAAGTGATCGATATTCAGTCCAAGGTGACCCATCTGGCTGCCAATCCTGCCCTGCCGGATATTATCCCGCCTCTACGACTCTTACCGACTTTCTTGTCTCCCTGGAAACGTGCCGCAGACGAGCTATATTCCACCCAGGTTGATTTATACATGCGCTTGTTTCGCCATGGCAGAGATGCTGATGGCTGGAATGCCACTAAACAGGCTATCTTGACGGCGGAAAAGCACGCACCCAGTGGCATCCCGGATCTTGATCTTGCTTTCACTCTTGCAACTTCGATTCAAGGCGGGATGGAGACATCACCACGTCAAATATTATGGCTATTCATTGCAGCACTGCACCAGCCCTTGTTTATGGCTAAAGCCCATGATATTCTCGACAAAGTTGTCGGCCGCAACCGTTTGCCTGGGTTTTCCGACCGCTCAAATCTTGCTTACATTGATGCTGTTGCCCACGAGTTGTTTCGCTGGCGTCCTATCTCACCGGGATCCATTCCTCGTAGGGCAGATCGTGATGATGAATTTCAAGGCGTGAAAATAAAGAAAGACGTCACGATTATGGCCAATGCATGGGCTATCGGTCGTGACGAACAGGTATTTGATCCCGAGCTTGGAGATACTCAGGAATTTATCCCGGAGCGATGGCTTCTAGAAGATGGCAATGGGACAGCACGGCTGCGAGCAGATCTCCCATTGCCTGTATTTGGTCAGGGTAGACGTATGTGCCAAGGCAAAAGGGTTGCCACGGATGGGACCTTTCTGCAAATTGCTTCTCTTCTTTGGGCATTTGATATCGAGCCAGTTGAGGGAGAAGAAGTTGATCCATGGGCGATGGTCGTGGCGGGGTTCATGACAATGCCGAGAGAACTGGAATTCAAACTCAAACCGAGAGGCGACTGGGTGGTGGACACTATCAAAAAGGAATGGGCTGCCGCAGAGAAAGGTATTGGAAAGGTCATGAGTGTCAAGCGAGATGTCGAAAATTGAACATGTTTTCAACAAAGATCAAAATCTACTTGGTGTTTCTTGTATAGTTCCTTTTGCGGATCAAAATGATATTGTTTCTAATCATAATTTCCGGGCTAGTACATCGTGCTGAGTGATATATGCCATACTAGTATGTTGAGAACTTCAGGTTTGAACTCATTAACCTCTTCCCCGAAGACGAATCCACTCATGGGAGCATTGTTTGTGGCAATTTGAAGGCCTGAGTTTTGACTGCCGAAAGTGACATTGACTACGGGTGTAGCCTGTGACTTTGCTGCTTCTTGAATTTTGGCCAAAAGTTCCCCCAAGAGCTTTTGTGATGCTTCTAGGTATCTTTGCTCTTCCTGGAGATTTTTGGCTGTCTCCTTAGGCTCGGGGTCTTGTATACTCAGATCTTCCAGCTGGAGCTCCACTTGTCTTTGCTGCTGAACTGCATTTCGATTTGCGGCTCTCAGCTCATCTTCCTTTGAAGATAGTGCTCTTCGAATTTCTTGCGTCATCTGAGTATGATGGAATGAGCTGTATCTGTATTGTCATGTCGTAAATTAGCATATCCGCTTATGAACTTGAACGAGATCATTTTATGAATGGATGTCTCACAGTGTCGCTGTACTAACAACCGAGGTTATATTAACCTGGCAGTTATGGAGTTTGCCCTGTATGGATTTGATATGGTCTTGTTTCCAAAATCCAATAGTCGATCTATCTCTCCATGAAAGCTTTGTGTCTTGAGAATGTCGGGTCCATCGCTGGAGGTCTGATCGAAATTCGTCACAGGCTGTGGAGCAGACTTTAACCGTCGATCTAATGTTGTCTTCCACATTTGAACCAAGAGCCTCCAGGTCTTCGGGCTCGATATCCTGAAGAGACGAAAGAGCTCCGTCGACCAAAAAAAGATCATTCTTGAGATCCTCCAAATTCTCCGGGGCGTCCTTTATATCCTGCAAATCCCGGAGAAGTAATCTCATACCGTGTAGAGCAGGTATAACGACACCAGCAATACTGGCAGTCAGACTCAGGGGGTCGGTCATGATATTAAATCGTGATTCGTGAGGAATCTATTAGAGAAGAGGTGTTGCGAAAGAATACGAGTTTGGATGCGCGTCAGCCCCGTTAGCGCGGGGCACAGCCAGCGAGCGCATGGTTGGCCAGCTGCGTAGTCTCACCTAGTCTGCCGTCGCAGCCTGCGCAGCCGCCCAGGTGAATGAATCAACATCGCAAAAATGGCTTCCACGATTAATTTTGGTCAACTAAATGCCGGAATCCAGATCGGGGTCAGTAATGCTCTCATCAATAATATCCAGTTGCTATCCGGTAAGTCAACTCCCAGGTATCTTGTAGTGCCTGTAGATGATGATGACGGGGCGAGGCTAATTCCCCACATCGCGGCTCCAGAGCGCCCTGAAACACCTTCCGAGCCTCTTTCCACAGTTCTTTTTCTTCTTGACACAGATTTTGTCGATCGCGGAACTCTTCTCGAGAAAGTCGAGGAGAAATGTATTGTGCGACCATCGAGGCTGGCTCTCGTTGGGATCGGCGGTGTTGGGTGGAATAGCCACGAAACGTTACTTAAATGAACAATGCTGACAGCAACGTAGAAAGTCTCAACTAGCCATCGAATACTCCTATCGCGTCCGTGAGCGGTCACCGAATACCTTGGTATTATGGGTTCACGCGAGTAGCGTAGCCCGGCTCGAACAAAGTTACGGGGCGATCGTCTATCAAGCCAAAATCCCTGGCTATCAGAACCCAACAGTCAGCGTTGTATCATTAGTCACGGACTGGCTACAAGCCGAAAAGCGAGAATGGATTTTGATTCTCGATAATGTTGACGACGATCAGCTTTTTCACGAGCCGGAAAAGAACCAGACAGCGCATCAACAAAAGCCTCTTGGCTTTCTTCCTTGCAGCTCAAATGGCCCAATAATCATGACAACTCGAAGTAGAGGAATGTCTCTCAGCTTTGTCGACGAACGCGATTTATTCGAGGTGAATCCCATGGATAGTCACGATGCTTCAGCTTTGATGAACCTCAAACTCGAGCACCAAACAGGGCAGGGCATTGCCACCCAGGACGATATCATGAAATTGACGGAGGCTCTTGAAATTATGCCGCTGGCCATTGTACAAGCAGCAGCCTATATAAGACACCCAGCTTCCCGTTGTTCCATCGCTCAATATCTCGAAGATTTTCAAAGTAGCGATGCTCAAAAATTGGAACTTCTTGATTACGACGTATGTAATATCCATCGAGATATGGATGCCAAAAACTCGATTTTAGTAACCTGGTCATTGTCATTTGAGCGTATTCGGCAAACGCGGCAATCTGCTGCAGATCTGCTCTCTCTGATGAGTCTCTTTGATCGACAGGGAATTCCAGAGTCAGTCCTCCAGAAACAAATACCCCAGGAACAGACACTACGCAAAAGAGAAAGCGGAAAATCGGAGAATGGCCCAAATCAAAGTTTTACAGTGGAAAGTCACCCTCCATAGTCCAGATGGGCTCCCTTGGAGGTGTCAAGGGAGTGGCGCCACCGACGCTGTTTTTGATATTCAGCGCGACATCATGATGCCGAGAGACTATTGCTTGGTTTCAGTAAGCAAAGACTCAACGACCTTTGAGATGCATTGACTGGTACAACTATCACTACATAAATGGCTCTCAGTCAAGGGTGAAATTAAAAAATGGAAAATTGTGCTTGTGGAGAAGTTAAACAGCCTTTTTCCTCGGGTGTATAGAGGTGATAATTCAAGTCGGCCCTTGTGTCGGGATGTACTCCCTCATGTTCAATCCGCCTTGTCACAAATACCTCTGTCAAAGCTTTGCTTTATCCAGTTGGGCTTCACTTCTTCATAAAGCGATTCGATATGGACTTTATTCCGACGAACTTTCTCGTCTAGGCGATATGGCTATGGAAGCCATGAAAGCCGAGGAAGAATTTCTTGGAGAGTTGGATTATGAAGCTGCGTTTCTGCTAACTGCGATTCACCAGAACATGGCAAAAAGTCATAGACATGATCGAGAGACTGTATAAAGACATGAAGAAAAGATATGGAAGAGAGCACATTGATACACTTTCTCTTATGAAGGCTCTGGCCGATGCATACCTACAAAAGGGCCGATTCCAGGAAGCCGAAGCATTGCATCTCAAGGTGCTTCGGATCGGAAAAAGAAAATTCGGTCACGATAATCTTTCTGTTGCTGAAAGTGTGGAGGGGTTAGCAGGGACCTATCGTCATTCACGCTATCAAGAAGCCGTCGCCCTTGCGATGAATGTCATTGAGATTTTCAAGAAACAACTTGGCCCGGAGGATCCAGACACTCTTGCTACCGCAAGGCGCATGGTGGATCACTTCCCTGATTCTCGTCTATTAGAAGTAGCCAAGTCTCTCGGAATGAGGCATTTGAGGTTTGCAAAAAGACCCTAGGACCTCAACATCCTAAAACTCTCAATAGTGCAGAATACCTGTCCATGACACACCATATGATGGGAAAATATGAAGAGGCGGAAACGCTTGCCTGTCAAGTGCTCGAGACGCATCGAAGAATATACGGGTCTGACCATCCGGAGACTACCAGATATGCCGAAAACCTATCCTTGATTAATCTTCACATTAGGAAATATCAAGAGACTGAAGACCTAACTCGTAAATTACTCGATAAAAAAACGAAAAATTTGGGGAACTGCGCACCTCAACGTTCTGAAATGCAGAGCAAGCTTATCTGACATTTTGGCCAAAATGGGTCGGTATCAAGAATCCGAAGCCATTAAATGCCAGGTTATTGAGGGCTTCACATAAATCGTGGGGCCTTTAGGCCAAGTCACAATCGGTTCTATTTTGGGGCTGTCAATTCTATACATTGAGATGAAAGAGTTTCAAAAACCTTGTCGCTCTTGTATCAAATACACGAGGCGACGAGCATCAGCTCTAGTGCAGAACATCTAATAGCACTAATCTCTCTGTTACTTTTATCTCTGAGCTTAAAAAAAATGAGCAAGATCCAGAAGCTTTGGACAGGATGATAGAGTATCGAGATAGAAATGCCAAAGTTTTGGGTGTTGACCATCCCGATACCAAGGAAGCATCCAGAAAAATACAGATGTGGCAAACTCAGGTCTTGGATAACTAGGTATTGGGGTTGCACCGGCGGAGAACGATGCTACATAATCAGAGAAATGGTTTACCAGGCAATGCTGTCACGGTGAGAACAAACCCCAGTCCAATTTTGTCACATGTAGTATACAAACGCAAGTGAAACTAAATTTACGCCTTCAAGTTGCGACGGCACATCATTATCCTCGAAAGCTCAGAATCCATCAAGAGCCGCACTATCCGTCACATTTCATCAATTTCAGGTTCATGTTCAGACTCGAGGGCCTCATCTCGAGCTGTTGCCTCCTTCTTTTGCTTTGTCTCCTTCGCCACGCCACCTGCTTCCTTCCCCCACAGACTGTCATAAATATCGGCCTTATGCTGCTCGGTAGTACCCTGAAAGCCGAATGTTATCACTTGCTGATAATAATCAACGTAATTGAACGCAGACGAACCTGGTCACTTGTGGCAGCTTGTTTTTTGTCGAGATCTGGCTTCAAAGGAGATCCTTCGTAGTCATCGGGGAATGTAGTATTAATGAAAACTAATCAGGCATTAGTCTTATATGTGATATCGAGGGTTGGTTTCTGAGCATACATTCTTCGTTGCCCTTGACGTTGGGAAAGTGTTTCTCATGGATAGATGCCTGTGCCAATCTGCTGATGCGGACGGCTGATGGCCGTGTGAGTTGACGTTTGATTAGAGTAGAGTACATGATGGAAGTATTGCTATCAAGTAGTAGATGAAATTATCGTGGGCTGCCAGTGGTTAAAATGTACTAGTTCTAGGTGAGAGATTCATACTAGTAGTAGACCCCGGGGTCTAGAGATCATTTTAATAAAGCTTAGCTCTTAAGCTGCGGGGTCATGATGATGTCAATCATCTGACAATCGAGGGCAAAATAGACATCCTAATGAAACCCAGACAAATCGTCGGGTCCTGAAAGTCATTGAAGCCACGAAACAGGGCATTGGTTGGCTGTATCAACCTGGAAGCACGCTGTGGAGGTGGCGATAGCCGCGCAGTTATTCCATGGTACCTCCCAGAGAGCTCATAGGTCGTGTGACTTTTCCCGAGATCTAGAACACCAATCTTTGTACAGTAAATACTTTATATTATATTTCCAAGCATCTTGATCGGCGATCGGCGATGATCTATATATACAAAACTCCGGCATTGCATGGCCCATGAAGCGAGTGTGTCGTTAAAATCCCCCATAATTCCTTGAAATGCGCCGTGGGAAAGAGAAATCAAAATTTACAGCCCAAGTCAATGCTAAGACTCCCAATCCATAGCTCGCATCAGCAAGAAGGTCTCCGCGCTCAATCCCCTTTGGACCTTCTTGCCATTCTCTTCCGTGAAGAACTCCGGCTCGAAGTCGCTCGCCTTGGCCCATTCCTGAATTAAACGGCGCCAATAGCAGACCTCGGCTGCTTGGGTGAGGTAGCGCTCGCGGAACGTTTCCACGCTATTATCGGCTATGCGCTGGGCGTCTTTGTCGTGCTTGCGCAGCCATTTCATCCTCTTCTCAAGGTTGGACCAGTCGCGGTCGACCTCGACAAAGTTCTGCTGGGAACCGGAAGATCGCAAAAGGTGTGAGTGATGTTGGATCCAGTCTAGCTTGTGCGAGACGATCACACTGCGGCACATTTGGAGATATTTGAGATGACCGGAGTTAGTGTTTTCTTCCGTTTGGGCGAGGTATTTGTAGTCGCAGAATTCCGGCATGGTTCGGTATTCGTCTTGCATGGTTTGCTGACCGTCCTGGTCGAGAGATTTGACGTCCGCCCAGGGTTTCTTCTGAGTCACGCTGATGAGCTTGTTACGGATCTCATGGCCTAGGCTCAATGTGCCCCGCCATAATAATTTGTCGTTTTTCTTCGACCAGGTCATTCCTTCTTTCTCGGCGTCCTCGACGTCCATGAGGATTTCCTTGATCGAACCAGCTTTGATCTCTGGCCAGGACCAGAACCCGAAATCAGGGACCAGCCATACCAGTTCGTCCTCGGGGCGGCGGGTGTACCCCCATTGGGCGGCGTTGTCAATATGATCGTCGGTGTTGAAAGCGAATTCGATATTGGGGAGAGGTTCGGGCGAGGTGAGGATTGCCCGGTTGATGGCGGAAAGCGTCGCAATCTCACGCGACCAGACGGCGCCTTCTTTAGCGATTACATATAGCTGTCGGAAGAACCGGTTAGATCTGGGAGGAGGTTATTTCGAAGTGTGTCAGCCCAGTCACTCACCTGCTGGTCATAAATCATAGCACGGATGTATCCATTCCGCGGGGGGACCGAGTCGATTTCTCCGAGGGTAATCGGACGGTCGGCGCGCGCAGCACCGGCACGCTCGAGATCGGCAAAGAGATCGGGGAAGGCCAAGTCACACTGACCCTGGGTCAGGAGCAGGTTATCCCGATCGCGCTCATACCGCCAAGCACCATCGAAGCTGTGTTGGCTTTGTGGTTGGGTGAGGGGAGTTCTGGTAGGTTGGACGGTGGATCGGGGGCGCGGTCTGATGTAGAGAAAAAAGCCCAGGACTAGCAAGAGACACGGTATGGTCACCAGCAATTGACGTTTAACAAGCAGCATACTTCCATCTGTGCCCTAACCGATAAGGGATGGGAGGCAGGGACATGGTGGTAAGAGGAAAAGGGAAAGGGAAAAGGGAGGGAAGAAAAAGGCCGGGCGGACTGGGGTTGCCCTGAGGGTGCACTGCCTGGTGTAGTTTAGTGAGGAACTAGCACTTTCTGGTTTATTACTCCGCACTCTCCGGTAGAACCAGGAAATTTAATGGAGGTGGGGGCTGAATTCTTTTAGGACCATTCCCGCATTTTGATGACCTTTGTGGCGCAGGGTGTGATTACGAGAGAGTACGAAGTATGCGGAGTGTGGAGAAGAGTGTAGAGTGTGAGGGTATCAAATAGTTTCTGTCTATATTGGTAGGATAATGCTATTAGTTAGTCTATGGGACTAGAGTACCAATAATGCAATAGCTGATACGATATACTAGTAATTAAGTTATTAAATAACTAAGTAACTAAGTAACCAAGTAACTAAAAATAGCTGAGCCGCATCTTCTTAGCACGTGCATCAAAGTTCAGGGTTCACGTATCAACTACATTCAGCCTCTTCTCTTACTCCACATAACCCTGCTTAAATGGCTCCTGCATTCATGGGTTATCGACCAATTTACTAGAAAATCGCCATGCAATTCGGCGGACTCGACACTCCCCGCGAGCAATTCAACGGACTACTCGAGATGAAGAAACTCCATCGTCCCAACCGCCGACACGTCGCCGCCAACTCCTCCAAATCAAACATCTCCCCGATAGGCACCCCCCCACCCAGCTAGCAGATAATGGTGCAGATCGAACTCCGGCGCCCGAGCCGGAAACACTTCAAAACTAACCGCATCCGACGCAACAGCCGCAAAATGATTATCCCATATAAACCGAAGCACCCGCTCGCTCTGCTCAATGCCCGCATGCTGCGGCATCGACTGCTCACTATACGCCTGTCGCTCATGAGCTGACATGGCCGCCCACGTCCCCGGCAGTCCGACGCGCAGGAAGAAGATATCGCCATGCTGGAAGGTGATATTGGACTCGGCCGCGATCTCGAGGACTTCGTCTAGGGAAATCGTCTGGCGGGTGAGTGCATTCAGAGGGATTCCTTTCTTCTCTGCGTATGAGACGTAGTCGATTAGTACTCCACGACCTGCGATGCCTCGCTTGGCCCAGAATCCGATTCCGATGCGGGGGGGAGTCGGTGTCTTTGATTTCCTCGGCCGTCGTGCCGCCGTGGAAGACTCGACGTTCGGGATTTTCGGGCGTGGGCGCCGGCTGATTGTGGTGACGGAATCCGTCCCATTGGGACGATTGTTGCGGGTTGAAGTGATACTCGTCGTCGAAGGCGACGCCCTCGGCTACCCACTTGATGCGGTGCTCAAAGGGCTTGCGACCGAATCCTATATTCATTGTATCGGCCATCAGCATGCATTCGTTCATTCTCCAGGGCTTCTAACACGCGCTTAATTTATCTCTAAAGCAGTTCATTGTAGCCCTATATATGACTGGTAGTTATTAGGTTGGGAATGTACCTGGCGGGGTCAAGTTCTCAATGTCCCAATTCAAGCACACCCGTTCACCTGTCTGGATCTGCGTACGCGCTGCGTCGGCTACAACATCGGGCGTGAGTAGACGCAGCATTCCTAGTCCTTCCTCCTCTGATCCCGCAGGCGCAGGCCAATAACGGCGCTTGTCAGGAAGGTCATCGAATTTGGGAAGACCAGCCATAGTGATGGTGATAGATCGATGCGAGGAAATGAATGCGGGGAAGTTGTGATTGGTACAACTAGCAGTATCCCAACTTGGGCTTAGGGGCTAAGCTATGGGAGACGTAGGAAGTGGTCAATTATCAAGAATTGATTTTAGCTACACTTCTAGCAATTCTAGGGATGGGGCACGGCTAAATACAACGGTTCCCCCACGTCGGAGCAAGTCCGTTGACGTGGACATGACCCTCCCCCGCAGCCCGCTTCGTAGGTCCAGCCACGTCACTGGGATTTAAGATATGTGGGCACAGCTCAGTTACGGGATCTTAAAGGGGCAAGTAAGCGATAGCCCTGCATGAGGTGTGTATCCACTGTGCGACCAGTTCAAGACCAAGCATTTCTGGCTACCCAATCTATAGTAAGCGGACGATAGCGTCCACATCAAGCATATGCTTGTAAATCAACGGCGCTCTATAGTCGCAATCCTACCATTGTTTCAGCCTCCCAAACTTACCAATATTCCATACACAATTTGGACAGAGGCACAGGAAAAGATAGACATGAACTCTTTTATTACATCTTAGCAGTCATGATGAGAAGTCAATGCCGACGCTATAACATAATCTACCCCGGGGGAAAAAATAACAAGCGGCATGTTCCCTATGAGGGAACAGCCTAGCAACCAATTAGAAATTTACAAGTCATCCAGGTCGTCGTCGTTCGTCTTCGAGCCACGGCTGGGCAGGTCAGACATCTCATACTCTTCCTTGCGGCCTGAAGAACCAGCCCGGTCCGAGGCTGACATGGCCATCGCCTGCCGACCGGTGTCAGAAGACTCGAGGAAATCGCGCAGGCGACGTTTGCCTTCTTCGAGAGCTTGCTGCGATGCTGCCTCGGTCATCTTCAAGATAGGACCCCACAGATTGAGTTGGTAGGTGACATAGGCACCAACGGCGCACACAAAGAGCAAGAAGAAATAGGCGGGGTTACGGAGAACTAGAGCGAAAGAGGGTCAGTATGGGTAAAAGGATACATGGGACGAATCCAACTTACCAGCAATAATCTCGTTCCATCCCAATGCCAGCAGAATACCATAAAAGTACAACGGCACTTGAGTCATGCCACCGATGGCACTCCGCTTGGCTTCGACGTATACTCCATCGGCGGCTTTCTTGAAGCGAACGGTGAGTTCCTGACGCTTGGAATCACCCACAATCGTCATCTCTTCCTCCAGACTCTTGCCTTCATCCTCATCCACACCGCCAATAGGAGCCAGGTCCTCTTCATCAGCAGGAGATGCCGTGCTTGGGGTGTGGCCAATCCAGCGATCCAGTGGCGGGACAGCAGAGGTCTCGGCAAGGCGGAAACGCGAGAGAAGAGGAATCAAGGTAAGGGTGGACTCGCGGGCACGAGTATAGATACCCTCAATGTCGTCTGTCGGACGCCAGATGCGTGGCACGCCGTCATCATCATATCGGAACTTGTCCTCAAAGTTCTCTCGCAGCTTGAGAAGCAAGTTACCCTCGATCATCTCCTCGTCAATCTTTGCACGCAGTACGCCCCAAGACTTACGGCGCAGACGCCACAGGCCAACATCGACCTCTTCCAGACTGGCGTCGAAGCTGCTGGCGCGATCCGTGAATCTTCGCTCCGCATCCAGGACAGTTTCCACGAACACATTCCAGATACGATCCCAGAATGCTTTCTCGGTGGGCTTCTCCCCATCTTCGGGAGCGCCACCGCCGGCGCGACCAGAGCCAAGTCCATTGAATTCGACTCCCACGGATTCACCCAGGCGAGACTGCACCCAGCGCTCGACACGGCTAGCGAGGCGTCGCATCTCATCGCGTCGAAGACGAGCGCTGACTTCGGAAAGTTCCTTCTCATAGAGTTTCAGCTCTTGCTTGTAGTTGCTCCACGAGGTATTCTCCACCACAGTTGAACGGGCAACAGCCTCAAATTTCTCGAGGGAAACCTTGGTCTCCTCGTTGACAATCTCCGCAAAGTCATAGTTGCCGCCCTTCTTCTGACCAGACTTGACAGCGTTCGTCACGGCATCGCTGAAATCACGAATACCAGACTTGTGCGCAGCGGAAATCTGGCCGTGGAAAAGGGCCTTCAGACGGGTATCAACCTTGCCCTCCAGTTCGGCCTTCTTGCGCTGGTAGACACCCTTGTGGTACCGGCTAGCTTCAGTCTCAAATCCCTTGACTGTCTTGGATCGTGCTGTCCGCATCGCCACACCCAGACCGCCAAGCACTTCTGGGGCTCCCAGGCGCACTGCCTCGTTTTGCTTGTCCTCAAAAGCGATGATAGCCTCATCGAATCCAATCATAACCTCGCGCAATATCTCGTCGCAGCGGAATTGAGCAAGCAGCTCCTGCTGGGTGGGTAGATCAAGATCCTTGTTATTGACAATCTGGTCCCAAACGCCCTCCGCGTAGTGCGAGAAGCCATCTGCCGGGATGCGCCGGTGATATTCAGGCAAGAAGACACCCCCTTCCGAGAATTCGCCCTTGAGCGCATCCCTCTTGGGATCACGGTGCCCTTCGCGGAAACGCAGTCCTAGCTTCTTGGCCTCTGATACGAACTGGTCCGGTTGGTAGCCTTTGTGCGGGAGCCCGTAGAATTGGAAATCAAAGTAATCGTGGATTGTGGACCTTTCCAATCCAGCGGGTTTGGAAATAGTGTCCCAGAGTCGTGAGAGGTCTTCCAGTAATGTCTTTTGGAGGTTCTTGAGCGGGGTGGTACCGATGAAATCACGAATAACGAAGAATAGTAGGGATCGGTGGGTGGTGCTATGGATCCATTAGTACGCAGCGCACATCGAGAGGGGTCAAGGTTATCCGCATACTGTTTATCCTTTAAGAACAATTGCAGGTTCACCTCAAAGACGGTCTTCAGCAGGCCCATGTTGGCACCCTGGTACAACCCCACCTGGTGCTCCCAAATATTCACAATGAGAACCTCACTCGTCGCAAGCGCGAAGAGAGCACTCTTGCGCTCAAAATCCTGGTCCTCGCCTCTCTCGCGACCATCAGTACCTTCCACGTCCATCACCAGAATATTATCCGCCATCCGCGGGCCATCGGCTGTTGCGGACTTGGCCTGCATCTTGTTCTTTGACAGCCAGATACCCTTGGTTGTTTGCCTGCGCTCTGTCTCGGACATGACGGAGAATTGCGTGCCGAAAAGCTGGTTGAGAAGAGTGGACTTTCCGGTGGACTGCGATCCAAACACGGAGATGAGGTGATAGTTGAAGCCGGCGGCGGTTACATCTTCGAGGGCGAGGTACTTGGATAAGTTGGGACTATAGGATAGGCGGTTAGCAAGAAGAGTCGCAAGCCGCGAGCTCTTTGAGCTTGCAATGGATATGTCGGAAGACGGGTGTCGCCATACTTGAACTCCTTATCCCCGTCAATCGCTTGCACGCCATGCTCATAGGAGGCGGCATCGCCCTGGTCGGCAACAGTCGCAAAGTGGCCGTTTGCCATTATAGGGGGCGCAGTTGGTGTCCTACCCAGTCCCGAGGGGCGTTCAGTCATTGTGATGGTTATCGCACTCTGAGGTAGTGGTGGGGACAGATCACCGTAGGAAGGTGGCGAGAGGAGAGAGTGCGGGAACTAGGAGGTTGGGGAAGATGTGGAGCATGCACGGAATACTCGCGGGTCCGATGCAAATGAAAGTATGTACTCCTTAAAAAAAAGCAGCACAAGACAATTTGAACGATCACAAGGCCGTTGCACGAGGATCGAAAGGTCCGAGGTCTGATGGGTTGCTGGGGGAAAACAAGTCTTACATAACCCCTGCATGATCGCCGGCGTTTCCACTGTTGACAGCGTATAGACTACTACCTAAACGACTCCATCTACCTAGGTATATCACGAAGAATTCTCATTATCTATGCTTTATAATATGTAACATCTACATGGCTTCAGTTCATTCAGTGAGAAAAAATTACACAAATTCTATACTATACAGACCATGGGTAGAAGCATGCCCAGCCGCTCTAACTAAACCAATCCAGATTCCATCCATGGTCCAATCCCAAATCAACATTAGGAGCTGGCCACGAGATTTGACCAAGATCATCGAATAGCCCAGTGAATGCATTGAGCTCTGGGCCTGGGAAATCCGACGTTACGACACCGTCTCCTGGTAGAGCCTCGGGCGGACAGTCTATCCCCAGAGCGCTTGGGACTGGCATATTGACACCAAACGTGTCCGACTGACACGTAGACATCCCCTCTGGATCAGATAGTGGCGGAGTGTACAGCTGGTCCGGCGGTGGTTTGGTTGCTAGGCTCTCTGGTGATGGACCGCTCACGACATCACCCTGAAGCCCGTCAACATGCCGAGGGAACTTGGTTCCAGCACCCACGGTGATGGTTCCAAAGTAAGGCACTGTAATCTTGCAGGTTATAGGGGAGAATTCTCGCACTTGCGACCTTGTACGGTAGATCTCCCCCAGGATATTGGAGGATTCTGCTGCCACGGAGCCACCCTTTTCTTGCCTCGCTTGGTGAAGAATATCGACCACTTCCCCTACTAATTTCCAGTCGGATTCATCTTCTTCTTTATTGTGTTCCGGATATTCATCAGAATCACCATACAAATGTACAATGAGCAGCATTCCCATCGTGAATGCAAGGAAATCAATCATTTTGCATAGATATGATCGAGTCATCGCTCGCAGCACCTTGTAGAGCGCCAGTGCCTCGCGCGCGGATTCGATTGCCATTCGTTGGGAGAAGGCAAATCGTGGTTCATATGGGTATTTCAGCATGAGGGGCAAATGCAAAAGCGCTCGTAATACCTTTGGCATGAACTGCAAGGGAATTCGCGCATGGAACTGTTCTTGTCGCTCATCGGGCCCAAGCTCGACGCCAAAGAAACTGCTAGGCATCGATTTCCATGCGTTATCAAGCTCAGAATCCAGTTTGAGAGTAGTCTCAAGGCACATATCGGCTGGGTTCTGGTTGCGGTCAACCATGTGTCCGCAGATTACACCGATCCGAAATAGGTACTCTTCAGCCGGCGCATTAGGTCCATCCTTCAGGCGTTGCTCAATTTGGGGTAAGAAATTCGCTTCAGCCACTCCGTAAGGTAGTCCAAGAATCAGACTGAGCGACCTATCTGAACAATTTAAGGAACACCATATCTTCTGTCGTCTCGCGAAGAGGGTGTCTCGCGGGCTGCGAGTTCGAGTTGACAGATGCATACCAGCCAAGTGGGCAAATTCAATAGCCCTACGAGTAACCAGCCACGCCTTTCGAAGACGACCTTCGTTCAAATGAAATTTGGCCACAAGCATTTGACACTCGATTCCCGGTAGCGTTGCTGCGAAGTCATCATCACGGACGACTAAGCGATCCACAGCTCCTGTCAAACGAGTTGAGAATTCTTCTGGTTCAATCGGTACAAGCAGACTATCAAAGTCAAAACTTTTCGGAGATTGAAGAGCACTCATGCAGAGGCAGACAATTGCCTTCCCTATGTCGGCAGGGGCCACGAGACTTCCGCAGGAGTCCCATTTGTGATCAAAAATGCTTTGTATTTCGGGGAAGCTTTCCTCCCAGACACACCAGAGTTTCGAACCCTCATTGATTATCTTCCATATGTCCTTCTGGGGCGGCAGCAAGGATAAGAGTTCAGCCCGCACGGCGCGGGCCTTTGGTGACATGTCCTTGATTCCGGCGAACTGATCATTGCTAGATAGGTCTTCCTGTCGACTGACAAGATAATTGTCGAAAAGCTGCATGACCGGGGCATTTTGTATCTGAATGCTCGACGGACCAAGTTTGTCCGACTCGACCGAAGCGGGAGACGTATTACCGATTGTGGGGTTATCAGCTATATTGTATAAAGTCAGCGTGAGTTCCCTTAGGAATGTACTTCAGCTTATGCAATGGACTTCTTATCTGCTGCTTACCCGGTGAACTAACAGCAGGGCTTTGCTGATCCAATCGTTTAACCAGGCCCTGCACTACATTCTCCAACTGAGCCACCCGCTCCCGGAGACTATAACGCTGCTCTCCCCGTTCAGACCCTGGTGCTTTACTCCGGTCATCTTCATCATGTTCCTGGTCGACACATTTGGACCCCCGAAAACGACATTCGTTGCAGACATTAGGGTGATCGGCAATGTAAGTACAGCGGATCTTCCGACGTCGACCTACGTTAGAAATCAATATAGGAAAAGCAAGCAAGCGCCACGAGAACACTCCGAACATACATTCAATGCAGCTTTTCGTTCCCTTTCGCATTCTCTTCCGAGGCGGACCGTATGTATCTGACCAAGAGCTCATGACAGCTGTTCTTATTCTGACAAAGAGTGGTTAACCAAATCGTCTGTCTATGCCAGGCCTAGAAGCAACAAATGAACACTATGCTAGTCCACACGATGAGGGGTATGAGTGGGCCACTCGGGTCATCGGACAAATGGATTTAAAGACTTGAAGGGTTATGTGAGAGGAGACGAAGCGAACGGGGAACTTTTTTTCGGAGGATAATTGACAAGGCAGCAAGTCTTACGAAGCCATAGTCCTAGGGGCGACCCCATGCGGATTTACCACTTGAGGTGCGTGTTGATAAGGTGGCATGATAACGTACAGAGTATACAAGCCCAGCTCTTCCCAATGACTACTAACCGCGAATACTAGGTATGATTTGCGAAAATAACATTGGATTAAAGTGAGCTGAGAATATTGCCCAATCAGAAATAAATTGACCTAAATTTCAACCACTAGAATCGCTATAAACTTGAACTTTAGATGCTCTAAATGAAATGAGATGCCAGGGTGATAAGGTATCTAGTAGTTTGTACATGCCTAGCTACAGGCTGCTAACAAAAGCTTCACTCCTTATGATCCAGATTCACCCTGACCAGCTCAATATTTTGTCTTCGGATATGTAAATGACATTTTGGTTGGGCAAATTCCTGTTCGGTTCTCCCAATTGTCGGCGTAGATATACATGGCTGTCAAATAGGCGCACGAGCTTTCTCACACTAACACCACGCCCGGACGAGCCGGCTGGTCCGGACTCCACACATTTCGTCCGCCTATTTCGTCCGAACGGCCGAACTCCATGTACGTGTGGACAGTTCACATACAATCACGGGAAAGACATCATGTAATTACTAATTAGTCACCTCCACTAATTACTGATAAACTTTGACATGTTCGAAGGTGGGAGTTAAATTTTATTTTGAATACATTTCCACAGGGTGAGGGGAGAAGATACAACAGGCGACATCTCCAATAGAGAAGTACATGAACAAGATTCAAACGAAAAACTCCGGATTACCCCTGGAACCCTTGTGGCTGATCGATGATCCCGCGCTGTGAATAATAGGTGGCAGACAAACAAGAAAGAAAAAGGGGTGTCATAATACAGGTCGGACAGAGGTTTTCTGGCCGATTATTATTGCGAGCCATCGGGCTCCTTACTCCTCGATCACACGGGTGATCAGACCAGTGGCAACGGTACGGCCACCCTCACGGATGTTGAAGCGCTGACCGGCCTCGGCGGCGACGGGACGGTGAGTCGAGAGAACCATCTCGACGTTGTCACCGGGCTGGACACGGGTAGACTGGTCCTCACCGGGGAAGGTAAGGTCACCGGGCTCATCGGCGGTACGGAGGTAGACCTGGGGGCGGTAGTTGCTGCCGAAACCAGTGCGGCGACCACCCTCAGCCTCAGTCAGAACGTACATGGAGACCAGGAACTTCTGGGCGGCCTTGGTGCTGCCGGGAACGGCAACAACCATACCGCGGCGAATGTCCTCGCGCTTGATACCACGGAGGAGCAGGCCAGAGTTGTCACCGGCACGGGACTCATCGCAAGACTTCTTGAAGGTCTCGATATCGGTGACCTTGGTCTTGATGGGGGCCTCGCCACCACCGACAATCTCAACCTCGGTATCCTTCTTCAGGAGACCACGCTCAACACGACCAGAGACAACGGTACCACGGCCGGGAATGGAGAAGACTTCCTCAATGGACATGAGGAAGGGCTTGTCCATGTCACGCTCGGGGGTGGGAATCCAGGTATCAACAGCCTTCATCAGGTCATCAATACGCTCGGTACCAATGTCAGGGCGGCGGTCCTCGAGGGCGCAGAGGGCAGAGCCGAAGACAATAGGGGTCTCCTCACCCTCGAAGCCGTAGGTGGAGAGCAGCTCGCGCATCTCAAGCTCGACGAGCTCCAGCATCTCAGGGTCATCGACGGCATCAACCTTGTTAACGAAAACAACGAGCTTCTGGACACCGACCTGACGGGCAAGCAGCAAGTGCTCACGGGTCTGGGGCCTAATGAGAAGAAAAGGATGTTAGTGTGCAGTTCCACTGGAAGAATTGATCAATGGTCATCCATACATCTGACCGTCGGAGGCAGCGACGACAACGATAGCGCCGTCCATGTTGGCAGCACCAGTAATCATGTTCTTAATGTAATCGGCGTGACCGGGGCAGTCGACGTGAGCATAGTGGCGATCCTCGGTCTGAAACTCGATGTGGGCGGAGGAGATGGTGATACCACGCTTGCGCTCCTCGGGGGCCTTGTCAATGGCATTGTAATCGAGGAAGCTGGCCAGGCCCTTGGAGGCTTGGTGCTTGGTGATAGCGGCAGTCAGGGTGGTCTATGGATGAGGGAGGTCATTGTCAGATGGTATACATGGGATCACGATGGAATTGCATCTTACCTTGCCGTGATCGACGTGACCGATGGTACCAATGTTAACATGGGGCTTAGTACGCTCGAAAGCAGTAGCCAGTCCACGAGCAGCCAGCTTGTCGCTGGTGAAGACGTGGTGAACCGGGTTGGCGGCGCGCGGGCGCAGCAGGGAGGAGCGGCTGGTGCGCGCCAGGAGGTTAATGGAACGGGAAAACGACATCTTTGCGATATGGGAAGCCACAAGAACAACCAAATGAAAAAGCGCGGATGGAATCAAGAAACACGATGGTCAAACTTCGGGGGAGAATCAACACCCAATTTTCCGGTCAAAACCGGAAAAACCTTAGTCACCCGCTGGTCACTCGTGGCCAATCAGAAGTCACGAATTGCGGAGGTCCGCTGTCAGGAGTACTACTCGTGTTGGCTACCTATACTATATAGTAATGGTAATAGTAATAGTAATGGATTGGTCATGGTAGATGATCCAATGCACTGCCAACGGCCATGTATCTACACAGTTGTTAGCTTCTAGACTGATATTGTTTGATGAGTCTACACAACAGCTCCCGAAGCACTGGTGACCTTATTGGAAGTACTATCAGTAGTATGGGTATGTCGACCAAGTTTGGATCATAAAGGTCTCCTGCTAGTGGCTCAAGCCGAGACTTCTAAGCTGGATAATATGCCATAATGCAGTTATACAACGATCGCTATGTACAGAAGGCGCCTGAATCATCACCAATTGAAAAGACCCCATACTTTCTTCTCTTAAAGATGATGGAGAAGATTCTTTCAAATTCATTTTTCCTTGGTCACAGTGAGGATGACATGCTTTCCCGGCTCTCCCTCCATTGGCTTGATCTGGGTACCCCCCGCCTCTCGAATGGTATCCATCACAGACTGCATGACGTTTTTGATTTCGTCCACCGTCGCCGATCGCTTGTGCTTCTTGCGGGTGAGGATGACTTCCACCTTCCGTCCTTTGTCCAAAAAGGTTGCCAATTGCTTTAAACGATGCTGCAAATCGTGTGCATCAATAGCCCAGTTCAGTTCGACCTGTTTCGTAGACTGAGCTGCCGATTTGGCGGCCTTGATTTTGGCCTTCTCGCTTTCCCTATACTCTTTCTTATTCAAGATCTTGCAAATAGGCGGTTTGCTCGGTCCAGCAGCAGCGGCTACTTGAATACAGAAGAACTTGTTGCGATCGAATGAGGCAAGGACGTCGAGGAGCTTTTGAGGTTCATCAAGGTTTCCTTCCTCGTTGACCACTTGCACCCATGCAGATCTAATTGATTCGTCTTTGATCAAGGTCGAAGCTGGTGTAGTAACTTTGGGACCGGCGAGGTTTCGAGATAACTGAAAGTTTCGAAGTTGCAGACTATTCTTATACAGTCTAGGCTGCTGCAAAATCCCCGTTCTCGACGTGCGGAGAGGTGTGAAGAAGGTATGGCGCAACGCCTGCGCAGTCGACGCGAGGCCGCGAGTGTGGTTCATGTTGACGGGAGCAGAGGAGGACGAAGGATCAACCGTATAAGAAAGTCTCCGGTTGTCGTTAAAGGAGGGATCGGATGGGAGGGAATGCAGTGGTGGGTTGACCAAAGAGCAGAGGTGAGGAGAAGCTCCAACGGGGTCCAGGGTTTATGGGGAAGACCGGATCGAGTAAGAGCGACGCCACACTTGCGCCACACCAAACATTTGGTCTCCTTTCCTCCTGCAGCATCTAATTTCCGGCTTCTCCTGATTCTTTTCTTTTCTTTTCTTCCCTTCAACTTCCCCATCGTGCCTTATTGGAGTCGGTTTGTTCGGTTCAATGTCGTTGGTTCCTTTGATTTCGTTTACTTAACCCTTCCGATCGTTAAATCCTGACCCGCCCGGCCACTTCGCCACCTGTCGTTTCTTCCGCTTATCTCTCCGAGATTGCTCGTATGTCGACTGGAGTTGACAGCCAACAACCCTCTAATATCCCAATTCAGAATCTGGGTGCCCGTCAACGTTCCGTCTCGCAGAGCCACGGTTCTCTGCTCCCGCAATCCGTCCAACACCTCGATCAAAAATCCGGCAACATGGTTTCTCAAAGCCAAAGATCCCGGTGGTTGAAAACCGGTGCCATTGTCGGCTTCATTTTCATGGTGCTCTTGTGGCTCTCGCCATCTAAGCCATCCAGTTATGCCAGTCACGCCGGAGGTATACGAACTCCCATCACCAATAATTTACACGCACTGTGACTAATCCCAACTTTCTCTCGATCTATAGGCAAATCCGCCTCCGGTGTGGAGACCAAGTGTACAAAGCCTCACGATTCTTCCAAGCCTCTGATTCAGTATGCCCTCATGATCGACGCTGGCAGCACTGGTTCCCGCATCCACGTCTATCGTTTCAACAACTGCGGACCCACTCCCGAACTTGAGAACGAGATCTTTGAGCAAACCGCAAAGAAGGAGGGCGGTAGCTCCGGTCTGAGCTCTTATAACGAGGATGCCGAGGGTGCTGCCAAGAGTCTGGATCCTCTTATGGAAGTCGCAATGACCAATGTCCCTGCCGAGTACAAGTCGTGTACCCCCGTCGCCGTCAAGGCCACCGCTGGTCTGCGTCTCTTGGGTGCCGATAAGAGCAAGAACATTCTGGAGGCTGTGCGCAACCGTCTGGAGACGGTCTATCCGTTCCCAGTTGTTTCTCGGGAGAAGGGTGGTGTTGAGATCATGGATGGCTCCGACGAGGGTGTCTATGCCTGGATCACTACCAACTATCTTCTTGGTAAGATCGGTGGCCCTGACGAGAACCCAACTGCTGCTGTCTTCGATCTTGGCGGTGGTTCCACTCAGATCGTTTTCCAGCCCACTTTTGAGAAGAGCAAGGCTGGTGGTATGCCCGAGCACTTGGCAGAGGGCGACCACAAGTACGAGTTGAAGTTTGGTGGTCACGAGTTTGATCTCTACCAGCACTCCCACCTTGGCTACGGTCTGATGTCTGCTCGCAATTCCATTAACCTTCTGGTTTTGGAGGCTATGATTGCTAAGAACCCCAAGGACCTGTCCTGGCTGAAGAGCCCCATCTCCAACCCTTGCATTCAACCTAACATGGAGAAGGAGGTTGAAATCAAGTTGCCCGCGGATCACTCTCTGGGCAAGTCGATCAAAGTTATCATGGCTGGCCCGAAGGAGACGACCGCTGCTCCCCAGTGCCGTGCCCTTACTGAGAAGATCTTGAAGAAGGACGCCGATTGTACTTTGGCTCCCTGCTCCTTCAACGGTGTTCACCAACCTTCCCTAGAAAAGACATTTGCCCGCGAGGATGTGTACATCTTCTCTTACTTCTTCGACCGCACCGATCCCTTGGGAATGCCCTCGTCTTTCACTCTTGACGAGCTCCACAAGCTCACTGCCAACGTTTGTGGTGGCGAGGAGCACTGGAGTGTCTTTGCCGGTGTCGAGAACGCCCTGTCCGAGCTCCGTGGTCGTCCGGATTGGTGCATGGACCTCAACTTCATGTTGAGTCTGCTGCACACTGGTTACGAGATGCCCATGTCCCGCGAAGTCAAGATTGCGAAGAAGATCAAGGGTAACGAGCTGGGCTGGTGCCTTGGAGCTAGGTAAGCCGAGAACGTTTCGTCTTGTCATGAATAAAATGCTAATTTTTCCTTTTCTTATAGCTTGCCTCTTCTGAGCCAGGAGTCCGGCTGGACTTGCCGCATCAAGGAGGTTTCCTAGATCCTGGATCGACATCAGGGTCCCTTTTTTACCAAATTTTAATCATATGGCTCAGCCATAGTATGTGATGGGTCCATGCATATAAATAGATACTCGATACGTTTGTTTTTCGTTTAATTCTTTATTGTTGTCAAGGTTTAACTAGAATTTTTGGAGGCTTTGGCGGATGCATCAAAATGTACGAATCTTCATGTCTTTTCCATTAATGTCTTCGAGTTTGTAGAGGTCTGCAATAATATAACCCCGGTATATGCATAGGTAGATGCAATTTGAATGCAATGTAGATCGTTAGACAACATATACCCTACTCCTTCATTTCCTCGATAGATGGCTTCTCTGTCTCTGCCTTCTTGCCTCCCATGAGCATATCCAGAATATCAGGTTTTTCCTTATGTTGCTTTGTTTCCGCGGAAACATCGGAGTTCTCATCGTCACTCTCATCTTCACTCGACGAATCCTGACCATCCGCGCGCTTCTCCTTCAGCACTCCTAATCCAAGATTCTAAGAGCAGTTAGTAATCATTCTCAATTCAGATCCAAGAGGTCCAAAAAAAAGAAAAGATCCAACATACCATCTCTATGTAGTCCTTCTCATCATCTACAGAATCCAATACCATGGCATCACCCCTTCCGGCAGCAATTTCCTTCTCAAGCTCTTCATTCGCATTCTTCATTTGCGGCAAAAATGATGATAGGCGCGATAATAGGTCCGAACGACCCTCCATGCGGTGTATTTGCGGCTTCGGGCGTCCGGGGATACTGGGTATTGAGGTTCCGTTGGCGGTTGTGGTCTTGATAGAACTGGGCTTCGAGTCGATCGTCATCTCGTTGGTGTCATCGTCGGATTCCTCGTCCTCGCTCTCCTCTGAGGACGAGCCGGAGGATGAGGTGTAATCGTCATCGTTCACGGGAACAGCTGTCCGCACAGGGAGCTCTTGCTGGGGAAATTGATGTGTTGCGCTCATATTGTTTGGTTTCCAGTCTTTTTTGGTGACTGGTTATTCTGGTAGATCGTAATTTGCTTGGATCGTTGCGATTTAAGAGGACTGCGATGTGATGCGGATTTTATTCTGCGATCACAGGAGCTGCGGTCTGTTGTTGAGTGGCGGACGTTGTAGTGGTTCAAGGGTTCCCACAATAATCCAAGAATTTTTGAGGGTATATTGATAGCTTCGATTGCCTATTTTTGTTGCAGTGGTTCTCAAAAAAAAGAAAAAGTTGAGCACAGTCTGGATTATTGGAACTTTTTGGGCGGGTGGAGCAAGCCGATAACGATAAGGCGCGCGCTAAATTCCCAAGGGTTCCTAAAAGGTTCCAATTCCATGGGACGGGCCAACGTACTACTAGTAGTTTATAGTAACCTTTATGGAATGGTAAATGCAAAGGGCAAAAAATATCTCGGTATCACTTGGCTAGATTGCCATTCAAATAGTGTAGTAGTACATATTAAAAATTACAGAGCAAGTGTCTCACCCTCATCGGTGGCTTCGTCTGCGGCTTGGGCTTCTTCTTCGACTTCGGCTCCGGCTCCGACTCCTGCGCCGACTACGACTCCTTCGTCGTTCAGGACTTCGCCGACGACTGCGGCTTCTTCGCCGAATGGGACTCGGGCTTCGACGACGAGTTCGTCGTTCCTCGGGTTCTTTGGTATGAGTGACAGTGGCTTCGGGCTCTTTTTCTTTGCCCGCTTCTCGAGTAGAATCATTTTCTCTTTCGGATGGAGGCATGTATCGGTCAATATCACCGAATCTGGCCGCCGCTTGTCTTGGTTCACGTTCTGAAGACCGGACTCGGCGTCGGGGAGACTTGCTGCGGTTGCTAGTTGAAGGAACGTAGCGATCGATATCAAGGCAGCTGGGAGAGGCACGGCGGGCAGGGGAAGGCCGCCTAGTTCGTGATGCGCGACGGGATCGCGATCGTCTGCGTCCTCCGGAACGCGAGCGTCTTCTTACTTCCGATCGGGATCGAGATCGCGATTTCACTCGTTCTCGATCCCGGGTTTCTCGAACGCGGGAGCGTGATCGACGACGACTAAGTGAGCGTCGATGAGTCGGAGAGCGAGCGCGACGGCGAGGCTCATCACGGTCACGATCCCGACTCCTGTCTCGGCTCCGATCATGCCGCCGGCGGTCGTAATCACGTTCACGAGACCTTGAGCGGGGACGATCTCGCTCTCGTTTACTATCCCTGTCCCATCCTCGGCCGACAGATCGACTGCGGCTGCGGCTGCGACGAGTTGGCCGCCAGCTTCGCTCATCGCGGGCACGTTCACGGAAGTCGCGGAGTCCGGGACGGTCATCCACATCACGGTCTCGCGGTCTGGTCGAAGCATCCCGAGACCGGTCTCGACGGCGGTTCGGGTCATAATGAGATGCATACCGCCGGTGAGATCGGCTGCGGCTTCGACTTCGCCCCCTGTCCGGATTCCGGGTTCGATCTGGCATCGGTTCCTGTCGTCGAGATGGTGTAGCTGCTCTGGTTGATGCGGGTTTCGTTTCATTTGAAGTCTTGGCCGGTGCTGTGGCTGTAGACCCCGGCTTGAGTCCATTTTCGATAGCTTCCGCTTCTTCGAAGTCAAACTCCGGCTTTTGTCGTGCCTTTGCTGCAAGTTCCTCACCCTCTTTCAAGAGCATCTGCAAAGCTGCCTCCTCCAGCGATTTCTCGTCCACCGGTGGCGCTGGTGCTGGCGTTGGAATGGCCGAAGTATTTGATCTTTCTGTTTTCGTGTCTCGGCCGCGTGGGGATCCTCCGCGATCCGATCGATATGCCGGCGAACGATCACGAAGACGGTCACGGTCACGGTCTCTGGTCCGGCTACGATCACGATCCCAACCGCGATAACGATCCCGGTCATCTCTGCCGCGCCACCTCTCATCTCGTTCGCGATCTCGCTGCTCATCAAGAGCGCGTTGTTCATCACGCAGGCGCTCACGCTCGGCTCGCCGTTGGTCATCGATCTCTTTCCTCCGGGCTCGCTCTTCATCCTCCTTTTTGCGTTCGATCTCTCGTTTCTTTCGTAATTCTTCGGCTCGAATACGTTTCTGTTCGTCTTCGATTTCCTTTTGTTTGCGCATCTCCTCGCGATAAACTTCCTCCCGTGCATCCCGTTTTTCCTTGACATGGGCGTTGTAATCATCGTCTGTTTTGCTGCCAGCCTGCTCTTCTTTGGTAGCCGCCTCTTCGCCAATATCTTGACGGCGGATGGCGCGCACTGTGTCCATAATTGCATCAAGATGCTTCGAAGCGAGTCGGTCGATGGAGTTCTCCACATTTTTGTAAACGTCACCACGGTCGACAGCTCCCTCAATAAGTGTCGCGGCCTTGCCTCTCTCCCGTGAGAGGTGTGCCGGTTCGCGTTCGATCTCCGACTCGGCGAGCGCGATCAATTGGTCGGTGAACATCGTCTTTGATTCCTGCATTCAATGTCAGCGGCCAGTAAGATAGAAAAGAATTCTGGTAATGTCCCAAGGCTCGGCGGTAAAATACATACGCCCTCATTGAAATCAGCCCATAATTGTTTCCGTATACTGTCGAAACCGCCCTTCTTCTTGAACGAGTGCAGGAGTTTGTCAATGGCACCGTGTTGCGCCGCGGACAAAGGGAGGTCCTCAGCCTTGAACTTCTTGCGCTTCAGGCTCTCGATGTCAAGCGCAGGTCTCTTGTCCCCTGGCTGTACATCCTCCATGGCCTCTGAAGCCATCACGGAAGGCGAAATGAAATATTAATTCCTAAAGGAACCAGGTTATTCGAGCTAGGTCGCGTGAAAGCCAAACCCGTTATCGTTTATCGGAGGGCCCCGCGGAACAACCATTTTGCGGTTGTTCCGAGGGGTGACAACTGCCTCCACATGATTTGACCTTCGCTCCTGGCCCGGTGCGACCTCTCCCCCAGTCTCGACTCCATCGATTGCGACCCGCGGACTTGCAACGACCACTCCGCTGCCTCTTTCAATTCCTACGTCTAGTCGGAATTCGTCGGTCTACTTCAATCCCTCCTATCCGCCCCCGACCGGCCTGCAATCATGGTCCACAAAGTACTCTTCTGGAGCGGCTTCGGTGCGTACCACACCCCATTCCTGAGCGACATAACCCTCTGCTATATTACTTTCAGAGGATGAGATGCCCTTCCGAATAATTTTGAGCTAATTTTGATTCTTCTCCCGCGCAGGCATTGCCGTCCGCCTCTGGCAGCTCGGAATCGAGATGCGTCCCATGTTCTGCAGGGACTCTCTCTGGGCCTACCCTCTTTTCGCCAGTGTCGGTGGTAGCTTTGGCTACTGGCTACAGGGTGTTGAGCAACGCCAATTGAAGATGCTCGCACAGCGCCGCGAGGCTATTCTCGAGAAGCGCCGACGAAGGGACGAGCGCGAGGGCATCTCCAAGACCGAGGAGGGTGCTGTTCTGGCTGTTGCTTCATAATTTCTTCTTTCTTTTGCACAATTGGTGATGAGCGGAAGCTGAGCATTTTGTATTTTCCTTGCTTCCTTTTCTTTTTTTTACATGTACCAAAATTCGGTGGTTTGATATATCGACATCCCAAGTTCTCTCGTGGAGAAGGTCTGCAGCGATATATGCCGTGGAATATGAACAACTCTTTCTCTTATCATGACTGTGCCCGAGCATTCTTAAGTTCAATACTGGCGGCGCATTGAAGATTACGTACTACCAGTAGTCCTTCCAACCTTGGAAGTTCTGATACTTCAAGTGGTGACCAGACATCAGGATGACTAGTACAGTAGTAGTACATGCCCAGGTGAAAGGCTTCAACTCAAACAAATCATGAACAAGACGATGCCTGCATTGCTACTATGGTACAAGAGTATTCTAAATGTATTGGCACATAGTTCACCAAAAAGAACTATTGGTCCTCACCACCAAACACATTCCTAGGTTCGTTCGATGGTAAATTGGAGAGAAACCTCCCACTTCTGTCCTCCTGTGCCATAGCCTCCACCCAATCGGTTCCTCACCAAGCTGGAAATCTTCTCTCTCAATCTCCCAACATTGTCATCGGCTCCAGACACGCGAAGTTTCAAATTCGCCATGCACAGCCCATAGTGGACTTGCCAGAACCGAGCATCATCAATACCAAACACCGAGGGATCCGACTCGATATCCTTGATCACATCGGCCACGCCCTGGCCTGAGTATGACATAAGAAGCATGGAGCCCAATGTCTTCACAAGGCGGACTCCAAGAACACACATTGAAATGGCGATGGTGCCAGACAGCAACTTGTCCAGCCAGTCGTAAATTCGAATCGACACCAGCGGCAAAAGTAGAAGAAGAGTAGAACATGACAAGGTCAAAAAGTGGGAAGGGTTGCTCAAGACGGACGGCAACGACTCAATGTATGCAAATCGCATCGCCTTGCCAATACGGGCATGGTTCTTGAGACCAATCGCCGAGACCAAGGTTGAAGATATGGCAAGAGCCGCCGTGACATCCACACTACCCAATGAAACCCGATCGTGATCATGAGTATGATGGGGTTCATGACCCGATTTCTCCAGAAAGTGCTGCAGATTGTGGGAGATCAAGTCGAGGCCCATGAACAAGAGTAGTACACACATTGCAAATCCGGCCAGCACCTCGGCCCGCTCCAGGCCAAATGGGTGGCGAATACTTGACCTTTTCCAGACCTCAAAATTGCTGAGAACATCCACGGCAACACATACAAGGGCACCCAGTGAGTCAAATAGAATCAAATGGGATAATGCTGTCATGGCTAATGACCCATGTGCCGTCCAAAGTGTATAAGCCGCCACGAACATGTGGCAGAGACTCCACCAAAAGCGTGTCTTTTGGTCTTTCGACATACTAGCGCGGCACTCTTTCAATGTCGGGATGGGGAGGGAATTGGGCAAAGCCAACGGCGCACGTGGAGGGGGCTCGAGGAAGATCTGGTGCGAGATACTACTGTGCTTGTACTTGTGACCACGACGCTGTCCGATGTTCTGGAAATAACGACAAATATATCAGCATTGAACCGGGATAGAATTGTGTCAATATTTCCACAAGACTCACCGATTTGACCACCGGGCCCTTGGACATAACAGTCGTATTGAAATTGAAGGGCGCTGCGGGGACCGAGTCGTTCGAGCCATTCTGCGCCGAGATAAGCGTATCAGCAGCCCTGGGGCTCAGATTGAACGAGGATTTCGTAGGACTGAGAAGATCTGAGTTCATTGGATCGAGCGTCGCGCTCCGAGGGAATGATTCCTTCAACGGCGACAAGGAATCACGATCGATCGATACTCCTGGGGTCGTTCGGGGACATGTTGATCGCGACCATCGTCGGACGGCGGTGTTGGAGTACGCGGTGGGATTGGCAATGGTAGGTTTGAGGTCATCATAATAGCTAGATAGAAGTAAAGCGACTTCAGTTCCGAGACCAGGAACAGAGTCGATAGTGTCGTGTCTCGTGAGGGGGGGGGGTTTCAAGCCCCGGGGGGCAAAGGGAAATCAATCAGGAGATAGTGGATACTTTATTTATGCCTGATGAATCAGGCGCTGAACTCGGCGGAGGCGGAAGGGGCGGGGGCGGCACCGGAGACCAGGAGGGCCTCGACCGCATGTCGAGTACATCATCCACTTCTTACTTCCTCTAATACTACCACCCTCGTCATTCACTGTTGTCGGTTCTTGTGGTTGCGCGCGGTACTTGAACTCGCGCACTGTACTATCTTGTGCTTGTCTTGCGATGATCCCCGTTGCGTTCTAAGGAGGCTGATGCCCACCCCCCGGCATCGATGGATAACCGTGGCTCATTCTTCTTCTTCCTGCTCGTTTTCTACTTTCTCCTCAGTTCACAATCGCGACCTCCGCTGGTCGATGAAGGACGATTGCGTCAGCGGGAGCTTGATCGAGAGCAGCGTGCGATCCGACTGTTAAACGAGACACATTATGGCGACTTCGATCCGGTCACCGATCACTGGCTTCCTATCCCAGGGTTACGAAAGAACGATACATATGCCTGGGAACTGTTCCCAAAGGTCCAAAGCCGTGCTCGCGATCAACTTCAATCTGTATTGTCAACTTACGGCATCAACCCCCCCACTTGGCCTAGACGGTTCCAACGCGTCATCCCCGTTGAATCTGACCAAGCTGTCCCTTCCAGTCTACCGCAATGCCACTGGTAAAGTACGTGGAGACTGGGTTTGTCGGTCGGATGTACAGCGCGCCATGCCATTGAACATAACTGCCATCGCGGAGGAACATGAATACTTCACTCATGATTTCGGCTTGAACATAACAGGTAGCGATGGTACATTCTTTTTCGATTTGGAAGAAGGGCCAGGGCAAGAATTGCGTGTTGGAGATGGACTTGCGCGTGAAATCAGAGCGAGTTGGACGATAGAGAGCGACGACTTCTGGGGAAGTGTCTGGCGTGCCGAACTATTCGGCATCCACTTCCCCGAGAATGGTGCCATTATCCTAAGCACATCAAGTGAAAAGTTTGGCGGTATATTCTCTTTGCCACACTTTGCACTCTCAGCCGACGGTTATGAGTTGTCCCATCGTCTCCTGCTGAAATCGCTCTCCGAAACCATGCTCGAAAAGCCAAACCGACCTCCAACCCTATTTCCTTGGGCATCTTTGGCAGGCACTGAACAAATGGAATTTGCTGCGCCAAAATGCGAACATGTAATATTTCTGCAACAACATCCCCTCGTTGTTGACGGTAATTTGGCGGATCGAATGACGGTCGATTGGATAGAAAGGGAATTGAGATACCCCATGGGAGCACCTATTCCACACCCACCTCTCATGACCATGTCTGCCGTGGTTTTCTCCCCGGATTGCGGATATATTCTTGAATCCAAAGGGGACCCCCGAATATCCACCTTCAGAGGCTTTATATCTGTCAGGGCCAAAGCATGAAGAGTACAGTAAAGCTGCCTCTTTCCTCATATTCGTCATTTTTGGGGTTTTTGTCGCCCAGATCAGTCTTCTGCTACGTCAGGTTAAAGAGGCGTCGACACCTTCCACCCGAAGTCGAGTCAGCTTTTATACCATTGCATTAATGGCGTTTGGGGATTCTTTCGTCATGCTTTTCATTATTGCGCAACTCTTTGAAGCTATCTCCTACTTGGTCATTGCAACTGCCTCGTTCTTAGTCTTCCTTTCTGTCAGTTATATTGGCATGAAATTCATGATGGAGATTTGGGCTGTTCAGGAACCGGAACGGCGTGAAGAACGACCAGTCAATCCACCGACCTCTGTCACCCGTCCTGGAACACTCCCCCTACCCGCAACTGCTGCAGTGCGAGACTCCGGCGCTACGCCTATTATTTTGCCTCCAGACCAAGATGCACCTGATGATGAAATGGAGCCAGAGCCGGCACCGGCTAACCGAACAACTCCTGCTACACCAAGACAGGTGCGTGCCGATGTGGGCGCCATGTATGGGCGCTTTTATTTCGCACTTTTTGGTATGCTCATTCTATCGGTCTGGGTCTTCCTCCTTCCCACACGCATGGGTGCTATGTATTGTCGTCTCTTGGCAACCGTTTACCTGTCATTCTGGGTCCCCCAAATCTACCGTAATGTGATGCGCAACTGTCGCAAGGCACTCCGGTGGGAATTCGTTGTTGGTCAGAGCATTCTACGACTGGTCCCTTTCCTGTACTTCCTCACGGCTCGCGGCAATGTGCTATTCATCCAAACCGAGTGGACCACCGCATTTGCGTTGGCTGGATGGGTGTGGGTCCAAGCCTGGATATTGGCCAGCCAGGACATATTGGGCCCGCGCTTCTTTGTCCCACGGGGCTGGGCGCCACCCGCTTATGATTATCACCCCACGTTGCGGGAGCACGCCGGGCCCGATGATGACCTCGAGGCAGGCGGCAATCTCTCGATTGAATCTCTCCGAGCCGACAAGCAAGATGTGGTCGACTCTAAGGATGACGACAAACAATGGTCTAAAGATCGAAAGCGAGTGATGTTTGACTGTGCAATTTGCATGCAAGATATCGAGGTTCCTATTCTTCCTGGGCCCACTTCTGCAGGCGGAAGTAGTGTGACTGATGGGGCTGCGAACATCTTGAGTCGTCGCCAATACATGGTGACTCCTTGTCGGCATATCTTCCACACTGCTTGCCTCGAGAGTTGGATGAGACTTCGTCTGCAGTGTCCGATCTGTCGTGACACCATCCCCCCCCGTGTAAAGCTAGCATGTTGGTATTCTTGTTTTGTATATACATTTTTTGAAGAAAGGCAAACTTTGCATATTGATTTTGAAGCCTGTCTCTTTTCTTTCCCGGCACAATTTCACTAAAGCTGAACCAAGCCCATGGCTTACAAGAAGGAAATCGTTACTAGTAGCCCTGCCCCTTCTATCTGCACCATCTAGTGGCGAATTGAGAATGATAGTCAAGGTGAGACATGGGGAAATTCCTATTCAAGTTAGGGCTAGCTACTTGTAGTTTGGCGTACCTTATGCACAGGCCAAACTGCAGCCAAACCCATCGGTCTCTCGGTGATACCGCAGCTAAAAATCCCGATGATCGGCTTTCGCCTGCACCAGTGGAAGGGGTCTGTGCACCGACCAAGGCTTGTCACCTGCCTTGAGAAGTTCGCCCCAATTGGCCTCAACTTCGCTTCGGAAATTCTGCAGTTCCCCATGTTTTGCCACATAATTCTTAGAACTAGTATCCATAATTGTTTTCTTTAGCTGCACTTCTCGTGGCTACTCGGCCCTCAAAGGATCTTGGACTAGCTGCGCCACAGCAGTGTTATTTTTATGCGAGAATTACTAACTTTACCCATGGAATCTCGGGGAATGGGTACTCCCAGTTAAGCTAAACTGACGATCAGACCAATTTTTGATGCTGGTCGATGACGCTAAAGCACGCATGTCTCAGGGTCCTTCTTTGCATGAACCTGGAAACCGGATGTTTCTTCAAGTATAAGACGCACGATGTTACCTGCTCCAACTCTCCATAACCATCAAACATTCCCCCTGCCAGCCTCCATTGATAAGAACATTCCATTCTCCCCCCTCCTCTCGCTTCATCAAATTATTACTTCAACAAACACTCGATTACCACACCTCTTTACCAATAATGAAGTCCATCACCGCCCTGGCTTCCCTGCTCCTCCTTGGAGCGGCCACCGCCCAAGATATTCAGTCCAAGCCCTTCAACTTGGTTATTCAAGCAGACAAGAAGCCCATCAATGGCCAAAAGCTCGCCGCCTGCCACACTGGTGCTGCTATTGAATCGCTTTGCCTGGCCGGTGGATCCGGCTCCGAGTTCTATCTGAACACCACCGAGGGATCACAAGGCCCCATTCCGGGCTACAAGCCCTCCGGGGCTCTCATCTGGAATCTCCCCTATAATGGAAATGGTGAGTACACATCCCAATATATCGCCCCATATTTTTCAAGTATCGCTAACAGACCACACAGCCGTGGAATCCGAGCCCATGAGCTTCTACGTTGACCCTTCCACCAACGTCGCCATGCCCCTGTTCCAACCATCCTACGATCAACAGCAAGTTATGTTCGACAAGGATGGACTCATGGGTATCTACAGTTACCTCAATGACGCCGTCACCCCTCCCACGGATGAAAAGGTCACGGTCCTGAAGAACTGGTATGTCTGCGAGACCAACTACTCCGGCTATCAGTACCGCACTTTGAACTGGGTTGTCGGCAATGGCAAGGCCAAGCCTCAGAATCCAAGCTGCGTCAAGGTTCAAGTTCACCGCAAATTCCTTTGAGTTGCGATTATGCTGCATTGGGGCAATTTTGTTAGTGGAATAGAAGATGAGCGAGCTATTCCCGTTGAAGTAATGTGTTAATTCAAGTTCATGATGAGTTTGTATAAGATTTATGACAACCCTAATCTACTACGATACTACCTCCACTCTACATACTGTCGATATTTGAGAACTACCACAACTACAAGTACTAGTAACAAGCACTACGAAGCACCGGGTCTAGCAACAGAGAAATTCTAGTCCTACTAGAAGTAGTAGTAGTCTACCTGGGGCTCGAAAAGTCGCAAGTCTTCAACTTCCCTTTTCTAAATCGAACAGTGGTTTCGAGAATCTGGGAAAGGTAGGCACTCGGGTTCTATGTGGTCTGGAGGACTCTGAACTGTTGAACGATAGGTTGAGCCCGGAGAGGGTCCATCCCATCTATATGTATTGTGTTGAAAAAAACGTGTCTTCGTGAAAGACGAGTATAATATGACATCATAAGGAAACGCATAAGAAATCCCACAAGGGACGAGAGAACACCAACAACCGTTTCTCGGGACAAACAACCTTGCCTCTAAAATCCAATATATTCTCTACAAGCTCAAATTTAAGCATCAATGGTTGCCTTGTAGGCAGCCTCGTCCAACAGAGCATCGAGCTCAGCGGCATCGGCGACCTCAATCTCGGCAATCCAGCCCTCACCCTCGGGGCTGGCGTTGATGGTCTTAGCGTTGTCCTCCAGGATCTCGTTACCGCGGATCACCTTGCCGGCGACGGGGGAGAGCACATCAGAGGCAGACTTGACAGACTCGACGGCACCGACGGGCTCACCAGCACCGACCTCAAGTTCAGCCTCGGGGAGCTCAACGAAGACGACATCGCCCAGGGAGTGAGCGGCGTACTCGGTGATGCCGATCTTGGCTGTAGGAGCGGGGCATGTCAGTGATGGTCTTGAGCTATGTGTAGCTTGCGAATGGAGATTGATTCGGTTGAGGGGGATATGCTTGGAGATTATTGCGTGACTCACCAGTGTTGCTGCCGTCAGCGAGCTCAATCCATTCGTGCGACTCGGTGTACTTCTTCAACTGAGCTGTGGGATCCAATTGATGACGTCGTTAGCTATCGAACACAACCAAGAACTCAATTGAGGAGTCGGAACATGTCTTCCATAGCCAATTCGACGGTAGAAGATCTCTGAAGACCCCTTTGGCCATTTGAGGCAGTTTGGACAGCGAAATCACTTACACAGAGGGCTCTGGGAGAAGGTCCGGGTTCCCCGCGGGAAGCGGAAAGCAGGCGCAGCGCGGCAGGTAGAGGCCAGAGGCTTCTGGGCAAGGACCCGAGAGGCAAAGGGGCGAACGGTGCGAGCAACGGAGGACATTTTGGAGAGGAAGTGAAGTGAATTGAGGAGTTGAAAAGAAGAGGAGAGAGAAGGGGAGAGTTTAAGAAGGGAAGAGCACGGCCGGTGGTGGTTCCCCGGCGGAGATCCAAATGCTAGGAAATGGGCTCCGATAAGAAGTCCGCGCCAAGACCCGCGATAAGCCCCGACCTCAAGATTTGATTTGGCGTTGGTTTTTGCCCGGCCTCTCAAATCCCCGTCTAGTCACTTTTATCCGGGCCTTACAACCCACCATTCGATGAAATGTTGTACGAGCTAATTGCTATTGTATGTGCCCGTCTATTTCTGATCGATTTACCCCGAATTGAGAACGATTTACTGATGTGTGCGCTTCTCCCTGCAGGTCCGCCCGGGCAGCCTCAACGAGGTTCGCGAGTACGTCACATCACAAAACCACCTCCCGGCCCATTGCCCATCATTTATCGCCCTTTCTAACATACTCCCTTGACAGAATTGCCCGTAACGCTGGTGCTCAGGTCATCCGCTCCGGCGGTGTCGTCCGCGGCTACACCAACTGGGGCGTCTTCCGCCTGCCCAAGGTCACCACCAAGCACCAGGCCCGTTACAGCGAAGGCCACCATTTCATCATGCGATTCGATTCCTCTGGTCCCGTCCAAACCTCCATTCGCCGTACCCTCGGTCTCGATCCCCGAATGATCAACTTCTCCGTTGTCAAGCTGGGCGACAAGCTCGAGGAGATCAAGGACATCGAGGGCAAGGTCCAATGGAACAAGACTCGCAGCATCACCAACTCTCTCTAGACGAAACCGGATGTCAAGAAGGGGAGTTTCTGATTGAACTATTGTTTTGATAAGCCTTTGGGATTCTGGGGCAGTGATCTTTGGCCACTTTTATATCCTTCTCTATTTTTCTTTCTTTTCTTGTATCATTAAGGCATGGGAAATTTTTTTTGGCATAACCACCCAGCACTGTCAGCACGACCGGCGCAACTTTGTATTAAACTGCAATACCAATCGATTTTCATCCACCTCATCCATTTCCGCGCTATTGATAATATCTCGCCTTTGACTTGTCCACCAGGGGCAACTAAGCCACGTGACTGTGGCTCGCCCCGCGCCGAGGCAATTTCCCCGGACACCCCCCAAGCTGTCAACCAAATGCAATAATTTCTCCATTGATGATGCTTTCGATCCTTCGTTTCTGCGACTGATATCTCAAATTGAAAATTCTTGGGTCTCCCTGAAATCATGTCGTCCGCGCGCGAGCAGTCGGATCAAAATCCGGATGAGTTGACATCTCCCTCCTCGTTCGCGCAATTGATGGCCTTGGAACGACTAGAGGACACAGAGGTATCACATGCGAGTACACTTGGCCCTGAAAAGGTTGAAATATTTCGTTCTCTGGCTGCGCCTTACCCTCCTGGTGCTGGGACACGCTCATTTGGAGGACATGTCTATGCCCAGTCCGCTTATGCGGCTTCAAAAACCGTCGGGAAGGGATTTGTAGTTCATGTCAGTATTACTATTGCTATGGGTTATCAAACTTTGAAATTCTTTTTTATTAGGAAACTTGCAAGACTAATGCTAGCCTGTAGGATATGACGGGTACATTCATATTGCCCGGTCGACTAGATGTCCCCTATTTCTACACTGTTCGACATGTGCGAGATGGGTTCATGTACTGTACAAGAGCAGTTGATGCTCGACAGGACGGCAAAATCATGTTCTCGTGCCTTTGCTCATTCAAGCGCGATGAAAAGCAACGCATTTTCCGCCATCAGCCTTCGCCGGTTCAAGAGCGATACCAATCCGTATTGACCGGAAAACGGCCAGAGGATCAACCTGTCAGTCCCAGTATCGATGCCGACTGGTGGATTGAAAGCGTGCGAGAAGGAAATATCTCTGAGCGCGAATTCCCAGGACTTGATGTCCGGAAAATCGACATGAAAGACTACAACAAGACCAAAGCCATCCAAGAACGGCCTGAAAAATATCGACAATTGACACAATACCGCTTAAAGGGTCTGCCTGACGCAGACCCGAGTGTGTCGATTTCCGATATGAAGGAGAAAGACCAGGCGGGGGAGTATGACAATCTATATGCCTGCGCGCATATGTACTCTAGCGACAAAAACTCTCTCCTGTTGATTCCGCGGTCACTTGGAATCAAGCACTGGGCTGAAATGGCCAGTCTTACTTTAACCGTCATTGTTCACCAACATGGTGAAGCCCTACGCATGGTTGACTGGGATACATCAACGACCGGTGACTCTGATTTGGCTTTGAAATGGTTTATCCAGGAGGGTTGGACACCTCAGTCGGCGGAGAACAGGGCTGTTCATGAGAGTTATCTTTGGAGTCCAGATGGCACATTGATTGCGACCTCGTTACAAGACAGCTTGCTTCGATTGCGAAAACTGGGGCGGGAGAATCTGTGAGTCACTGGCAGGTTGTTTATTGTACATGGAAGCGGCACCCCCTAGAGCTAGATTCGAATAGATCATTCAAGTTGGAATAGACTCTGGCATTAAGATCAGCCATGCCCGGGTAGACGTGAAATATTCAAGGTATCTGAAAACGTAAATCCCACTACGGGTGGATGGATAATCTCCACTGGCAGCCCTACGAGAGATGCGAAACCTTGGAATATCCTTCCTCTCAAGGGTTAGACGTTCTTCTGTGTGGTATAAAAGATCGATTAAATTGTAAAGGCAACCCAATGCCAAATAAGAGTATAAAAATAGTTGAATCTGTTAACAAGCTCCAGCCTTGCTTCTAAAAAGTACCAAGAGTACCCAAAATAATTATGGACCAGAAAAAAGTAGCAGGAAAGCAAAAAATGACAAGAGTGGGATTCGAACCCACGCCCCCTTGCGGAGATCAGGAAATTGGAGTTAAGGTTGACCTTAACCTGACGCCTTGGACCAACTCGGCCATCTTGCCAATTGGATATTATGAGGCTGCCATCTATTGATATATGAAGCTGTATCTCATAAACTCAAGATAGGGGATAACATTCCAGTAGTTCGTAGATAACACTCAACAAATACGAATCATGGGAATGAAAATTTCCCACAAACCCGAGAGCATGGGCAGAATAATTGACCCACAAAATTTTTCAGTCTATCATTGACCCAACCTATTACCAGATAATATTTGGCAATGTCTTGCTTTTGATGGGCTTTTTACTAGAGCAACAAATAACCCCGCTGGCGGGTGCTTTTCCAATTCCAGTCACAGTTGTACGTGACTTTATGTCGAGCTTTAGCTTAAAAGGTTCTGGGCTGGTGTAGCCATATACCTGGTTCTATTGGCGACCCCGGGATGCAAGGTGCTTTACTAGTATTAAAGTTTCAAGGTTGAAAAAAAAAAATTCGTGACTGATACTACCGCTACCTAGTAGATAGGTAGTAGCAATATATTCAAGTTGTTGAGGCAGGCATATGCCGTTATCATCCATGGATGATGCCTACCGAGGTCAGGCATGTCCAGATCGCCTATATTAGCCTCCCTCCTTTGTCTCAAAATCCACACCTTTCATCATTCTTCCATCTTCCGTAGTAGTAGCTGTCCTTATCATATATACTGGCTGCCAGGGGGTGGATCCACCCGAGGCGCAGAACAGAATGCGGGGAGAAGGGCTCAACCTTATGGTTGAA